TGATACATTTTGTTTTTTGACATTTTTACTTTTTGAAGCTCCTCTGCGTAAAAGAACCTCGAACCTGCTCTCCGTCTAAATCTTCCAGTTTGAATACCGGAGGAGATCGCTGTACCGTTTCTGTAACTTTAAAGATTTCATCCGTGAAGCTCTGTTCATATTTCTTATCAAACACTCCACGCACCTTGGAGATTCTGACGTGGTCACCTTGCTTAAATGCTATCTTGCGTTTTGTGCATCGTTTAGAATTAGTCCCGTAAAGGTTCTGAAACACCTGAAAAGCGTTACCGGCGGTTACCTCCATAGGTGTCATTTTAATGCTTGAATGAATGCTATAATTTTAGGAACGAAGCAGTTGAAGAAGGCGATGGTGGAGCAGGAGAGCTTTCCACAATGCAGGACGACGTACCGCAGCCCACGTCCTTCCTCATGGTTTCAGATGTTAGAAGTCTGTTCAACGAAGTTGCACGGAGTACTGATCAGCCCGCTTGGTTGCTCCTCTTATACTGGGTAGGGCGTGGTTGATGTTGAAGGGGCGGCATCGGCTGCTGTGAGGGGGTGGGTCTACATAGCAAGCGCTTTCTTGACTCCCAGAATGTCTTTCCAGTTGCGACACTCGCGAAACAGCGTAGAAATTCGATCCGCTATTCCTGATATCTTATCAAGCCACGCATCAAATGGAATGGCTAACAGTGTCCTGAACACGCCGCACTCAGTATTATAATACTCAAGCATAAAAATAATTGATTCATCTTGAGCCTTTCTGAGACTTGCGCGAAAAAACCATCGGCCGGTAACCCCCCTCTTTGACTGCCAAGTAGCTGAGAAGATCCTACTTCCTGATTCTATGTCAGTTTCGTGCAGGAGGGGTTGCTCCAGCTTGTTGCGCTTAGCATCGGGTGTATCCGTGATTCCGTCCTCTGCTCCTTGGCTAACAACAGGGCCTGCTACATTCAGGTCCTCGCGGTCTAGTCTACGGAGCATGATGAGTTTCAGAACAGCCCAGTCGTTTGATGATAAGACCCCCATTGAGTGGAAAGTCTGCAGCTTCTCAACTTCTTCACCCCGCTGATAGAGACACAGATCCCCAGTTTCGTACTTGAAAACATACCCCCATTTACCGCTGGCACCATAGGGTTCCAGAGACCATTCTTCTTGCAGAGCGTGGTTCGGAGGCATCTGAGCTCTGCATACAAAAAGTGTACCCTTGCGGGGGGTCTCCAGAGCACGCCAAAAGTTGGTCTGATCGCTGAAGATCGTGACTGGTGTCTCAGAAATGATAGCGCAAAGCCTGTTTCTTACTGGAGCCATGTTGGAAAGGATTCAATGACTATGCAGGTCGGAGGAAGGGTCTTATACGTCAAGAGAAGCGGAAGTGGGGGATGGGCTGATGTGGGGGATGGGAAAGTGGGCGGAAGTGGGGGGATGGGCTGATGTGGGGGATGGGAAAGAAAAACATTTTTTTATATTAATTTTATATCAATTTTATATTAATTTTATATCAATTTTATATCAATTTTATATTAATTTTATATTAATTTTATATTAATTTTATATTAATTAAGGCGGGACTTCCGGTTTAATTAAGGCGGGACTTCCGGCTGTCACTTTGGAATGTGGGCGTGGTTTCGAGTTTGATGATAAGACCCCCATTGAGTGGATAGTCTGCAGCTTCTCAACTTCTTCACCCCGCTGATAGAGACACAGATCCCCAGTTTCGTACTTGAAAACATACCCCCATTTACCGCTGGCACCATAGGGTTCCAGAGACCATTCTTCTTGCAGAGCGTGGGTTGGAGGCATCTGAGCTCTGCATACAAAAAGTGTACCCTTGCAGGGGGTCTCCAGAGCACGCCAAAAATTGGTCTGATCGCTGAAGATCGTGACTGGTGTCTCAGAAATGATAGCGCGAAGCCTGTTTCTTACTGGAGCCATGTTGGAAAGGATTCAATGACTATGCAGGTCGGAGGAAGGGTCTTATACGTCAAGAGAAGCGGAAGTGGGGGATGGGCTGATGTGGGGGATGGGAAAGTGGGCGGAAGTGGGGGGATGGGCTGATGTGGGGGATGGGAAAGAAAAACATTTTTTTATATTAATTTTATATCAATTTTATATTAATTTTATATCAATTTTATATTAATTTTATATTAATTTTATATTAATTTTGTATTAATTTTATATTAATTAAGGCGGGACTTCCGGCTGTCACTTTGGAATGTGGGCGTGGTTTCGAGTTTGATGAAAGGTGGTTCATATAGTTTTTTAGTAAGACATCTTACAATAGGTTAACTGCAGCCATGATATCACCTGTTGGTTTTTCAGATCATCATTTAATAACTGTTGATTTTTCTTTAATGCATTCCCAAAGATCTTCTTATTGGCATTTTAATATCAGACTGGTTGATGACAAGAATTTCTGTCAGTCTTTCCCTGATTTCTGGGTTCAATGGAGACGCAGGAAATCAAGTTTTGAAAATATAAGTCAATGGTGGGAGTTGGAGAAAACACAAATGTGAATATTTTGTCAGCAATACACAACAGTCACAAAAGTGATAGAAAGAGATCATTTTGAAGTATTGGCGAAATAATTTTGTTTATTTGAAGAGGGCATAATAAATGGGTTAGAAGAAGCTAAAGGTGATCTAATAAAATACAGAATCCTGTCTATTAGAGACATAGATGAACAAACTCGTTTCTTTTTTAAGTTGGAGAAAAAGGTCAGGCAGCAGAACCAGATGATGCACCTCAGGAACTGCAATGGAGCTGCGACCACTGACCCTTCAAAGATGAGGAAGGTTGCCAGAGACTTCTACAGCAGCCTATTCAGTGCTGATGATTGTGACTCTGAACGAATGGATGAGATACTGGAAGGACTCCCTCGTTTAGGAGAAGAAGCTTCAGCCTCACTGGAGTCTGCTATTAATTTTGATGAACTCTCTGCAGCGGTGAATCAGCTCAGCTGTGGTCGGTCTCCAAGGCATTGACGGACTTCCTGCGGAGTTCTTTAAGACTTTTGGAATTTACTTGGAAAAGATTTAATGGAATTTTTTCATGGATGTTTGGACTCTGGGACATGACCAACGAGCTGCAGAAGGGCAGTCTGGCAAAGATGAGCATTGGGCTCACAGGGAGAAATAAAATGAAGAAGGCAGATTCAGTTAAAGTTGAACGGATGTTCAGAGGCCTGGTGGCCGCACATATTAGGACAGAGTTTGCATATTATAGAATGGTATCAGATTTGAATGAGTTCATTTCTATTTGGGGAGGTGGAGAGGTTTCTATATCATGTAAATAATTAAATGCTTATTCTCAGTTTTTGAGGGGGTTTTGCTTTTATCTTCTGGGTTGTTGTATATGATTACATGTATGTAATTTGCTTGTGTTTATTCTAATAGAAAAATTGGACCAATAAAGAGAGTCCATGGTATTTACACTTTGGGTTTCGCTAGGCATGGATTTATGCTATGCTGTTTTTGATTTTTTTAATTATATCTTTTTTTTTTTTTTTTTTTTTTTATAACTTCTTTGTTTTACTATTCCTGTTTGGCGGTTTTTCAGTTTTCACAGTTCAGCATTCCTTACTCTTTGCTCTAGTTTTATTTTGCTCTGCATTGTTTATCTTTAGGTTATGTTTTCCAGTTACTCTCCATTGCTCCCTAGTGTCACCTTCCTTCCCATTGGTTCTCTTCTTCTTCTTTCTCTGCACACCTTTTCCCCACTCAGATCATTAAAACAATCTTTGTCATGTTCTTCTCCACCTCAGTTTATATAATGTATACCCCTCCTCTGCAGTTTGTATTTGCTGGATTGTGTTTCTTTATTTTATGTCCTCATTAGTTCCTGTCAGTTAACTCCTGTGTACTCTGTCCTTGTTCCTCACCTGATTACTTTCTGGATTTATACTACTGCTGCCTTTATCATTAAATCTACAAGAAACCATCTCTGCGTCCGCCCCTGCATTTTGGGTCTAACGACAGACTTCTCCTGACAGCCTCCGTAGAATATTTTGAGTGAAGACATCAGTAATTCAAAAGTTTAGTTGCTCTAGTTGTATCCCCTAGATCAGTGATTCCCAACTGGAGTACTCTTGCACCCTTAGTGGTCTGCGAGTGCATTGCAAGGGGGACATGAAAATATTTTATTTATTAGGGAGTAAAGTAAAATGGTGCTGGGATCTGTTTTATTTGTGAGGAGGCAATTCAAAAATGAAACAAGCTTTAATCAACCAAAAAGTAAAGTTTTTCATGTTTGTTTGTGTTCACCTTAGCTTTAACACGCATCAAAACCAAGCAGAGGAACAGACTGGATGAAGAGAAAAGCCTGGCATCAGCTGTTTTTCACACCGAGCTATAGGGGCTCCTCAAAGCACCTCAGGTGTCTTGATGAAAAGGAGTAAAACTAATGAATGCAGTCTGACCCGTTTTTTTATTTTTTTATTTACGGTTTCCAGAGCATCAAGGTGAACTTCTCACTCACATATTACTCACAGGAAAAAAAGTAACGGGCTGGATTCATTTAAAAATATTTTTTTAAAGGGTTGACTTGATGATCCAATGGTTTGTCAGAATAAAACAAAAAAATCAAACCCTATAAAGATGGTGGCAAACAGACAAAAAAAATACCTTTAATATGATGTAAAAGTATATAATTTCTGGCATCTAATGTAGGTAAGTGCAAAGTATCACATAGTAACCAATACAATAAAACATTTTAAAGCTGTCCCATTGGTTTATGCTTAATTAATTATTTACTAAATTACAGAAACTTTCTTTTATGTTAAAAGCAACTTTTTTTTCCTTAATTAGGATTTAGCTTTACAAATAATGCTGTACGAAACATAGTTTTCTTCTGTCATGATGTTTTTAACCTACCTCATGAAACTGCTGAACTACGAGAGAAGAATTCACTCACAGTGAGTGAAAACATCTCTCTAAAAGGAAACTGAAAGTAACTTCTTTTGGCTCTGTAGAACCGGAAACATAACTACAGCGTCACGTGACAAGAAACTTTCCCCTGTGTTTCTGAAAGCCCTCTCTGGAAAATGGCGGAAAGCACGGCAGTCCTTAAACATTTCCTGAGCTGCTATGTTTGTTCAGAGACTTTCAGAGATCCTGTGTCTCTGAGCTGCAACCACAGCTTCTGTTCAAGCTGCCTGAAGGAATTCTGGGAACAGGCTGGAAACAAAAACTGTCCCATCTGTAAAAGAAGATCTTCCAAGGAATTCATAGATGTAAATTTTTCCCTGAAGGAAGTGACTGACTCATTTGCAGGAAGACAAAAATCTGGATCATCGAAAAAAGGTGAGGAACAGTTGATGGTGGTCGGCAGTAAACAACAAGAACACCCTAAACTATTCTGTGAAGACAATCAGAGCGAAAAGGGGGAAAGCACGAGCAGAGAAAAACAAGCTAAGATAGGGTCCTGCAGTAAACACCAAGACGTTCCTCACTTGTTCTGTAAAGACGATCAGAGAGCAGTTTGTCCTGTCTGTGAGTTTTCTCTTCACCAGAATCACAAAGTGGTTCCTCTAGAACAAGCAGTCAGTGATCTGAAGGAGCAGCTGAAATCTGACTTAAAGCCTCTGCAGGAAAAGAAGGACAAATGCAAACAAGTGAAGAAAACATATGACGATATGTTTCAACACTCCAAGGAGCAGCTGTTTTCCACAGAGAGGCAGATCAGAGCAGAGTTCACAAAGCTGCACCAGTTCCTGAAAGAGGAAGAGGAGTCCAGACTGGCAGCTTTGAGGGAGGAAGAGGAGCAAAAGAGGAAAACTATCAGCATAGAGAAGAAGAGGATTCAGGAGCAGATCTCCTCTCTGTCAGACAGTATCTCTGCTGTTGAAGAAGACCTGCAGAAAAACAACATGTTGTTCCTTAGCAGCTATAAAGCCACTCAGAGCAGAGTCAGAGCCCAGAGCTCACTGTCAGATCCACAGCTGCTCTCAGGAGCTCTGATAGATGTGGCCAAACATCTGGGCAACCTGTCCTTCAGAGTCTGGGAGAAGATGAAGGAGAAGGTCCAGTTCTATCCAGTCATTCTGGACCCAAACACTGCATACCCTGGGCTTCATTTGTCCGTGGATCTGACCACTATGAGACGTGGAGAAACAAAGCAGCAGCTTCCTGATAATCCAGAGAGAAACACCAACACTGGAACCGTGTTTGGTTCTGAGGGCTTTAGCTCAGGGAGGCACAGCTGGGAGGTGGAGGTGGGAGACCATCCTGACTGGACTCTGGGTGTAGTTAAAGAGTCAGCTGAGAGGAAGGGTGCAAGATGTGCTTCACCAAAACATGGGATCTGGAGTTTATGGCACGGTCTTGGAATATATACGGATACTTTAGGAACGGTTATCTCAGTGAAGAAGAGTCTTCACAGGATCAAAGTCCAGCTGGACTATGACAGAGGGGAGGTGTCCTTCTATAACCCTGAAGACATGACTCACATCTACACTCACAGAGACACTTTCACTGAGAAGCTCTTCCCATATTTTGGTATTAGACGATCTGGTAGTGCTAAAACATCTGATGTCAAAATATTTTATAGAAACATTGCTCTTTAAGGTTTGGGGACTTTCATCGCCATGTGTGAGATCACTTCTACTTCACCTAATATTGCCTCTACAGTAATTGTGTTTCTTCTATTCAAATTAAAAGAAACAATAATGGAATTAATGAATAATATACTTGGCATATTTTGTGTCTGTTTAAATCTATGTTGATCCATTAAAGCCTAATTAAGAAATACGGCTACATCAAGCAGGGCATATGTAATCAAGCTTAATAGTCTGAAGTTTTTTTTTTTTTTTTCAAAAGGCCATGAGGTCTATCACAAATTCATGAATTCAATTCAACAACAACAGATCTGCAAATGCCTGAAAAATAAACACTTCTTTACAACTTCTCTTACCTGAAAAATTTCTAATTTAAGGAGTAAATTGTAATTTTCTACTATTAACCTGAAAATAAGGAATGTAAGCCAATATAGTAACATCTTTTTTGTCTTAGCATTCAGCATCTCTGTGGTGCAGTGGTTTAAGTCTTTGTCGTATATTTGGGATTGAATGCCGAGTATTTAATGAATGTTATCTGGCATTAAAAACTTAAAACGAGTATGTTTAATCATTTTTGTTACAACTTTGTTATTCCTAGAATTCAAACCATCAGAGCATTTTGAGCTTAACTTAAAAAAATGGAGGCCTATTGTAGAATGGATCCAGAATTGGAAGCCAAAAGATTTTTTCAAATAATGTAATTCATATAATAAATGTATGTATTTAACAGGCTTAACCATAACTTACTCTTATCTAATTGGTGGGATTTCCTGTGAACAAAATCACCTTGATATGCTCAGGAGACCACATACTCATAATGAGCAAACTCATTATAAGCATGTGATCCAATGCACTTGTTCCAAAGTTTTGCTTGTGATGTGAATCCTAATTCATGCTACCTATTTGAAATATTGTAGAATCCCTCCTTGATATAGATAATTCTTCTGTTGCTCTGAGGGTAATGAAGATGTGCATAGATAATTTTAATGCAAAATGCACTCATGTGAAGGTTTAGGAAATACTGTCTTTGATAAGATTATCAGCATCTCCAACAGCATACAGGACCACCCACTAGTAGAAAATCTGAGCCCAACTCAGATGATCTGGTAAAAGAATGCCTCTGTTTGGTGCAGTGCTGTATTTTGGGACCCGGCAGTCTGCACAGCTCACTGATTTCTATTTATTCCCTGGATTGCTGATTGCCCGTTGGTAGTAAGGGGTTGAAGTGAAGCCACCAGCCGCCATATTAGTACTCCCTTGTTAGACCCGTCGCAATGTAAATAACGTGCGCTACAGCATCGAAACAACAAGATGTTCTTATTTTCAGGGGGACTCAAGACTTTTAAAATTAAGAGAAACTCATAATTTTGCCACACACACTTGCTGTTTCATAGCATAAAGTAGATTACTGTAACTTATAATAAATAAAAATAAGCACATTACATTGCATAGTCAGTATGAAGTCTATAAATCATGTAATATAACATATTATACAAATCCATCATATATATATATATATATATATATATATATATATATATATATATATATATATATATATATATATATATATATATATATATATATATATATATATATATATATATATATATATATATATATATATATATATAAATATATATATGTATATATATATATATATATATATATATATATATATATATATATATATATATATATATATATATATATATATATATATATATATATATATATATATATAGGGAAGTAGAATCTGGAGATTGATAGACAGATTGATGCAACTGCTGCTATAATTCAGATGCAGCACCTGTCTGTTGTGGCGAAGAGAGATCTGAAAGAAAATGCAGAGCTCTCAATTTATAGGTCAGTCTATGTTCCATCCTGAGACCTTCAGGGATTTATTGTGTTTATTTTCTGATTCTGTTTCTGAACCCTGTGTCACTGAACACCCTAGCTTGGCCAAACTAGGTATAAAATACTCCTGTATTTTTACATTATTCACTTAAAAAATTACGTTTAATTTTTAAATTTTGTTTAAACCAAATAGAATAGATTTAGTCATATTGTCATTTATTGATGATTTTTTTTTTATTAAAGCAGCTCATTAATCTATCCCTAATTAATTACCATCTGAAAAGCTTTTCTTAATCCTGCCGGTGGCATAAAAGCTCAGCAGGTAAACATCTGCTTTACCTTTTCACTTTTGGCCTCAAAAACATCTTGGGTCAGTTGGTCTTGATCAGTTCCTGTACCAACAGAGGTTCCACCAACCAGATAATCTTGCCTGCCAAGATGGTTTCAAACATTCAAGCCAGCAAATCCTGATTGTCTGGACAAACAGTCCTTCTTGTTTTGGGTCGTTCCTACTCATGAATAGGTTCAAACGTCATAGAGATTATCTAAGTGTGCAGTTTGTGTTACCTCCCAAAATTTTTCACATCAGTGGTAAATGTTCATGTTTTCAGGAGTCTCATTAGAACATGATAAATCATTATTTACCCCTTTTTTTACAACTTCTCTATTTACTCAGATTCATCTTAAAAGATTTATTATTTAAATTCTAGCAGACAGGATTATGTAACAGTTATATCTTATAGACTTTTTATTTTTATTTAAAAATTTTGAAAACCTTAAACTCCATTTGTGGTTTTTAGACTATTGAAAAAACACCTGCAGCATTTACAATTATAAAAAAGAGATATTTAGAACAACAAGTATGAAAACAGTTGAATTATTTACTATAATCTTAGTAGATTTGGATCAGTATTAAACACATTTATTTCCTTTAAATTCTATAACTATGCATAAAAAACCCTTAAAATGTTAGAGGATTCTCTGAATGTAAATCTCCACCCACTGAAACCATCCTCACTGTTACAATGCAGGGAGAATGTTGTTCAGCAGGTTTATAGTAAGGTGAGAGTGAATTGTGTCCTACCAAACCTTATTTATTTTTCTATTTATAATTGAAAAAAAACACTCTGCATTTTTTTTCATATTTTTGTTATTACACAACAAAACAGAAAAAAAATGTACAAGCAAAACAAATAAAAAAATAACTTGTCTGTCTTTCTGTCTTGAAAAAACGTCCCAAGAGCTCGTCTGACTGGTAAAATCTCTCTGAGGCATACAACTGAATGAAAGGAATTTTCTTAGTTGTCGAACAGAGTTAAGGCACCATCACACTGTGTCAGATTGCTGCCGAAAAACAAGCATCATCTTAAACGGATTTGGAACTGTTGAGAAACCTTTTATTGGTGAGTCCAATGCTTCATTGGGAGAGCTGTTTCTGAATTGTATTTTTTATCTACTACTAATCCTTTATATCTTAAAAGGATAATGTAAAAAAAACAAATTTATGTTTTCTATCTAGGTGATTTTTACAATGAAAGAACTGCCTGACACTTTAGCTGGAAGACAGAAACCATCTTCATCTGAGAGAAAAAAACAAGCTAAGATGGGGGTGTGCAGTGAACACCAAGACGTTCCGCACTTGTTCTGCGAAGACGAGCAGAGAGCCGTTTGTCCCGTCTGCGAGTTTTCTCTCCACCAGAGCCACAAAGTGGTTCCTATTAAACAAGCGGTTGGTGAGCTGAAGAAACAACTGAAATCTGACCTGAAGTCTCTGCAGGACAAGAAAGACAAATACAAACAAATGGAGAAATCATACGATGAAATGACTGAACACATAACAAAGCAGGTGGCTTCCACTGAGACACAGATCAGAGCAGAGTTCAACAAGCTCCACCAGTTCCTGAAAGAGGAAGAGGAGTCCAGACTGGCAGCTCTGTGGGAGGAAGAGGAAAAGAAGAGGAAGACTATCAGCAGAGAAATAAAGATGATTCAGGAGCAGATCTCCTCTCTGTCAGACAGTATCTCTGCTGGTAAAGAAGACCTGCAGAAAAACAACCTGTCGTTCCTCAGCAGCTATAAAGCCACTCAGAGTAGAGTCAGAGCCCAGAGCTCACTGTCAGATCCACAGCTGCTCTCAGGAGCTCTGATAGATGTAGCCAAACATCTGGGCAACCTGTCCTACAGAGTCTGGAACAGAATGAAAGGGAAAATCCACTTCAGTCCCGTCATTCTGGACCCAAACACTGCAAGTCGATGGCTCTCTCTCTCTGATGATCTGACTAGTGTGAAGCGTGGCGACACTAAGGAGCAGCTTCCTGATAATCCAGAGAGAAACATTAATTACACCAATGTTTTTGGTTCTGAGGGCTTCAGCTCAGGGATACATAGCTGGGAGGTTGAGGTGGGAGACCATCCTCGCTGGAATATCGGCTTAGTTAAAGAGTCTGTAGACAGGAAGGGAGAGACTTGTGCTTTGCCGGATTTTGGAATCTGGTGTTTGGTGCATGGTGATGGAAAGTACACAGATGGTGAGGATAACATTGTCACAGTGAAGCAAAATCTGCAGAGGATCAAAGTCCAGCTGGACTATGACAGAGGGGAGGTGTCCTTCTACGACTGTGAAGACATGACTCTCATCTACACTCACAGAGACACTTTCACTGAGAAACTCTTTCCTTATTTTTGTGTTGGAAAAGCAGTGGAAGTGAATCCTTCCAGTATCAGAGTCTGTAAAACTAAGATACAGTTTTAAATTTCATAGACAAAAAGTTTTAGCTTAAGAATAGAAAATGTGTTTGGTTCTTAATGTCAGCCAATTCTTAAATTAATTTATTCGGCAATGTATGCATGTAAACAGTGGGGGGAAAAAAACTCTTGTGATATGGATTGCTAAGTGAACGGTTTGTTGCGCAAAACAGCTATAAAATAACATAATCATATGAAGAAAATGTTTAAAAACTATCAAAAATTCTTGAAATCTAAGCAAAAAAACAAAACCAAATTTTGGTTCATCCAAATTATCCCATTGGTTCTTGAACCAATGTAATGTTTTAAAAGGAAACGTTTTGTTGTTGTTTTTTTTTTTATCTTAAAAGTATGAAGAAAAAAAATTACAGAAAAATGATGAAACTTAAACCTACATACAGGTATATGTTGTTTTTTTTTTTTTTTTACTGAATTTTTCTATGGAAAAATATTACCATCCAAAGATGAAGACAACAATATCTTCCATTTGGTCAGAATACTAATTTATTTATATTTCCTATTGCTATTGTGCTCACCTGTAAGTACAAGCTAAATGGAACAACTTGGGCATTAATGCTTTGGGTTTTTTTGTCTTGTGTTGTTTTGAAAATAAACTTTTTTTTAAACATTTGTAATATGGTGCAGAACAAGTTGTAAACATTAAAAAATCCTCAGTAATCAATATATTGTTGGTGTTTGAAGCAGCTTGTCTTAATGCATTTGTTATCAAGATGTTACAATAAGAGCCAATTTATCAAATAAATCACAACTGCAGTAAACCTTTGCACTTCATTGGATCAACCAAAGGTACTTATTATAACCACACATTTTTGAGGGGCTAAAGATTATGAGCATAAAAAACCCAATAAGATTGCAAGATTAATATTATACTAATAATTTTCAATCATTTCATGTTTACTGAGGTCATGAGCAAAAAATAGGGGTGATATTGCTAAAAACCTGAGCTATTTCAAATATTGCATAAAATAACACAAGGAAAATTAGCCAGCATAAGTAATATCTTTTCAATTCTTCTGGGTGTGTTTAATAAGAGACACAGTTCTGTTTCCTTCTCATCTGGACAAATAATTTAATCTTTAAAGTTGTTCTCTTCCTAAGAAATCATCTATTTGCTGCTATGATAATGGTCTAAACAGTTTAGACTATAATCAAAGCCATGACTTAGATAAAACTTGAACTGAGGGCCACAGTTCTTAAGTCTGATGTTAGTCTTTTGAAAGAAACTGGTGCAGAGGTCACCTGCTTATTAATTTCTTTCCTGAAGAGAGCAACATATGGAGCTATTTTACCATTGCATTCTCTAACATAAAAAATATTGATGGATCCATGCTTGTATGGTCCTTAAATATGTCTCTTTCTGTCCGCTTGAACCCCAGTCAGACTAACCAGAAGGCCGCTCACACTGAGCCTGGATTTGCTGGAGGTTTATTCCTGTTAAAAGAGAGTTTTCTTCTGGACTGTCACTGTATGCATGCCCAGCATGAGGGATTGCCGCAAATTCAATGACATGATGTAACTGAATGTCTACTGTCAATTCAACTAAATTCAATTCAATTTATTTATATAGTGCCAATTCACAATACGTGTCATCTCAAGGCACTTTACAGAGACAATTTAATGAGATCATACAAACAGATGGTTCAAAGTTTTCTATGTAAGCAAAACCAGCTGATTTCTTTGACTCATTGGCTCAAGGGCAATCCCTCATACCGTGGAAAGGAAGAACTCCACTTTAACAGGGAGAAACCCGCAGCAGAACCAGGCTCAGTGTGAGCGGCCATCTGCATAGGCCGCTTAGATTTCAAATAAACAGAAGCAGACATACAGAAAGAAGCAGAGATGTAAAGATGAGCTGTAAATCAGTTCCACACACAGTCCTTTCCAGGAAAGACACAGCAAGGCAGACAAGCTCCGAGCCAAGCTACCATGTCAGAGGTTGAAAGAGGGCATATACAGGGTACAGTTAGTCACAGTCAGAGAAACAGGTCTTCATTGAAAACAGACCAAGCTCCAACATCTATAAACAAAGGCGATGGCAGCAGCACAGCTGATATTTCTCTCTGTGATGGTGTCACAGCTAGACTAGAATAGACCAGATGAAGCTACTACAGTAGGGGAAAGGCAGAGAGGGCATAAAGTTAGAGGTTGAACCAAACTGATGATTTGTTGAACCAACAAATAATGTAGAGTGGGAGATTAGAGATAGAATCAGGCAGAATGATGAAAAGGGGTACCTATGTCCTCTAGCAGTCTGAGCCTATAGCAGCGATAGCTCAGGATAACCTGTGCCTCTCTAACTATAAGCTTTATCAAAAAGGAAAGTTTTAGGCCTTGTCTTAAAATTAGAAATGGTACGTCTGCCTTGCAGAACAAAAGTGGTAGTTGGTTCCACAGGAGCTGAGCCTGAAACAGAAGAAACTGATTTTTGTTGAAGCAGATAAAAAAAATGTACAGTAAAAATACCAGGATCTTTAAAAGATATTTGAGTAAAACCATACCTTAATAGTAGAGAATAAATGTTGCAACACAAATAGTGGGCGTCACCCGAAGATATGTGTAGCATGAACTCACATCTGCAAATTATCAACTTATGCTCAATTTCAACCATCTAATGTTTTGAATAGAAAATCTCCTGTGTTGGCATCAAATATATAAAGTTAAACTCTGTTAATACATCCAAACCTAATTTAGAATAAGTGGCAGCTGTTGTGGGTTACTGTGAATGGTTCTTTTTTATTTATCTTATAACCATATTGCTCCCATAGCTCAATCAATTAGAGTCAGAATTAGCCACTTTGCTTTTAGATAGATAGATAGATAGATAGATAGATAGATAGATAGATAGATAGATAGATAGATAGATAGATAGATAGATAGATAGATAGATAGATAGATAGATAGATAGATAGATAGATAGATAGATAGATAGATAGATAGATAGATAGATAGATAGATAGATAGATAGATAGATAGATAGATAGATAGATAGATAGATAGATAGATAGATAGATAGATAGATAGATAGATAGATAGATAGATAGATAGATAGATAGATAGATAGATAGATAGATAGATAGATAGATAGATAGATAGATAGATAGATAGATAGATAGATAGATAGATAGATAGATAGATAGATAGATAGATAGATAGATAGATAGATAGATAGATAGATAGATAGATAGATAGATAGATAGATAGATAGATAGATAGATAGATAGATAGATAGATAGATAGATAGATAGATAGATAGATAGATAGATAGATAGATAGATAGATAGATAGATAGATAGATAGATAGATAGATAGATAGATAGATAGATAGATAGATAGATCATCGCACTTGCACTAGTCCATCCTGGCCATTTCAAAAGTACTTGCAAATCATCAATATAGGCCACCTGTAGCCTTTTCAGGCTGATTTTTATATATAGACTACAGGTGAGCCATGTACAGAGAGGTACAATATAGATAAAAAAGTTCCACTCTTACCACATCAGTACATTCACCAAATTAACGAGCAAGGGTATTAGCTTCAGCATACAACATTCTACAATGTCTACAGATATCATTATCAACTGCCAGATTCTCTGTGATGATGTGCCCAAGACAATTGGTTTTATTAGTAACACCCAGCACAGTATTTGACAGATGAAATCTGGAAACTGAATAGATGTATCTTCTGTACTCTTAAAGATCATTACCACATTTATTGTAAATACATGGTAAATATAACTAGTCTATATTTTAGAGTAGTTGGAATTATTATTTTTTCCATGTAAATACATCAATGGATTTTTTTTGTTAAGTGCCAGTATGCATGATACTAATCTGTGGGCTCAGACCATTACAGTAGTTCTTCTTCAGATTGACAGCAGGGGGGAAGCAACTGTCTCTGCATCTCGTTTGGCACCAACCTGAGGGCTAAAGAATTCTAGTTGCCCTTTTCTTTATACGGGACCTGTACGAGGGGAAAAGTTGTGGGGGAAAAGTCAGAATGCTGCTATATGATTAGGCTCCTGGAGGACATATGGACCATGTCTAACATCCTGCTCCATTTTATCTCTGTTCTCCTACTCTGCAGTATATAAGGTCTACTCATAACTTTATGTTCTCTCTGCTTTTTCCTGTCATAACAGCTTCATCTGGTCTCTTCCTGTTGACGGTAACTCCATCTTAGATTGAAATATCAGCTGTGCTGCTGCCATCGACATCCCTGTTTATAGATGTTGCAACTTGGCCTGTTTTACAGTATAGTCCTGTTTCTTTTACTGTGACTAATTGTATGTGCTCTCTTTCTTCCTCTGACATGAGAACTGGTTCATTGCTTGAACTGAATCAAATAGAGACGGTTCTGTTGAGTCGATTTTGAGCAGTTTAAGGTTTTTCTGAACACACAAGTAACCCAGAAGATCTTCTGCTTATCCAGACAGACTTGTCACTGTAATCTGTGACTTGTAATCTGTGATACCATTTGCCCGGTGGGCTGTAGTCTGGTCTTTCAACCAAAAAAAGAGAATGTTAATTTGTTTGATTGGCGAACCATTCAGCTGAAGCTTATTAGTTGCATGCAAGAGTTTACCTTAATGTTTGTTTTCCTGCTTATAAAATATAACCACAAAGAAAATCACTAAACATTGTGATAAATGCAAGGGAAACCTCTTGGACTCCAGTTCAGAATAAAAAAGGGACCTTCAAATAAGCATAGGTGGGAGTGCATGTATATAGTATTTCAGCCTCCATTTATTTGACAGTGACTGACAGCATTGATACAGCAGTTTATCTCTTTTATAATCACTAAAATTTTTCTGAATGATAACAATTCATCACACGCTAAAGAATAATCATGCTGAGGGACTGTAAACTTCTGCCAGGAGATGAGTGTCATTACATCTTTCTGCTTCCTGCACAAGTTAAAACAGAGTGCTTTACAGCTTGTGAGGTGTTATTGTTAAATGTTAACAGCTTGATTCTTTATTTATCATTAACCATGTCTCCTGGCGGGTTATGGAAATGAGGAAGCTGGCTTTAGGGCAGAGCAGGTTTCTCGTAACGACTCAAAGGAAAGAAATGTTGTTTATCCAGTTTTTAGTGAGCTAAAAAAAAACTCTTTTAACCCATAATGATTTCTAGATGATTTAAAAAGGTTAAACTAAATTTACCAACAACTTCATGTAAAGATTTCATGGAGGAAATGTTAAAGTTATATATATATATATATATATATATATATATATATATATATATATATATATATATATATATATATATATTTTATAATTATATGGTCTGCAGATTTCACAGTAGGATTAGGAAAGGTACTGACTAAAGAAAAACAATTACGCAACATAACTCGTCTAACTGGTTACTCCTCACTGTGCAGTTAAAACCATCATACTGTTTTTCAGCATGAACAGACCTGAAACACCATCCCAGGGACAGCATCACTGCGGCAATCCACCGTTGCTGGAATTACACTGAAGAGGAATCAGCGAGTTTCCTCTGAACGGCTTCCGAAGGATAACACAACATGGCTGAGTCGATTATTTTTCAATCCTACCTGAGCTGCCCCGTTTGTTCGAACACATTAAAAGATCCCGTTTCTCTGAGCTGTAGCCATAACTTCTGCGCCAGCTGCCTACAGAGATTCTGGCACGAAACTAAAACCAAGAACTGTCCCATCTGCAGGAGAAGATCCTCTAAAGAAAGGCTCTCATTGAACTATACGCTAAAGGAACTGGCTGATTCTTTTGCTCGAACGCAGGTGTTTGGACCACCTGGGATGGCAAGGAGAGAGGAGAACTTATTAGTGGTCTGTAACAGGCATCCAGAAGATCCTAAATACTACTGTAAAGATGAGCAGAGAGCTGTGTGTCACATCTGTGAGTTTATTCTCCACCAAAATCATAAAGTGCTTCCAATAGAACAGGCGATCAATGAGCTGAAGATGCAGCTGAAGTCGGATTTAAGGACTCTGCAAGACAAGAGGAACTGGAGCATGCAGATGGAGAAAACATACAGTGAAATGGGAGAACACCTAAGGATTCAGGTGTTGAACACAGAGAGTCAGATCAGAGCAGAGTTCAACAAGCTCCACCAGTTCCTGAAAGAGGAAGAGGAGTCCAGGCTGGCAGCTCTGAGACTGGAAGAGGAGCAGAAGGCGAAAACTATGAGCAGCTACTTGATGAAGATCCAGGAGCAGATCTCTTCTCTGACAGACACCATCTCTGCTCTTGAAGAAGACCTGCAGAAAGAAGTCATGCCATTCCTCAGCAGCTATAAAGCCACTCAGAGCAGAGCCAGGACCCATAGGTCAGTGCCAAATCCACAGCTGTTCCCGGGAGCTCTGATTGATGTGCCCAAACATCTGGGCAACCTGTCCTACAGAGTCTGGGAGAAGATGAAGGAGAAGGCCCACTTCAGTCCTATTGTTCTGGACCCAAACACTGCACACCCCAGTCTTTATCTGTCCGACGATCTAACCAGTGTTAAATGTGGAGTGACATGGCAGCAGCTACCTGACAATCCAGAGAGAAACATCAAGTATGCCAATGTGTTTGGTTCTGAGGGCTTCAGCTCAGGGAAACACAGCTGGGAGGTGAAGGTGGGAGACCATCCCGACTGGCTCATTGGATTGGTTAAAGAGTCTTTCGACCGAAAGGGGGAGACATTTGCCTCCCCAAAATTTGGAGTTTTATGTTTGGTCCATCGCAATGGGAAATACTCAAATGGGGCTGGTAAGACTGTGATGGTAAGGGAGAGTCTTCAGAGGATCCGAATCCTGCTGGACTATGATGGAGGGGAGGTATCCTTCTACAACTGTGAGGACAGGAGTCTCCTCTGCACCCACAAAGACACTTTTTCTGAAAAGCTCTTACCGTACTTTTGTATCGGAAAGGCCGGCGAGAGTAAAACGCATGACATTAGAATCAGTAAAATTTCTCCTTGAGAGGTACAGAGTGTAAGTAGGCTTTGACTGTTAACATATTAAAATGTGATAAATATGGATTAGGACACAGATAATGTATGCTAAATAGGAATATTTATCTGTTACGGATACAAGGTAAAAAATATTAAACATAGAAAAGAAGTACATAACATTACATTTAGGAATCATAACATAAAATGTTACAAAAAAGTAACATTTTATATAAAATTTATATATAGATGAAATTATTACAAATGAAGCAGCTCAATACTGATCTGTTTTTCAATATGCTAAAATTATTTGGCAACTGACTACTCAGGTTTATGTCTGATTTTTACTTTTGGAAATGTTGGATTTTGACCTTTCTTTCTGCATTAACTTGCTATGGGAACTTACCTGACATGCTAATCTCATATGATTGTTTTTAGGTTTATGATTACTTTCTTTGCAATAGTCTATTTAATAGTTTTAGGGATTATGATTGAAAGATGAAGTGTAATCAGGGATTCAGTTTGAATCTAATATCAAGCTTTAAAGATGTGTATGCTTTCTTATATGTGGGAGCAAATTTTGGAGTTTGTATGACATATGTATTTTAGCCTGTTAAAGGTAAAGTATCTCTTTTATGTTTGTCAGACAGTCCTCTGTACAGTAAGTTTGTAAATATTTAAAGTTTATTAAAGGTTTAATGTTTAGATTTATTCAAATTAATTTAAGATGACAAAACATTTTCCCTAGGTAGCTAAATAATTCACTACAGGTGCAGACAAAAATACTCTATTTTGTTTTTAAAATGAGTTTTGCTGTGAATCTGCAGAGTGAAATATGTTTAAAGTCCCTTTATAAATTCTACCTTTAAATTAGGTATTTCCTACACTAAAAATGCATCAGCTAATTGTGTATGATTTGATTTTGTTTTCTTGGTTTTCCTTCTTTGAAGCAATTTTTACTTTTTTTTTTTTTTGCTTTTTAATTGGTTAGTTTATTACATATATTATTGTTATGTATCAATTTGTTATTTTTATTAAGTTTTAATGCTACAGTTAAAAAAAAAATATATATATATATATTGGTTTTAATTTAGCTGGGTTAATTATTTTCTGTGAATGTTGATTTTTAACGTGTTATTTTAAATCTCTTTTACTTAACATTTACTTAACTTGTACGCCCCCTATTGGGTGATATTAGACACTACAGTTTGTAAGGGTTTGAACTGCTGGGATGTTTTAAACAATAAAAGCATGACCTGTGGTCAATTGTGTTTTTCTAGTTTGTTGTGCTTGGTTATTATAATAAACTCGATCAGTCACTGATAGGTAAGCTTCCTTTTTGTATAATTTTTTTTTTATAAATTCAATCTCCATTGAAATAACTCCAGCAAGGAGACCAATTTCTTATAATAGGATAAATAGAAACATTACCAATAATTTTCGGGGGTTTCTTAAAGTTTAGCTGATGAAATTCTAAGAAATGTAAGTAAATGTCTTTTAGTCAAATATATTGGTCATTCATTTATCTCATTTCAAATAGGCATACGTATTGTTTATATGTTTTTACTTGTAAGTGCATTCCATTAATAATAACACTTTAGCTTTTTTTTTACTGCATAACCCTCATTATTTCTGTTTGTTTTATGTTAGACAGAAACTGCTTCTATAAGAAATTTTCTAATTTATTCATACTCCAATAGTTCCTAAAATAAATGATATATTTCAGATATATCATAGTTGTTATGCATGCTCCTTTGATTTCACTGAAAACAGTAAAAGAACATATCGGTCACTATGGGTAACATGCTTATGAATTTGCAAAGAAAGCACAATGAGAAATGTTGTAGAAATGAAACTAAAAAATAGCAAAATAAAGAGACATAACAAGTATAGAAGTGTTGAAAAAGATAAGAAAGGGGGTGTACTATTTTTGAATACTGAGGAAGGATTAATTTTTAGATAAAAAGAAATAGACAGATCAGATAGTGGGAAATGCCATTTTAAGAGTACATTTTATCATTTGGTAATAATAATGAATAAGCATCATGCTATTAAATAATAATCCTAATTGTATGGCATTTTTCAAGATAACCAATGTTGCCTTACATCTCTGTTGGATAATGTTTAACCACCCCATGCATGTCGCTGTTGCAGGACTGGAGAGCTGCTTCAGTGACAGACTGCTGCACCCTAAATGCACTAGGAAGCGTTATCACAGCATTCCTCCCAGCAGCTGTAAGACCCTATTACCACCCCTGTTCCCAATAATCTCAATAAGTTGTGACATTCATACTGATTTTGCACATTTTCTACCTTAGTCAGTAAAATAACAGGCTGCTGTCATTTTGCACATCTTGGATGTTGCTGCTGTTTTCAAATGTCCATTAGTGTAAAAATGTCCATAGCCGTATATTGGTTATTTATTCTACATTTGCACATATTGTTAAAACACTTTACAGTACAGTATTTTATTGTTTGTCTTTTAATTCTCAACTCGTTCTAAAATATTTTTGCTGCTGCGAACACCAGAATTTCCCAATATTCTATTTTATAGCAAAAGAACAGCAGAAAGAAGGTCAGGATAAGGAGGGAGGATGTGGTTGGTTTTTACAAGAAGAAAAAGTAGAAAATGTATTTTTAGATGAATCATTATTAGAAGACGCCGATGCTGTTCTTCATTTACCTCTAGTTCAGTCAAAATTGATCCATATGATTAAAAAGAACCGAGAACATATATTTAATTTTTTGGCAGAATCTACCCCCTTTTGCACTAAATGGTGTCATTTTTTATATGGACCATCTTCCCCAGCCTGTTTCTTATATTATTAATATCCTCCTGCTGTTGGGTAAATATCATCTGTGCTAAATGGAGAAATGCTAAACCTTCCTTTCAGTGGTTTATTAGTGACTTTAAAACCTTTTTTCTTTTCTTAAAAAGAAAAAAAAAATAAAGACAAATATGCCAAAAAATTGAGACTTGATTTCTCCAATCATCTGCTTTTCTAGGTACGTTCACCTTTTTGTTTTTATTATTTCTATGGTTCTCTCTATGTTTGACTTAAATGTTTGCTGAGATAAATCCCCTGATAGTTGTCTTACTTTTTTGTTTTTCTTTTATTGTAATTGATCTTTATATGTTCATGTACACCTTTGCTATCCTCTCTGAGAGTATTTTTTTTCATGTACGGTAAATGTTTTTGACTTAATAATAATAAAAAACTTAAAATAAAAAAAGTATTCAGGTGTAATCCAAAAGTAAAAGAAGTAAAATATAAAATAATAAATAGTTACTATCCAACAGCAGAAACTCCTAAGAAAAGATTTGGATTTGAAGAAGACTTTTTTTTTTTTTACTTTTAAAAACACTTTATTTACAAAATTCAAACATATAAACAATTGAAAAACAGTGATTGACTGAAATGATTGGGCAATAAAATAGTCCAGGAAACCATTGTTTTAGTCCAAGCATGTTTTTAATCATTCTGTTGAAACACGGTTGAAAATGTATATCTAATTTTAATTTATTTATTTTTCAGAGAATTCTTTATTATTTTTGTGAGATTGAAGTTATTTTTCTTTGACCATTTTATTATTATTTTTTCTTTCATTAAACATACGGGAGGCAACTATTTTTTTCCTCCTACTTTGTAATTAATTTATGGAAATATTTATCTTGAATTTATTTTAAGATATATTTATGTGTTTGTTCATTTATTCGTTCATGAATTTATTTCAAGATCTTTCCCTTTTTTATCTTTTATTCTGTAAATCTAATATGATTTAATATTTTTTTATTGGCTAATTTACAACACAAGTTATCTCAAGGCACTATGCAGATAAAAATTTAGAATAGCTTTACTTCTTAACCCCTTCTTTTTTTCAGGACTTTTTTATATCATCTTATGCTGTTATATTGAAACGCGGGGGCAGTTTTCTCATTAGGGCTGGTGCAGCTTATAGCTTTAACAACAATATAGATCATGTTTATCCAATCAAAATATTTAGTTCTCTGCAATGTAGAAATACTGTTAGACATTTCACATTGCACAAAGATGATTTTTCTAGTTGAGTTTATCATCAATAATAAATCCAGAGAAATCAAACTTGATATTTCTTTTTAAACAGTTTTAGGATATAGGCTGCTCCGTGGTGCAGAGGGTTGCACTGCTGCCTTGCAGCAGGAAGGTTCTGGGTTCTATTCCCAGGTACTCCAGCTTCCTCCCACAGTCCAAAAACAAATGACAGGTTAATTGGCAAAATTAAACTAAACTAAATCTCTAAATTCTCCTTAGGATCTTAATGATTGTTTGTCTCTGTGTTGCCCTGTGATGGAGTGGGGACCTGTTCAGGGTGTATCCTGCCTCTCACCCCTAGACAGCTGGAGATAGGCACCAGCACCCCTTGCAACCCCCACTTGGGATTAAGCGTGTTAGAAGATGGATAGTTTTAGGATTATAATATGATGGTTATGTACAGGAAGGTTGAGATCCTCAACAATAACCTGGTTTTAAACTGTAAACCCAGCTTTATCTTAATAACTTGTAAACAAAATCTTCTCAGTGTTAAAAGAAGCACAAAATGCAACCAGCTTTATAAAATATGAAAGTGGGGTTTCCTCAAACACAATAAAGTCGACTTATAGTTCCAGAAAATAATGAAGGATGTGTTAGTCAGGGTGCTATACTGAGCTACAAACACGCACACAACAGTCAGAGAGCAATTTAAATATATATATTGAAATAATATAAAATATAAATATTTTTCATTAAATGTACAAAGGCCCAGTGAATCCCTGAGGGACGAGGCTCAGTCACAGGAGCCAGGAATGAACACGCAGATCCTCCAGGGTGGCTCGTCTGCTACTGTCCTCCTCCAAACACAGATGCAGAAAATTCAGGCACTCTGGAAAGAGAAGCCAAGGGTTAAAGGTCAGAAGCACAGGCGGGCGGTAACTAGCAAGGCACTTGCTGGTTATGTTCCTATACCTTGCGAAATGTCTTTGTTGAACTTAATGAGGCCCCGTGTAAAACGTCTGGTGTCAAAGTGACACCTGTGCAGCATGCGATACAGGATGGTTCCCAGCTGCCAAACCGTGGTCGGAGAAGGTCTATACTTCCTACTGCTGAACCACTCCGGGGGGGCGAATGCAAAAGTACCTGGAATACAGGCATAGTCAGAGCAGACTGTTATGCTTTGTTCGTCCATTTGCTTTCTAAAGGAAATGACTCAAAGAGGATCTCAGTTAAATGTTTAACAAAGTAGAAACCCACCACTAAAACTCCACAGCTGAAATCAATAATCCGGATGCGAGGCTCCTGGGATCCCATTTCCACCAGTGTGTTTTCACATTTTAAGTCTTGGTGGAAAATCCCCTTGTTGTGGAGGTCTAAGGCAGCGTCCACCATCTGTTTCATAAGAATCTGGAATAAAACAATGAAAAATGTGTCTTTATCATTAAAGATCTCATCTTTAGTTGTTGAAATTAAATAAAACTTTAAAAAATGTATTCTCCCCTTAAAGATTTCTTTGGTTTTTAATTTTTTTTACACATTAATGATTCAGATCATTAAGCAAAATGTATTATTAGAAAAAGATAAACTGAGTTATAAACAAAATGCATTTTCCATTGATCAGAGACAGAGAGAGAAGGTATCTAAACCCAGATGGATTATTTTCCCCTGAACCTAAAGACTGGTTGAGTCTGTTTTATTATGTTACACATTTATTTAAGAAATGATGGTTTATCAAAGATAAAAGTTGTTGCTGCAGCTATTAAATGGAAAAAACATAAAAGCTCTTAGTCTGCCAGCGAATGCAGACGTAGCAAAAACATCAAACCTCCAGCCTCCCTACCCTGGCCACGTCTTCCTCCAGGCGACCTCCACTGCAGGACATGTAAGCCACAAGATCCATGGATGCTGGTGGCCTTTCCATCACAATGACCAGGTCCTGATCCATAAGGTACCAGTCCAGGAGGGTGACGGCAGCAAACACCCCGACTGCATTTGGCTCACCTCCGGCCTTCTGCATGAGAGCCACCTCCAGGGGAACACTGTCCACCTTAAAAAAAACATAAGGACCTGATTGTGTAACTAACAGCAAAGGACAAATACTGTCTACTAAGATGACTGGGAGGCCGGCTGCTTCTAAACCAGTTCACTCACTTCACTCAGTCTGATTTGAGCTCTCCTCATGTTTATATACATGATGGCCACCTGTTGGACACAAGCACAAGTGTTATCCTTTCTGCAGACATCGGCAGTGATGCTTTCAGGATGCCTGCTTAGATTTGAGTCAAAGACAGACAGAAGGCCAAGAACACAATATAATTCCAACCGGTAGTGAATCCTCCAGGCGAAGGCCAGCGTAGACGGACCCTCTGGCCCCTCTGCCAATCAGTCCAAGACGTTTGTATTTTCTCTCAAACTCAGCTAGGAGTGAACAGAGAAATCACCTGATTATAATAAAGCTGTGAATACTGTCAGATTATTGATGTTAATGATGAACTTCAGCAATCAGAGATGCAGACATCATGTCTGTTGCTTTCAATAAACCTCAAAACTCTTTGTTTCTGTTTGGGTTTTTCAAGGATCAGAAAATGTCTGCAGTTCCTTCTGTTTACATTCCTAATTTTCTTTTATATTTTCAGGATGGATAAAATTATTCTCATGATTTCTTCAAATTTGAGTAAGCTAAACCTTCTTAAAAAATAAGACTGATATCTATGCTGACGACCTGATTGAATTATAAATACTTTCATAAATATTGAAAACTTTTCAAGTTCTTAAACTTAGTTGAATTTAACTTTGACCATTTGAACCATTTGTGCAGGAACTCTGTTATTTTAACCTGATTATAGCAGCAATTATTCTCTTATAGTAAGCATTAGAAATATCCAGAGGCTGTCAATGATTCAGAATCAAGTTCTTTATTCATATGAAGATAATTTTCCCATAAATGGTTCATTAATACTGGATCAAGCGAAACTTTTCCCTCTTCTGTAACTTTTCACCTTCATTTACTCTCTATTCACAAACCAATGAGTTTTCCAGCTTCCCTGTGCCTGCTAAAGAGGAACAGTCCCACAGCATGACACTGCCACCATCCTGCTTTACACTGCGAATGGTTGATTGAGGGGTTTATTACTGTTAGCTCTAGCTTTGCTATTAAAAGCTGTCTGGCTTTGAATTAAACCTTTAAACATAGAAGTTATAACATTTCCTCTCTTAACACTAAAACTGAGAAGGAGTAAAATAGCTTGTCTTTAGCCTGAGCAGAAAAAGGAAGGATGTTTGTGTTCCCACTTCAGGAGTTGCTGAGGTGCATTTATTTCAGTGTTGGGCTCACATTTGTCAGAAACTGAGCTGCTGGTGCCTTGCTCTGGCTCAGAGACTCTCTGCCTCTTCTTAGAGGACTCTTCAGGGACATCGGCCTTTCTCTTCCTCTCCCTGATGGGTTTCAGGTCTTCCTCTGGCTCCCTGAGGCTGATACTGGTGCTGCTTATCACTATTATGCTGGCTGGTGCCCGTCCAGTAGAATTGCTCTTTCCCTTTTCAGAATCAGAAATACTTTAATAATCCCAGAGGGAAATTACTTTTGTTACACGCTCCAGTTACAGTTTTTTTATATATATATATATATATATATATATATATATATATATATATATATATATATATATATATATATATATATATATATATACACACATCCAACAACACAAGATAATAAAGATTAAAAAAAAATAAAAAAGAGATAAAATATATACACATATAGCTCTTCTGTAAATATATACATATATATGTATGTATGTATTTTGGTACTTTTGGTATTTATTTTGGTACCTTTTGGTACTCTCTCACAAACTCTACAGACACAGAGTGATCTTGTCCAGCGGTGAGGTGGCTGAAGTTGTTGCAACTCTGTTTGCATAACTTTTTGTTGTCCAACTTGGGGACAACCTCCGCCTTCCTGCAGCTTGGTTCATCCAGACGGCTGCTGGGTCCAACAGAGACGCTCTGGTTATCTGAAAGAGTTCATTGGACAAATGTTTACACTCTATAGCAGATCTATTTAGGAAGAAATGGAAGAGGATGCAGACAGAGAGAAATCTAAAACCCCTCTTTTTAGTTATAAAACATGAGCCACCAAATACTTTGACAAGAAAAAATGACACTTTTCCATGAATCCGCTGATCCGGCATCAGCAAAGATTTTATAGAATAAAAGCTTGGCAGCAAGGAATTAGGTTTTTGCAATTTTTGGAGGAAAAATTATCAAAATAAATATTAACACTTTTACATAAAGGTAATTACAAACCTTTAATTGTTAAATCATTTAATGTTTTTCCATTAAATGTAGTTAAACAGGTTTTTTGGATTTTACAATTTATTGAACGTTCATCAAATAACAGGATCATCAATGTGTTACTCAAACAAGTCTAATGTTAGTATATTAATATAACACCTCTGCAACGTTTGGTTCCCTAAAATTTAACTCTGAATTTGCATTCCTGTTTCTTTTTCATATACCTTGCACATCACTTTACAGAGACAAGAGCAGGTGTCTCCGTGTTGCTTACCAAGTTTAAAGGCCTCAGTTGTCAAAAACTCAAATCACAGTGAGACTTTCTGGGGATTTATACCAACGATGTCGATCTATGAGCGATCTGCACATGCACAATCCTGTACCCACGGGGTAACACCTATTAAACGTGTGCGAGAGCGTGCACAAGCCCATTTAATCCCTCATACAAGCTCACTTTCCAAAAGAAAATTTGCAGTTTTTCCACTATGTTAGACTGAAAATAATTAGAAACGGGGTCGAGCACGCAGGACGGCCCAACTTAAACTTTTTTACCAGAACGATCAACAATTAGGAGGACCACTTACTTTATGATCTACCCAGCAAATAAAATGCTCCACTATACATTTAATATAAGATAACTCTGCTGCAACGTTTGGTTCCCTAGAATTTAACTTAGAATTTGCATTCCTGTTTCTTTTTCATATACCTTGACCATCAACTTGTTTTCCAGAGACAAGAGCAGGTGTCTCCATGTTGTTGAACGAGTTTAAAGGCCTCGGTTGTCAAAAAAACTCAGATCACGTTGAGACTTTCTGGGGATTTATACCAACAATGTCGATCTAGAAACAATTTGCACTCAGGAACAATTAACCACAGAATATACACTCACCGGCCACTTTATTAGGTACACCTGTCCAACTGCTCGTTAACACTTAATTTCTAAGCAGCCAATCACATGGCAGCAACTCAGTGCATTTAGGCATGTAGACATGGTCTAGACAATCTCCTGCAGTTCAAACCGAGCATCAGTATGGGGAAGAAAGGTGATTTGAGTGACTTTGGTTGAACCATATGTATGTATATTAGAAAATTGAAGTGTTGTAATCTGTATGGTTTATCAGGCAAAGTCTCTATAAAAACAATGTTTTTAAAATCCTCGGCCACTCAAAAAAAAAATAATAATAATAATAATTAAATATATATATATATATATATATATATATATATATGTATATATATATGTATATGTATATGTATATATATGTATATGTATATATATATATATGTATATGTATATATATAAATATATATATATATGTATATGTATACATGTATATATATGTATATATATGTATGTATATATATGTATGTATATATATGTTTGTATGTATATATATATGTATGTATATATATATGTATGTATATATGTATGTATATATGTATGTATATATATGTATGTATATATGTATGCATATATATATATATGTATATATATATGTATATTTGTATATGTATATATATGTATATATGTATATATATGTATATATGTATATCTATATATATGTATGTATATATATGTTTGTATGTATATATATGTATGTATATATATATCTATGTATACATGTATATATATATATATATATATATGTATATATGTATATATGTATATATGTATATATGTATGTATATATATATGTATGTATATATATATATGTATATATATGTATATAAGTATATATGTATATATATATATACATATATATACAAAATGACACTTTCCCATGAATCCACTGATCCTGCATCACCAAAGATTTGATAGAATAAAAACTTGGCAGCAAGGAATTACGTTTTTGCAATTTCTGGAGAAAAATGCATAGTTATCATATTTTTCCTGCAGTTCAAACCGAGCATCAGTATGGGGAAGAAAGGTGATTTGAGTGACTTTGGTTGAACCATATGTATGTATATTAGAAAATTAAAGTGTTGTAATCTGTATGGTTTATCAGGCAAAGTCTCTATAAAAACAATGTTTTTAAAATCCTCGGCCACTCAAAAAAAAATAATAATAATAATAATTAAATAAATATATATATATATATATATATATGTATATATGTATATCTATATATATGTATATATATGTATACATGTATATATATATATATATATATATGTATATATGTATGTATGTATGTATGTATATATATATATATATGTATGTATATATATATGTATGTGTATATATATATATATATGTATATATATGTATATATGTATATATATATATATATATACATATATATATATATATACATATATACATATATATATATATATATATATATATATATATATATATATATATATATATATATATATATATATATATATATATATATAAGAAAAAATAACACTTTCCCATGAATCCACTGATCCTGCATCACCAAAGATTTGATAGAATAAAAACTTGGCAGCAAGGAATTACGTTTTTGCAATTTCTGGAGGAAAATGCATAGTTATCATATTTTCTTACATAAAAGGTAACTGCAAACCCTTTTATTGTCAAACCATGTCATGTTTTTACAGTAGATGTAGCATAACAATATTTTGGGATTTAATAATTTAATGAACATTCATCAAATCACAAGAGGAAATTAACTGATTGTGTTTCTCAAACACATCTAATGTTAGTACATTAAAGGTATAGCGGTGGATTAATGCAAATTTTTGAAAAGACCTGCCCTCTCCACTTAAAAAAAAATGCACATGCACAACCCTGAACGCAAGGGGGAACAACTATTAAACGCGTGCGAGAGCGTGCACGAGCCCATTTCTGCTCATGCACGCTGTGTTTAAAAGTTTGCATCCCTCATACAAGCTCACTTTCCAAAAGAAGATTTGCAATTTTTCAACTTTGTTAGACTGAAAATAATTGTAAACGGGGTTGAGCACGCAGGACGGCCCAACTTAAACCTATCACCAGAATTACCAACAATTAGGAGGACCACTAACTTTGATGATCCACCTTGAAAAAGAAAATCCTCCACTAGACCTTTAATATAAGATAACTCTGCTGCAACGTTTGGTTCCCTAAAATTTAACTTTGAATTTGCATTCCTGTTTCTTTTTCATATACCTTGATCATCACCTTGTTTTCCAAAGAAAAGAGCAGGTGTGTTGGCCTACATCTTAAAAATGATATGGGGAGGAAAACTTACAGAACACATTCGCTGACAGAACATCCAATCCTAGAGCTATGGAGGGAATTTAGCTCAATTTTTGTAGCAAACAAAAGAACAAGATTTGTAAATGGAAATAGAAAATAATCCAGAAATAAAATGTGGAAAATAAATAATTTCCCCCCCCAAAAAAAAAAAAAAAAAAAAAAAAAATATATATATATAGGCCTATATTTTTTTTTTTTTTTTTTTTACAAATTTTATCATTTAAACATTTATCTTTCTTCATTTTTACATATTTTATATTTTTAATTTTTCTTTCTTTGACTGAGTTTTTAAACATTTCATTCTCTCAGCCGAATACAAACGCTCGCTCTTGATGCACACATTGGGCCGGATTTATCAAGATCCAATTTTGCGTGCAGTAATTTGCGCTCGCAAACTGGAATTTTGCACGAGGGGCTGAACCATGGTTTGCGGGTGATTTAACAAGAGAGATTGCGTAACTGGTGGAAGGTGCAAAACTGTTGGAGACGCCCTATTTAAATGATGGTTTTGCGCATTTTGTGGTTTGTGGCAAAGTAGTTTGTAGTCTGTACAAACTACTAGTGCATTAAGAAATTTAAATCTTACAGTGACCCCCAACAAAAAAAATAAAAAAATAAAAAAAAAATATATATAGATATATATATATATATATATATATATATATATATATATATATATATATATATATATAAATTGGCAACCTTTATTCCCTAAGGTGGTATGTGCTGCAGTAAAAAAAAAAAACAGGTGTTTTGTATTGGCCTGTGACTGTGGATGAGATCCCCGCAGCATTGGGCACGTTGCTCCACGGGCGCAGGGGGAGAACCCCGACCCCGTCGGACAGCACTTCTGAAAAAACGAGATTGGGAGATCCCAGCTCTCGCTGCAACCGTACGCTGGAATGACCCAAATGCAAAAAAGTGCAATGTTGCAAGGAATTTTGTGATATCTGGTATTGCGTGCAGGGTCCTCCTTGTGGCTGGCTCCAAATCCATTCGGAGTTCCCCCAACAGCTCCAAAATGGCAATGCTGGATAAACGATATGTTTTGATGATCGTTTCCTCGTTCATTCCAAAAATATTTACACGGAGTGAAAAAATGCGTTCTCTGCGTCTCCTTGCTTCATTTCGATGTCTCCTTCTTGCGACAATAACCGCTGCCATGTGTGCGCAATTACGCATACAGACCATTTGCACCTTCTTTTGAAAGGTGTTAAATATAGAGTCAGATAGCGTTAGCAAAATTGCTTTCAGGTTTGATAAATCTCTTTGCGAGTGCTAAATTAATATATTTACATGTTCTCCTCCCACAAGACGCACTTTTGCGTGTAAACGCCCCATATTGCATATTCATTGCAGAAAAAGTACTAAATGGATAAGAGGCGCTATTTAGCACGTTTAAAAGATCAAATCCTTTTAGCACGCTGTTGATAGATCAGTTTGTACATTTTTTAGCGTGCGCAGTGAAATAGCTCACGTTTTTATACACGCAAACCTTTGATAGATCCGGCCCATTGACCAATAAGGTGTTGTTGCTAACGTCCAGCAGACCAATAGAAATGTCTCATTGCTCCACCCCAGAAATATAGAAAATTTCATCCATGAAGCACAATTTGCATATAAAACAATTGATTAAATGTATAAAACAAAGTTTGAAAATAAGAAAGTAAAGAAAAAAATTCGACAAACTTAAATTAGAAAACAAAATAATGAAATACAGGATATTGCAAAATTAAAAACACAAGCTGTTTAAAAAGTTTTAAATATTTTTTTTCAAATTCCACTCACTGATTTCCACTTGATTGACTGAGCTTGAGGTGTTAAGTAAATCAGAATGGACATCATGGTATGTGGTGTGTAAACTGGTAAAGAAGTTTACTGAAAGACATAAGGTGTTTTTATGAATTATTGCTTTATGTCTAAAATGAATAAATTCCCCTCCTTGCAGATTTATATCAAATTTTTGAAAACCATGCATCAATTTTTATTTACCTCACAGTTATTTTATATATCCTGATGTGCAACTATGACATCAGTTATTTTAAAACTTGTAGGTTTGTGATTAGAGTGTGAATGAAGGTGAAAAGTTGCAGAAGAGAGAATAGTTTTCCTTGAACCAGTATTAATGAATCCTTTATCTGAAAGTTATCTAAAGCAATACTCTTCAACCAAACAAAACAGTCAAAAATCAAAGACATCATCAGGTCACCTAGAAATAAACTTTTGGGATATTTTCAACAAGTAAATTTTTAAAGATATATATTTTAATAAATTGAGATAAAAAGCCATTCTGATAAAAAATTCAATTTAGTTGTTGGCAGAAATGCTGATAGGGGCTACCTCTAAAACAACAAAGGTAAAGGGTCACAAACTAAATATATATCTGCATTTACCTGAGAGGCTCCACACTGTGCTGCGTGATTACTTAGACGTAGAGCTAAACAATCGGAGGAACGTGGTTATACACAGCAAAAATGGTAGCAATAATTATTAGTATACAGTGGGTGGAGGAGGTTAGACCGGACAGGGTGTTGATTTGCACAGATCTAAAGCTGCAATAGAAAGCATTCATTCAGGAGGAAATAATAGGACAGACCTTGTACTAGAAATTCATCAGAGTTTGTTTAGGTTTTTTAGGGATGGAATAGATGTTCAGTTCTGTTGTGTTCCAGCACACGAAGGAGAGGAAATGACATAGCAGACAAGTTAGCTAAAAAGGCTTTAGGAAATCAGAATATAGATCAGATTCCATTTGGGAAAGGGGAAAAAATATTTAAAAATAAAGAAACAGCATCATGGCAAAAAATATGGGATGAAGATGAGAAAGGAAGAAGATTATATAGGGTTCAAAAATTTGTAATTGTTAAAACATTATGGAGAAAATAGCAGAAGGGAAGAGATAATTTTTTCTAGATTAAGAACTGGACATACCTACATGAATGAGTTTTTGTTTGTAGTAGGGAAGAGAAATAATAATTTATGTGAGGGTTGTGAAAGAAAAGAAAATGTGGATCATGTTTTGATGGATTGCTTTAAATATGCACCTGAAAGAGAGAGGATGAGGAAAACAATTATGGAAAAAGGGAGAGGATTTCGTATTAAAGGAATTTTATGGACAGATGGAGATAGGGAGGACAATTTGGTCATTAATAAAGCAGTGTTTTTATTTTTACATAAAGCAAAAAAAAAAAAAAATAGAATGTAGTAGGTGGAACTGTAGAGCTACACACTCATGTACAGTAGGTGGCGGTATGCATCTGTAAGTTGATCGCAATCCGCCAATCTAACAAAGAAGAAGAAGAGGGACTTGATTTGGGAACCATAGATATCCATAATAAAGGCCTTTATTATGGATATCTATGTTGGGAACAACGGTGGGTGGAACTGGGAATGCAGGTATGGATTTAGGCCTCAGGGGGGCGGTGTTGTAGTAAGGTGAACGCAAAGTGCCGTAAAGCACCAACGAAGAAGAAGAGAGAAGAGGCTGTTTAACGGATGTTACTATACTACGAGAAAAACTCTGCAGAAGCAGGTATGCCTTCTGTATACAGTATATGAGCTATATAATAATCCGCATTAATTTAAATTGCACTGATTTTGCTGCTTGGTTTACTTTAAACTTTAATTAGTGCAGAAGAATTTAGATGTAGAGACTTCATTGTGCAGCTAGCAACTCAGTAAAAGAGCTAGCTAAAAAAAAAAAAACAGTTTCAAGCGCTTATGTTTTTATTTTCTTTCTTTCTTTTTATTTTACATTTACTTTGCGACTGCTTTATTCAGCGCTCTTAAATATCCTCTTAAACCAAAAGCATTTCGTTCAAATACGAGGTTAAGGTAGAACGTATATTATCAAAAACACAATAGAAAAATTAAAAGAAACATTTTGTATGAAATATTTATCCGGCTCATCGTTTTGTTTTCCTTCTCTAATGGTTTTTACCTGCTTATGATTGCAGGATAAGCAGGTAATGGGGTATATCTCCTGAAAAGAGGCTCTCCTGTTGTCTACCACAAAGCTTGCACCTACAGCCCTTATATTTACTACTTATTCCTTTCCTTATGCTGTTATCACACTCTGAATTAGTTGTGCATGATGGAGAAATAACTAGCAGGTCAGATGTATCATTGGCATGTAAGATGCAATGCATCTTAAATGTCTTCCAGATATTGCACCCATTCAGTCCTGTACTATTAAAATCACTGATGTTTTATGGACCGTCTAGTGCAGCTCTGATTTTAAGAGGTTAATTTCCTCCCCTCTGTCCCCTCATGCAAGGTCGGTATGAAGGATCACCAGCAGGGCTGGATGCTGCAAAACTTGATGCAATCTGCTGAATTACTTAAAACAGAAAACCTTTGAACCAGTTGAATATTTAGCCGATCTTTACTGCACAGTTTGATAACTAAGATCCAAAAAGAGTTTTAAATGGCTTAGATTCTTACAGAATCTTGTGATATTGAGACACCTTAAAAATGAATGAGATACAAATGAATAAGATTAATTAAATAGATCTGAGGCATTAAGTTAAATGTACTTGCAGAACTTTAAATGCATATCCCCAAAACATTACTTGAAGAAATGTTTTGAGTTGTTTTAAATAAGCTGTCCGAGTTTTATTTTCAAAATATGTTAAGAAAATAAGTTTTACAAGCTCTAGAGTAAAAAGTTAAATAGCTATCAACTTCCCAAGAAAATCCTCTTACAACCACTTGAAGAAGAAAAAACTTTCAAGTTAGTTTTTATGACTGTTTTTCAAGATTTGAATAGATAAGTTCGAAGAGAAATCCAACACAAAGTAGGTCAGTGAAGAACTTAGCATCCAAAAATTTGAGCCAACCTACAGTATCTGCGGTGGAGAATTAAACATATGTTTTTTCTGCTTGTAGTTCCCAGCTTAAAAGAAAACCAAATACTTTGGTAAACAAACTGGATGGTTATGGAAAAGGATGGACAACGCTGCTGCAAATAAGAACCACATACAGTGTCTGACATGGCTGGACCAGAGTGGCTGGTCCTCAGCCTCATCTCAAGGACTTTCTGTTAACCTGCAAAGCAACCCTCAAAATCTCACTCTGGGCTCTACCTCTGATCAAAGACCGTTGTTTGGCCTTCTGGAGACGTCCCATCAGAGCTCCGTAAGCAATCTGAACAGCTCAACTTCCAGAAACAACAGCCTCCTAAAGGCTGCCAACATGACCAGCATGTTTTCGTCCAACTCAATTTTTCATGGCTCCGCAATCAGCACTGCTTCTCATGGGACGAACTTTGCTTCACCATCTCCTTACACGTCTTCAGGTTTGGCAGCATCAAGCCAAATGAAAACCATCCCTCAACTTTCCCAACAAAATCAGGGTCTGCAGGCCTGTGGGGCTCAGAATGTACATCCTCAGCCCCCCAATTACAAAATGTTTCAGACTCCGGTACCTGGTCATGGCTTAGCACACGGACTTCAAGATCAGTCCTTTGGTCTTTCATCATGTGGACAAAATGTGAACATGCCTCAAGCGACGTTCGGAGGACAAAGTAACGACAATAGATACCCGAACAGTTTTAGTTCACTTACTTCCATGGAGCAGCCTCAGTGGGTTCCTTCATCCAGCAGTGGAGGTAAGTTCTCCTCATTCTCTTTATTACTGTGCTGCTTTTTATTGTAAAGGTTTGGCTCTTGCTACATTGTTTTAATACAAACTAAGATTTGTAATATACTAATATAGCTTAATGTATAGTTATAATATTCAAATTGGTTTCCTTTGCTCTTTTTTATATGTGAAAATCAGAAAATAGATTTTTAATTGTATTCCAACCCATAAAGCATAACTAAATAAAATCTAATGCCTTCAACAGCCTTCATTGCTTTAATTACAATTGTGATTCCAGATGTTTATTATTTATATTCATTTTTCTGTCTACGCCTCAGAGGTTTGTGAGTCAACATTGGTTTGTGATGCAAAATACGTCTGTTGACATGACAACCAGTAGTGCAGAACTCTGTCTTATATAATAAATTATGCTTTTTTGACAATTTTTCTTCATAAATTGCAACATCTTACCATTTTGTAATACATTTTCCCATGTATAAAAAAAAAACCTCAACCATAATGTTCATGTTCATGCTTTGTTATATGAATGTGAAAATACATTTCCGCAATCATATTACTTTTACTATTGTTAGTTGTAATATTTTTTATCATAACATCAGTACCTGAAAAGCTCAGCTAGAATAGCTGATGTATTGTATTTGTCAGGGTTACATTACAGCTTTCAGTTAAACGCAATCTGCAGTGAAGGTTTTTCTAAAGTAGAGGCAAAGACCTGCTTGCTCTCCTGCTCCTCATGCTGCATGTTTGTTTATTTGCTTTTAGCTGAGTTAAAATGTGGCAATTCATGTCATATATCTGGTGCTTTTACTGCTGTTTAACGTCTTCTCCTCAGGTGCAGTCTCATTTGTCCCCGCTAATGTCAACAAGGCGCCATCTCTGGAGAAAGGTTTTCCTCCTGCCGTAAGGATATGAACTCCTAACTTATCTTAACTTTATCACTCTAGAGGATGATAGCTTGTTCCTTTAAAGGAGTCTTAACCGTGTATTTTACTTATTTATCCTTCTGAAAATATTCCTTCAATAAATTGTAATAATTTTTATGCAGGAATAAAAAACAACTAGTGCTTTTTTTCATATCCCTTTTTTTTCTTGTGACACATGAGAATTTGACATGTATATTTTGGCCTTCATATGGATTTAGCTTTAGCCACATTAGCAGCTAGCCAAGGGTTGTTTACCATTGTATTATAGTCTTTTACAGAATAAGTAAAAAATTACTAAAGCAGCCTCTCTTATCGACTGCTTGACCAAGATGGGAGTGTTGATTGAAGGGTGCGCTAATGTTAGCATCCTTCCTGGATTAACGTCAATAGAGAGGTCGGACCCTAATCCTGTTTTGTGCATAGCACGCTCTTGTTGTCTTTTTTGGTTTAAGCATTAAACCCACAGAGACACATACACAAAACAACAGCCCACCTCACACACCAGATTTTCTGGTAGGTTTTAGATTAAGGCCGAACATAAACACTAGGGGTGGAACGGTTCACAAAATCCACGGTTCGGTTCGGTTCACGGTTTCGTGGTCACGATTTTCGGTTCGGTATATGTTTATTGTTACACCGAAAAATAGAAAAATTAATAAAAAATTTTAAAATGAATGAAATTTTTTTTAAATGAAACTAATGAAAAAATCCCCCAAAATTAATGAATTGTAATTATTTTTAATGATTTGCGGAAACCATGGATTATTTCCGCATGTTTTGCTGCTTTGAATTTAATCATCTCACGCTTGCCCCCTACCATCTCCAAAGAACTCAGAGCGGAGCGGACGGGAGCCTCAGTGGAGGCTGTAGGCTTTGGTTTGTGCAGGTGGTCTGGAGCGTAGCTGGGAACTGATGGAGTATGTGGGATTTCGGGGTTAGCATGACATGTTGCTGTTAGCATAAACAAAACGTGTTGCACAATGCTTGCACACTGTTGCACTTTTATCCACAAGTTTCTTTCTGCCTTCACTGTAGGTCACTCTAAATGCAAAGCAATCCCATACAGCAGCCCTATAAAGTGCTGCTGGCGCGTCTTCCAACTCCTGTTCTTTCCCACTCGCCATACCCACACAATTCTCCACAACAACTGACTTTTTTCAGCTACACCCGGCTACGCTGCTTTGCTTTTTCTTCTTCTTCTTGTTTACTACTGGTGGTTGGCTTTGGTCGCAGTACCACCACCTTCTGCTCAGGAGTGTAAACGCTTCGCCTATGAGAAAAAGGAGCAGCGCATGAACCGAACGCAACACACGCGAACCGAACCGAGACAGTCGAACCGAACGGTTCGGACGGTTTTCAAAAACCGTTCCATCCCTATTAAGCACACACATTTAATCATGAAAAAGTCAGAAATCCATGTGATGACTCCTTTAAAGAAAATGTGTGACCCATCCAGAGAATTCAAAACTTTAAAGGGGTCATAGAATGCCAAACCGAGTTTACATTGTCATAGATGAATAACGATAGTTCAGTGGGTTTTGCAAATCTCACAATTCCAAATGTTCACAATCTTCCGAAGACTCGACAGGCATTGATTATTTTTCTCTATCAGAAGATCCCTGCAAATTAGCAGGATTTGCTAAACTTCTTTTACTGAAACGAGGGGCTGTTCGAACCATAAGGCCATCACAATAGTAAGTGTAAGCTGTGAGTATTATTCTGTCGCTCAGCTGTTGATAGCAATGCTAGTATATCTATGGTGACCAGTTTTGGGTTTCTGAAAAGGAGGACACTTTTTTTGGGGGGCGGTGCTGTAGTCGACCAAAATCCCGGACAATTTTGAAATCCCCATTTTACATTTTTTTAGCTTTGAAAAGTATGACATGTCCAGGAAAAAGAGTCTGGTCACCCTACTATATCAACAATTTGACGTTTCAGTGAGTGAGTGCTTGTTGCTATGATGCGTCTTTGCTCGGTAGCTTGCTCGTTGTAAACCAACCAACCAGAGCACAGCTCATCTAAATATTCATGAGCATGCCATAAAAGGAAGAAAACCTGTTTCATTCTGGGGCTTTTAACCACGCTTGCATTAGGGCTCATAGAACAGCAAATATGCCATTTTCAGCCAAACCAATGTTACAATATTCAGAGACCTTAAGGACCAGCAACAAATACCCTATAGAATCAATATATGACCCCTTTAAAACATCACTGACGCTGTTCACCAGATTTTCACGTAATCTGTATTGATTTTCTCTCAGACTGACGGCAACAAAAGGCGATCCTCAATTTTAAATCAGCGTGCCCAGCTTCTCAAACAACTGGAAAACCTCAATAAACTTGTAAGTGTGTAAAAGTTTAAGGGCAGTCATTTTTTTCTCCAGCTGTATAAATGTTTGTTTCCTAAGAGAACATTTTTATTAGTTTAAACTTTGTATTGTTTCTCCCTTTAAGCTCGAATCGTTGCCTTCAGATGACAGCAATGAAGGGGAGCCTTCAAATGCTGATGCTCAGGTAAGTTAACTTATTATCTTGCTGTCTAATTCGTAAATACTATAAAACTTCACAAATAGGTTTAATAATTGACACTTTTTCTACATGTACTAGACCTGGAATGAGAACGAAGAGGCAGAGCAGGTAGATCTGTATTTATTTAACCTTCTGTTGGATTTTTATAATCTTAGTTATTGAGTTACTGCCGAGTTCAAGGATTATTAACAAAAATGTTAAATCTTTTTTTTATTTGTTTTTTTAGTGTCGGCCTGCAGGTAATTGTTCCCCACCGTCGGTCTGCAATGAGCCACGTTTGTCTGGAACTCTAGCATCACCACAGTCACCAGCTGAGTCCAGGGTAAGCTAACTTTTTATTTTATTATTTTATTACTATCACCTAAATGAGGACAGGGTAACAGAACACAAATATATTTGTCTACAATTACTAGGGATGGGTATCATAAAGGATTTAGTCAGTGCTACTACTCTTAACAGTATTACCTATTATGATTACCGATTATATATTTTATTGATCTATACGTCTTTTTATTTGTAGAAAAGGGTAAATAAAAAAAGAAATATAAATAATGAGACTGATTTTTAAATTTTTTTTATTGGTAACAAAAACAAAATATAAATTAAAAGTAAAAAATAAGTAATATTTTACTAAAGCGCAATAAACCACTAAGTAACAGAAAAGGCTAAAACAGTGCATCCTAAAAAGTATTTTGTATTGGAGAGAGGAATGTTGTTTAATTTGTTCATCAACATTTCACTTGAATTCAACCTACGTATAAATTTAGTTATATCGTGAAATTTAACCAGATAGCAGAGGAAACCATAGTGGATGAGGTGGAGAAATGACAGATGTTGTGTGTAAAATAAATTACAGGCAGAGATCTATTTACATAATGCAGATTGCAGAGAAAAACAAAAAAAGATTATGTTGACATTTTATTTACTCCCTGCTTTGCAAAATCTAGGGCAAAATCATCAGAAGTTTTGCTCATACATGATTTCTTTTCAATGGGGAAATAGACGAGTCAGTCTCTTTTCTCCTCTGACCTCAGGCAGAGTTTGCTGCTGCTGCACAGCGTGCATGTCAGTGCTTTTGAAGCAGGAGGGGCTCACAGCTGCACTCCATGTATAATGAAGACAGTAAACTCAGAGCGAACTGTGCATTTATTTGTTGTTGTCAAAGCTTCAAACAAGACAGAAAACTGTTGCTAGATTTGTCGCTGGATGCTTTAGTGAAATTTTGGTACCTATCCCTAATACTGGCCGTTGTTACTTTTGGAGGATGCAACCATGAGAACTACATAGACTGCGATGAATGAGGTGGGAGAATCATGGTCAACAATCCTCCCCCTCTGTTCAGTAAAAGTCTTTCCCTTTTAACAAAGATGTCTTCCTTCACCCCTCTTTCAAACCATCTTTCCTCTCTGTCGAAAAGAACATTTTTATCATCAAATATGTGGCCTTTGTTCTTGAGGTCTCACTTTACAGGTAGCTCTTGCCCAGAGCTACTAGTTTGGTTTCTCCTATATAGAAGGACAGTGGGTCGATAATTGATTTGCATCTGACTTAGAAAATGCTTAGGAGGATGGAACAGCACACTGCTTAAAAACAACAGTGCTCCAACAACAAATTGCTCTATTTCAAGCTGCCAGAATTGACTCCTGGATAGTTGTTGAAGGTCTTCAGAAACACTGAGCCAACTTTTACCTTGCATGCTAGATGAACGGTCGCAAGAATTTTGAATTCACAAACTCGGGAAGATTAGTCTTGCCATAAGCCTATACACTCACCGGCCACTTCATTAGGTACACCTGTCCAACTGCTCGTTAACACTTAATCTCTAAGCAGCCAATCACATGGCGGCAACTCAGTGCATTTAGGCATGTAGACATGGTCAAGACAGTCTCCTGCAGTTCAGACCGAGCATCAATATGGGGAAGAAAGGTGATTTGAGTGACTTTGAACGTGGCATGATTGTTGGTGCCAGAAGGGCTGGTCTGAGTATTTCAGAAACTGCTGATCTACTGGGATTTTCACCCACAACCATCTCTAGGGTTTACAGAGAATGGTCCAAAAAAGAAAAAACATCCAGTGAGCGGCAGTTCTGTGGGTGGAAATGCCTTGTTGATGCCAGAGGTCAGAGGAGAATGGCCAGACTGGTTCGAGCTGATAGAAGGGCAACAGTGACTCAAATAACCACCCGTTACAACCAAGGTGGGCAGAAGAGCATCTCTGAACGCACAGTACGATGAACTTTGAGGCAGATGGGCTACAGCAGCAGAAGACCACACCGGGTGCCACTCCTTTCAGCTAAAAACAGGAAACTGAGGCTACAATTTGCACAAGCTCATCGAAATTGGACAATAGAAGATTGGAAAAACGTTGCCTGGTCTGATGAGTCTCGATTTCTGCTGCGACATTCGGATGGTAGGGTCAGAATTTGGCGTCTACAACATGAAAGCATGGATCCATCCTGCCTTGTATCAACGGTTCAGGCTGGTGGTGGTGGTGTCATGGTGTGGGGAATATTTTCTTGGCACTCTTTGGGCCCCTTGGTACCAATTGAACATCGTTGCAATGCCACAGCCTACCTGAGTATTGTTGCTGACCATGTCCATCCCTGTATGACCACAATGTACCCAACTTCTGATGGCTGCTTTCAGCAGGATAATGTGCCATGTCATAAAGCTGGAATCATCTCAGACTGGTTTCTTGAACATGACAATGAGTTCACTGTACTCAAATGGCCTCCACAGTAGGGTTGTCACGATACTAAACTTTTCAAATCGATACCGATACTAAGGAAAATATTCGATACTCGATACCATTTTCGATACCACAAGGATAAAAACAAAGACTCCAAAATTCAACAGAAATATTTTCATTAATAAATAAAATACAATAAATACATACAATAAACAATAAGAACAATGTTTTGAGGTTGTATGCTGTGCACAATATTAAGCAAGCTTGATAAAAAACCTATACAATTAAAATTAAGTGTTCCTTCCTTGGCTATGCTTTGCACACATAACAATTACACTAGCCAAACCGGTTAAGAAACAAAAATAATTCTCAGCAGCGGCACCTGTTACGAAACAAAAAGTCTGAAACTGAAAAGTGCACAGAATTATTCAATCACACAGTGTTCAGAAAGTGCATTGTCCTCTATTCTGCACTTTAGATGAATGACTGCTTAGGTGCCACTGGTGGTAGCACTGTATCGATACTTTTAAAAACCAGTATTGTATCCGGATACAACATTTCAGTATCGATACTTTTTTGAGTATCGATACTTTTTACAACCCTACTCCACAGTCACCAGATATCAATCCAATAGAGCATCTTTGGGATGTGGTGGAACGGGAGATCCACATCATGGATGTGCAGCCGACAAATCTGCGGCAACTGTGTTATGCCATCATGTCAATATGGACCAAACTCCCTGAGGAATGCTTCCAGCACCTTGTTGAATCTATGCCACGAAGAATTGAGGCAGTTCTGAAGGCAAAAGGGGGTCCAACCCGTTACTAGCATGGGGTACCTAATAAAGTGGCCGGTGAGTGTAGATGCATTAGCCCCAATATTGAAATGTTTCTGACCAATGAAATGCAGTGAAGTGGATGACGTCACTGTGCCAACCAGAAGCAGAAAGCTCAATCAAAAAAAGATGGCTGCTGCGGTTTTAACAGCAATACCCGCTATTTCTTCTTGGAAAAACATACTTTCAACTGGAAGGCTTCCAGATTGATATGTGTAATTGAACTTAAATTCCACATAGTATCCATAGTATCCATAGTACCCATAGTACCCATAGTATCTATCTATCTATCTATCTATCTATCTATCTATCTATCTATCTATCTATCTATCTATCTATCTATCTATCTATCTATCTATCTATCTATCTATCTATCTATCTATCTATCTATCTATCTATCTATCTCTCTATCTCTCTATCTCTCTATCTCTCTATCTATCTCTCTATCTATCTCTCTATCTATCTCTCTATCTATCTATCTATCTATCCATCTCTCTCTATCTCTCTCTATCTCTCTCTCTATCTATCATTTTTTGTATATAATATATGAGAGTCATGGGTACTTGTTGATGGCATTAAAATTATTTCTAACAGCATTAAAAGAGCATTAAACAGCATTAAATTAGAGTTACTCATTCCTGTATAAACCCTGTAGTATATTATCAAGAAAACTGACTTTTTGAAATATTGATGAATTTCTGTCTTACCTGTTTTAGGAAGTGGACTCAGATTATGCTCCTCAGAGCGAAGTCAGTTTTTCAGATTCCCAATCTGATAGCGGCTCTTTGGATTATCTCAGTCGGAGCAATACAGCAAGTCCCACAAACAACATTGTGAAAGAAGAGGAAATATCAGAGGACACTTTGTCTGAGGAAGAATATGCCAGTTCTTCAAAAAAGACCTTAAGAAATGTCAAGAAAAAGAAGAAGTCTGGAATGGTGGTGGTTCAAACAATCAAAAGAACTGCAAAAAGTCATAACAGTAAGCTAAATTACTGTCTGTTCTGTGGGAGACCCCTGACCAAAATGGCAAGGCACCTCACAGGAGTCCATGGCGACCAGGTTGAGGTCGCGGTCGCATTGCAGTATCCTGCTAATTCAAAGGAAAGGAAAAATATATGGCAAAAGCTAATCAACAACGGGAACTTTAAACACAACAAAGATGTTTTAAAAACGGGGAAGGGACAACTCGCTGTACGAGTTAGATCCAGTATTCCCAGTAATGCTACGGATTATGTTCACTGTATTTACTGTTATGGTCTCATTCGTAAGCAGCGTATGCACATTCATATGAAAAGATGCACCCAAAAAATCAAGAAAGAAGACAATCCGCAGGAGGGACGAAAGAGGATCATATCACAATGTGCTCTTTTGACTAAAAACTGTGAGGGTGTTAGTGAGGATTTCAAGAATCTCCTTGGCAAGATGGTGTATGACAATGTGACAGAAACTGTCATGGAAAACAGGATTATGTTACAGTTTGGAGAGCAGATGTTTGAGGAGCAGATGTTAAATAAGAACACTCAAGATCTAAAGAAGCAGGAGTATGTCAGGCAAAACCTTCGACATGTTGCAAGACTTCTACTTGAGGCTCAAAAGTCAACCCCGATGCAGAGTTTGGAGGACTTTTTTAAGCCTTCGAACTTTAAACATTTGGTGTTTGCTGTGAGGGTGCTGACCGGGTATGACCCGGAAAAAAAACTCTACGCCAGAGCATCACTGGCCCTCAGACTCGGATACCACCTTAAGAAAATCTGCGGCATCATTGAGCGCAATGCCCAGAGTTGTGGCGATACTAAAGCCGTGAAGTCTTGTCAAATTTTCCTCTCCTTGTATCACAAAAAATGGACAAAGCAGATAACCTCCTGTGCGTTATCGAATATCAAAGACATTAAGAGGGAAAAAGCAAATGAGGTGCCATCTGTTCAAGACGTGAAACGTCTGCATTACTACCTGGAGACAGTTCATCAGGCGGCAGACAAGAAGCTTCGTGAGAACGTCTGTCCAGAGAACTTTGCAGCTCTGGCCAAGGTGGTTCTGGCCCGGACGATAGTTTTTAACAGGAGACTTCCTGGAGAGGTCTCATCGCTTACAGTTGAGGCTTTCCAGTCACGGATACGTTCGAATGTTTGCGACGACATGGACTTGTCTGTCTCAAAGCTGGAAAAGAAACTCTGTTGTTTGTTCAGTAGGATTAACATCAGGGGGAGCTGTGGCAGAGTTGTACCCATTATTCTAAAGCCCTCACTTGAGTCGTCCTTGGAGCTTCTGATAGAGGTCCGGGAAGCCTGCAGGATTCTAAGCACAAACCAATACTTGTTTCCTCGACAACTAGCACCAACACCCCATAAAGGGACGTTCTGTGTCCAGATACATGCCAAAAAATGCGGCGCAGAGGACCCTTCGACACTTCGAGTGCTAAAACTCAGGAGGCATTTTGCAACTTTACTTCAACTGATTAACCTGGACGATGAGGAGATCAGACAAGTTTTAGGCCCCAACAGTGACATCCAAGCGCTGCGGCAAATCAACGACACAATGTGTGATGATTCCCTACTGGAATCTGGAGGTACATTTTTTCTTTCTTAGCTAAGTGTGAATATTATATGGCATATGACAGAAGTTAAAGTAAAACCTATGAATACATGATTATCTAGATGAAGATGAAGGGTCTTCATTTTCATAATCAAGGTGAGAAATGTTGAGCAATTAAGGATATTCCTGACGCGTCCTTCAGAAAGACCGAATGGAGGACAGCCTTTTGTGCAGCTTTGTGACATCATCTGTCTACGCATGCCACCTTAAAAGGATGCAGCCCCTAAATTTAGAAAATTCACAGTCACACAGGGAAATGATAAGCAGCCATATTGTCAGACAGTAGTTATATCCACATGCTATAGGGGTCACACACACCAGCAGCTCACCACTTCTCAATTACCCAGCAGTCAGTCATCACATTAAACTAGATAAAAACTTTATGGACTTCTTTAGAGGTTGGCTTGATCAGTTAAAGCTAAATCCATTGCATTACTGCACCTGCAGGTGATATTTGGTAGATTATTTCAGATGAAATTTAAAGGTAATGTCTATCTAAATAAAAGATCATCCACTATACCTTTAAGCCACAAACCTGGTTGTGTGTTTTAGAGAAGGTTCTCTTAGAAATATTTCTCTTCCTTCATTGATTTCAGGACCACTGCAGTTTTTTCAACAACGCAGAGGATCGGCTAGCTGCAGTTTGGCTGACGCAGAAAAAAAACGAAGAGAAGGTACTTATTTGGATATCCTGCAGTTTTATTTAGCTCTATTAAAATGTTTAAAAAGTTAGACAATTTTAGGGTAAAAAAAAAAAAACCTTCAGAGCAGAACAAGATGAAACTTTTTTGCCAATATTTCACTTTTTTTTCTGCAGGGAATCATTAATACATTTCTGCTTATTTAATAGACAGCGCCCCAACATATGCTATTCATTTAGATTTTTACCATGCATGTACTTTGATGTGATGGTCTGCATCAGACTGATTGAATCTTGCAGATAAATCTCAGATCAAAATCACTTCATTCTACAGAGATGCTGTAAATTTACAAGATTGCACTTCACCAATGCTCCGCAGCTGTCCCTCTGAGAGTTGCAACACCAACACATCACTTACAGTTTGTTGGTGATATTATGACTATATTTGCGTTTCTTCCCAAGCAGAATATTTTTTCTGTTCGGTTTATTCATTACAATGTCACAAGTACAGGGTAACGAAATGAACTCTCTGCATTCCCTTGAGGAGCAGTGGGCTGCCATTGTGCTGTGTGGGGTTAAGGGTCTTTGCTCAGGAAGTCAGCGGGAGTGGAGCTTGAACTCAGAACCTCAGGATTCCAAGCACTAACAACTAGACCTACACTCCCCAAAGCAGGCAATGGTATAAAGCAGAGGTCTTCAACAGGGGGTCCGGGACCCCTAAGGGGTCCGCGGAGGTACTGCATGGGGGTTGCGAAAGTCTTGGTTGATTACTTTTTTTTATATTCCCTTCAGCAATTCTTTCCACTAATTGAAATGTCTTTAAATACACATTAACATGAATTCAACAGACTGTAGTAAACAGATAAACGAAAGCAGAAGATGTCTTTCAGTCATCAATGCACACATTCAGCGACACACAGGAGCTCTTTCAAACCTGGGCACCGTTTCATTCACAACACCTGTCCATCATCCAGGAATCAGATTCAGAAATACTTTAATAATCCCAGGGAGAAATTACTTTTGTTACATTACTCCACATGTAATAGAGTGACTATAGGACCAGTTTGATATAACACAATTTCATACAATATATATAATTAGGGGGTCCCCGCTCCATCTCGCAATCAGTTTGGGGATCCTTGGCTTTGAAAACGTTGAAGACCCCTGGTATAAAGGGTCCTGCCTAAGGACCCTTTATAATAGTTCCCCCTCAGCTGGAATACGAACCAAGGCTTCCTGTTTGCATGACGGGTGACTTAACACTTGAGCTAGCCAGCCGCTTCTAGGAATCAAAAACCGATCTACTCTGAGTCAAACTGTGAGATATTAACAGCCTATAACCCAACACTACGTGACCTTTTAACCTTCATAAAATGTTCTCATATTTCCTTATTTTCAACATAATCAATGACATTGTTTCTCCACAGTTAGATTCATTACCTCATCGCTATTTATCCTTCAAACAGCAGTTCAAAAAAGAAATCAGGACTTGACCACGCTGGTCTTCATGGCAAATGTTATCTTCCTTCCGGCATATCAATACAGCTTCTGTCCAATAGGGGGAGCCAAAATTGACCAAAGCTGAAAGTTCTTTAGTACTGCTGTAACTTTTGTGTTAACTATGAGGTTAGCAGAACATAGCATAGACCAAATATGCTCTCAGTAAAACCATGAATATTGAATGTGTGCAGCCTTCATTTTCAAAATGTGTTAAATACATACACCCTTACTGATTTGGGTTAATAAACCCTTAGCCTTAAACTGATTTAAAGCACCATGGCTTTGAGCAGGAGCATCAAAAACGCACGGCTGAAGCATCTGTGCTGCTCTAGCAGTGCGGTCGAAAAGTTGGTCTGATGCACGTTGGATGAAGCTACCCTATCCTTTTTTTGCCTGTAACAATCAGCTAACAGATCAGCTTCTCTGATTGGTTGATGTGGCGCGTCGAACAGCAAAAGTTCAATTTTCCAACTCTGCCTGCGATCTAAACGTACCATGAACATAGCATTAGAAGGCTCAGAGGTTACCACATTTCTTCTGAACTGGTACGTTTAATGATAGCTTTGGTTAGCATTGGCAATAGCAGATCTGGCAGCTGACTTACAGAACGATAGCTGTGAAGTGTGACTGCTCCAATTATTGGTCGGGAGGAGTTAAACTTGTAGAGGTGTTTGGAAATAAAACACTTAAAAAGTGTCCTTCAGTGAGCCACCACCTTAAATCGGTTCATCAGCCTGATGCACACCCCCACGCTGAGAGTAAAACAGCATCCATTTGACAGAAACAAATCTCCTAAGAGGAAGGATGACCAACTTGATATATTTTATTTCTTTTGGAGGATTCCACAGCAAAGCCAAACTTCCATGGAACAAAGGAGAGGCTGAAGCCGTAGAAAAACACTTGATGACTTTTATTGAGAAGCATAAAATACCACAAAAAAAAGACTGTTTTCGGTGCCTAGAGGCTGAGCCAGAAGCACTGAGGAAACGTTCCTGGAGGGGCGTGAAGGACTATGTCAGAAACCGGATCACAGCTCTGCAAAGACGAGCTGGTCTGTCTAAAAAAACAGCAAATTCAAGAACTGACACCAGCAAGCATATACCAAAGCAGAGTTCTGGTAACGCAAACAAATGTATAACTTTATGGCTAAATCCTCCATTGAAACAAATATATATATTTTTTATTTATTTTTTTTTTTTTAGTGGTAGACTTGGGGAAAAAACAGGATTTTTATTTTATATATTTTTTTGTAGCACCACCAAAGCTTTCAGATGGAGAGAAGAAAACCAGAGAGAATCCCAGTACAGGTCCCAGTTCAGGATCTGGTCCCAGTTCAGGATTTGGTCCTTCAGTGTTTCATAAAGAAAAAGGTAGTAATTTCTGCTGGCCATTAGAAGTCTTATTATTCATCCTTAGGTCTGAGTTTTTTTGGTTTTAACAAAAAAAAAATGTTTTTGTTTTTTTTTTCCAAAAAACCTGAGATATGAAAATGGATAAAAACAAACCATTAAGTTATTTTCTTTTCCTCACCAGGGTCAGACTTGCGTCACAAAGCCAAGCCGAAATGGGACAGGGCAGAGGTCCATGCCGTAGAGAAGCATCTGATGCGTTTTATTGTAGAACACAAGCTACCCCAAAAAGACGACTGTGTCCGATGCGTGGAGGCCGAGCCGCATGCGCTGAGGAACCGAACCTGGAGAGGAGTCAAGGATTATGTCAGGAATAGGATCACTGCTCTGCAGAGACAGAGCGGCTTCTCCAAAGATCAGTCAAAGACCAAGAGCCAGCTGAGGCAGGGGGCATCACAGAGCTCTGGTAATTAAATTGGAAATATAAAACTTGCAAAGAAACAAATAAAGGACTCTAAAACCAACTGTTAATTCTTGGAAACCTAATCAGCTTTATTTATTTAATTTGTTTTACCAGGAACATTCCAATCTCCAAACGGACAGGAAGCAGTTTTGCAGCACTACAACTTATTCCCCAGTTGCAGCTTTGGTCCATCAAATCTTTATCAACCTCTAAATAATGGAGTAACCTCAAGCTACATCATGAATGCTCCTCCCAAGTCTAGTAGTTCAAAAGAAAAAGGTATGTGTGCAATTAGCTATAAATATTAATAGTGTTTTTTTTAATGTTTTTTTTGTGGTCCATTCATATTTGGATGTAAAAATGCATAATGTATTCACTTCTGCATAAAAATTATAACTATACTTCTGATGCTTCCAATTAAACTAATGCCATATTGCTGCACAATATTTGAAATGAAGACAGAAATCAGCATGTGATGTATTTCTAATCCAAATAATTGACTACAGCTATTTAAAAAAAATCCCACTCTGGATTGATTAAGCGTGATTGATTAAAAGTGTGCCCAAAGCTGTTGTAGTTTGCTGTTTTCAGCAGACCAAAGTGCTGCTGTAGCTCTTTTATTTTCCCAGATTGAGCATGATGTAACACTATGTTACTTCTAGTCTGACTTCAAGGTGTTTTTATCCACCTAGTTTCTGATCACTAGATATTCTGTTTTATGGACTCTTTCCTCTAAATCCAGCTGATAATTGTCTGTAACAGATCAACTGTTTCTGAGACCCTACGAGCAGCCAAGTCATGTTAGATGTACTCCAACTCTCTTTCTTTGTCATCCTGATGCTCGCTTTGAACTCCAGCCAGTTGTCTTATCCACTTCTGAATGCCTAGATTGAATAAAATTTCTTCATTTATGCAAATAATGGAGTCTGTGTTAGCAAACATGGCTAAAGATGAACGGCCAGTTATTGCACCTAGGGCAAGTTACCGTTTTTTATCACTTGCATCCTCCTTATAAATGGAGACCTCTCCACCCCTCAGTGTACATCTTATTTTGTCATTTGACCAATTAGACGAGCCCTTGAATGGTTTATTACCTACTGTAAATTAAGTTGGGGGAAAAAAGTTAACAAGTCAAGAAAAAAGGTAAAAAGCTAATTGGAAAATTAAAGAGTAAAGTTAAAAAGTTAAATTAAAAAGTTAAAAAGCCTAGTAAACAATTATATTTAGGTTTATAAACTGAAAAATTTAAGTGCCAGTATCAGCATTAATGCCTCTAAGGTTATGTTGTACCAAAAATTGTTTCTTTCATTAATTTCTTATTGAAGCACTTGTTATTTTTCTTAATATATTTGGACAAGTTGGTGTTTCTTGTTATCATGTTGACATTCATTTTTGCTTTCAAAATATCCATATTTTTTTAATGTTACAAAGGAAATAAGGTCTTGTCCTGGATTCCAATAACATTTTGAAATTTAGATTTTCAAAGTATTTCACTGAGTGCCCTATAAAGAGTTAAATGTAGCACTTAAAGGTATAGTGGAGGGTTTTTTTTTTCTGGGTAGATCATCAAAGTAAGTGGGCCTCCTAATTGTCAATCATTCTGGTGATATGTTTACGTAAAGCCGTCCTACGTGCTCGTCCCTATTTTCACCTCCCGGTGGTGAGTCTGACATGGTGGAAAAATGGCAAATTCTTCCTTTGGAATGTAAACTTGTATGAGTGATGCAAAAAGAAACTTTTAAACAGAGAGTGCACGAGGAGAAATGGACTCATGCACGCTCTTGCACGCGTTTAATAAGCGTTCCCTCTCGGTAGCGGGTACAGAGTTGTGCATGTGCATTTTTTTTTTTTTTTTTTTTTTTTTTTTTTTTTTTTTTTATTCTCCTCTATACCTTTAATGTACTCAGCAAGATAATGTAAGGTTTTCTGTATTCTATTTAATGACTGTAGAATTATTTGTTTCCTTTTATTTAGCCCCTGCAGGTACGCATCCGAAATCCAAACGTACGTGGAACGAAGCAGAGGTCTCGGCCGTGGAAAAACACTTGCTGAGTTTTATCACAAAACAAAAACTGCCTCACAAAGACGACTGTGTTCGTTGCCTAGAGGCTGAGCCGCATGCTCTGGAGAACCGCTCCTGGAAAGGTGTGAAGGACTACGTCAGGAACAGAATCACTTCCCTACAAAGGCAGAGCGGCATTTTAAGGACTGCTCCGAAAAGCAACCGATCCAGGAAAGACGAACCACAGCAGAGTTCTGGACATTACCACCAGCTGTAATCGTCCAAAACCTTTTGTTCTGTGAACATTTGTTTCTATGTTCCATTCTTGTTGGCTCAATGCATACTAATGTTGATGTTTGTGTAGCTTCTGTATGTAATTCACCCCAGCTTGTTTGACCCCTCCAATTAGAAAGGCTGAAATAAAAGACTGAATAATTGCTCCAACCTGGGGTTTCCACATCCAGTTCTCGTTAGCTACTCTCCTGCAACGTTCAAATTATTATTTGCAGATGTTTAGTAAAGTACAGAATAATTTCAGTTTCTAAAACATAAGTTTAAAGTTGTTTTTATATACCGCACTGTTGAGTGGTGCTGTTTGACTAACTTAACTGTATTTGATTTTGTTTTACGTAAAAAATCCAGATTGTAAAAGAGTTTCTGAACTAAAAGTCACTATTATTCCAGAAAGTTACCCGAAGTCACTTTATGTTATAAACGGCATGAGCCAGATGAGTTTGATTGCTGTTTTCACTATAAATATTTTTAGTGGGTATGTTTTTATACAGCAGTTGTGTAATTAAATGTTCACTGTTGTGTATGAAGTTTCTTTTTTTTTTTTTTTTTACTTAATGCAGATATAAAAACAGTTTCAATCTGACTCCTTTGTGCTTTAGCCAACAGATTTTTCTTACGAACAGGATTTAGTTTACTGGTATAGCATGTTAATGGAAGAGGGTTGGGTGGTTTTTATTACAGCATGTTTTGGGGGGGGGGTCCAAACCTGAAAAGCCCAGGTTTGACTGGTTATTTCTTTTGAAATTAAGTCAAGTAATTATTATTCTTCCAGATTTCCTGGAATTCAAAGATTACTCTAACGAAATCTTTGCATCCTACGGAGTAGTCTTTGGTTTTGACATGTGTATGCTTAATCCTATTCTGTTCTGTTAAAGCTCATATAAAAATTAAATAGTTCAGTTCATAACAAATGGCAAGATACAATTTTTTTCCCAGCATTTGTTTATCAAAAATGTGGCAGATATTCAATATTATCTGGAACACATAAAGTTCACCTCAAGAAGCAAAATTGCGGGTTTAAACAATTAATTCAGAAAATAGGTGAAAGGTATTTGATCTTTCAATCAGGGGTCTGGAACCTGCAGCTCTTTGGACCCACTACTGTTCATTACAGAAAACACTAACCTACTGTGGGCCTTAATTGTGGCTAAGAAAGATTTTTTTTTAAACTGATCCTTGGTATTAAATATTGGGTGTTGATAAAATCCTATTCTAAGATAATTTACATAATTTTTTAAAAGAGACTTAAAGAACCAGATATATATGTCATTAGATCTATATTTTCTCATTAGCTTAGAAACTGTGTTTTAGTTTTCTACATTTGATTTTATTTATTTTTTTATGGTAAATTAGTCTGAGTCATTTTATTTTGAAAGGACAACCGGAAATGTCCCGCGTGAGTTCATGCTTTCCATGATGCTAATGGTGCGGGTACTGGATGAGGCTGGGTAGTGTTGCATCCAAAGAGATGCTTCTCTGCTTTATTCCCTAAGGATTTATTTTCTGATTCAATATAAATTCTGGTGTTTTCGTTTTATCGGGGCTTAGATTAAAATGAAGACGTTCGTAACGTTAACTTCCACAGAGGCGCTCGCGCTCTGGTTTCCGTCTGTGTCAAAGGGTACCGATGTATCTCTGTTCACCCGGCCTGCTGTCATGAATTTCTGGCTCATGTAAGGTTTTCATTTGACCTGTATGTGAATCTGAAGTAACTGTATGTTTACAGCCACTGTATCAGCAGCCTCTTTACGACAGAAGCTTATATTTATGTCAGGAGAGTCACCGTTAGCTAGCTAGCACACAACCAAGAGGCAGAAATAAAAAAGAAAAAAAAGCCCTTTAGTTTGATTTTAATATGGTTTAGGGAGTAGCTGAAGTAGTCGCAATAAAAATCGCAATAAACTTTTATATATATATATATATATATATATATAAGTATCATTTGGTTCCCTGTTTTTCTTTAAATTAATCATTTATCAGGTTAGTATCAGGGTTGTGTTGGGATGAGTAAAACCTGCTTATTCATGTCATTCATATCTTGTGCACGGTGCTCTTGGAAATGAATATTTCATCATCCTAACTTTTGCAGTCAGGATGATGAAATAAGCCAAAAATGTCCTCAGATGCTGCAGCATTACTTTCTTCTTTACACTTACCTCGATGCTCACTCTTCCGAACTTTTAAATGTTACAAAAAACTGCCAGAAAACTACTATTACTAAAGCAACCACCAAACCAAGACTCACACCAGTTGGATTATTGTTTTTTAATAATTCTGATAGACCCATTTTATCTTTTTTGGATCGACAATGATTTAATTTAGTTTGTTTCACCTAAATAAAGCAGGTGTAGTTTATTTTGAAGCAGATAAGTTAAAAAAATATAAATAAAATTCTGGAAAATAACAGGTGCCTTATCTTGACATATTTTGACTATTTGGCAAAACTTTTAGACATTACTCTGCCAAATATGGGAATGATTAGTTAGACAATAATGGTTTGTGATAATTAATCTGATTTAGACGTATTTTTCGGGATCTCATTTCTAAGCCTTCCCGGAAACTTTGTGGTGTTGGAGAGATGGCTCCCACTGACTGCCAAACCTTTGATTAAGAGGTAGAGATAGACATGACATATGCAACGATGGAGAACTCCAGTTTACCCTACCAGCTCCCCTTATCATCCTGAAAATTCTGACTGACGTGGTATTTTTTCCTCCTTTATGGCTCTTTGTCAGAGAAATATAGAAACTAACCCCCAAATTCTAGTGACCCTTCATTCTTACAGTTAGCCACTGATAAATGAAAGAAACTTTACAAAAAGACAAGCAGAATATCCTTTAATATCAAACCAGCTTTGATGTTTTTTCCTTTCTCTGTTGTCTCCTCAGGTCCTGCCTCTAATGAGGAAAAAACTGATTTCTAATTTCTAAGGAGCATGATGGATGTCCCATCTTCTAACCTAAGCCATCCTTCCAGCCTCCACAATGGTTGGTCTTCAGATACGCCTGCAGGACCTCTTTTCAATCCTCTGCCTCACCTCCAACAACTCAGCCTTGGCTCTTCACCTTCCCAGCAGTCATCTGGAAATAACTCCAAGTGTGGCTTTGCTGCCTTTTCAGCCTGGAATGACACTCATCACAGCGCTCATTATGTTCGCAGTGATGATCACAGTTTGCAGCAGAGTGTTCCTGATGCTTGTGCTTCATCCACAGCTCCCCCTATAGTCCATGAAAGGAATATACCGCCATACTGTCTTCCATTAATGAACGAAGGGTCGCCGCCTCTCTACCCCCAGCATATTCCCAATCATTCCCCTCCTAATCCTTACAGAGCTGTAGATCCCTCAATCTATTCTCAACACGGATATCGAAGTCAATTAAATCAGCTTCAATCACCCACTCAGAGTCTTCCTCCTGTTGGCCCCTCATTTGTTGAACCTCAGTTAAATCAACTGCCTGCATCAGTCACAACGCTGCGTCCAAACGTCGGTTCTAATGAAAACGTTAAATCTAATGAAACACAGGCCTCCACCAGCGGTCCCCTCCAGCAGCAGCCGCTGTGGAATGTTGCAGCCGCTTCTAAAGGTGGGCTCATCATCATAGGTATCAAGATAAAAATGTGATTAGAGAATTGTGTCCTGTCCTTTTTTAAGCCTTCATATATTAGGGGTGTTCTGTTTTCTACTTTGAGGTTGCCATTTCTATTTTTTAGGGGGCATAAATGACTGTCTGCCACATCCTGCTTCCCTGGACCATAATTTGACACCTCAGGTTGGTTTAAGAAGAAAAAAATTGCGTTATATGGTTGTTCAATCACAATAGGATAAGATATTTGAAGGATTTTAGGCTGGAAAAGCAAAACTTATATTTGTATGACTGATGGAAGTTAGTCTTTGTGATTTTGATCATTTATGTTTAGTTAATCTAAAGCTGGAAACAAAATAATGTATGTTTGTATAACAACCTTCCTCTCTGCAGTCTCCCAACTCTGAGTCCCGTTATGGTTTGAATCCTGAACTCTTACCAAGCGCAGTAAGTTCTTTTATGGCATGGCATGTACTTATATAGCGCCTTTATTCAAGTTAAGAGACTTGACCAAAGCGCTTTACACTACATTCATTCACCCATTCACGCACACACTCACACACTGAGAGTGGCAAGCTACACTGCATACATATGCACTTTTAATTCTCAGATTTTCTCTCTAATTCCAGCTTTTAGTCTCTCCACGAAGAAAAGGAGTAATTCCCATGTCATTACTTCCGTGTCATAGTTGTATCAAATGGCTGCAGTTTATTTTCCACAAGTAGCTGTAGATGAGCAGAAGCTTTTCTAGTTGCCTAACATTGTGTGCTGACAGCTCTCTGTCTCTGTGTGAAGGTGAAGGTGATGGCAGAGGACAGAACGGAGTGGGAGGGGAAAGTTTTTATCTCGGAGCATTTTTCCCGGCTGCCTCCTCTGGCAACTACAACATGTGTCATAGAGGACAGAGGTAAAAAAAAAAAAAAAAAAACCTTTCTGGCTTCTTGAGTCACACAGATGATCTTCATCATGAATTGAATTAAAGCAAAAATGACGAATCGATGATTGAAATAATAACCATCTCATTTGGTTTGTACTAACTTAGCTGCCTACAGCAGTACTTACAGCGAAACTCTGCAAAACATTTAAACGTTTTCAATTAAAAAAAAATCCTAATAAACGTATACACACGTGTACCTCACCTAAAACAGAAAGAAAATCAGCTTCCAGTAAAATAAATTGAAAAAGTAAAAATAATAAAAAATGGAAATTATGATATAGATGTTTAATATATATAAGACTCAGAGACTTTGACTTAGATTTATTTTGTTATTTTGTATACACAAGTGTAAACAAAAAGAAATTTCGTTAATATATTTATGTGTGTGTGTGTGTTTATTAATAAATAAAAGAAGTAAACAAGCCAGATGGAGCTCCTGAACTAAAATGTTAAGCAACACTTTGAGGCAATCACTGAAATCAGGTGTTTTCTGTAATGATCAAGAAACTTTGAGTTAGTTTTCTGCACCTAAGCCTCCATATCCTAACTTTCTTGCATAATCTGTACATAGCTTCCATATTTATTTATTTTATAGCCTCTTACAATTACTCTGTTTATTTATACAATTTATAGTCAATACATACAAAGTTTCTGTGCACATGTAAATAAATATTTATATCCTGTGTAGCACTTCAGGATAGATGCAAACTACATTTCCTTGCTTTGTACTTTTGACAGTGTAATGACAATAAAGTTGAATTCTATTCTGCTGAAAGGTATGTTGGGTCACTGTTTAGGAGCAAGATGCTTTCATTTGTCTTTTTTAAAATACGTTTTAAGAGAAATTCAAAATCAAAATTTAAATGATCATTTAGTACATTTCTATCTATTATAACCTTTTTCAGTTGGGTGTTATTTGAATTAGTATTGGGATTTTTGTCTTTTTCTTTAATGAGAGGGTATGTTAACTTTCAGACACAACTGTATATCTATGTCTAAATTTTTTTTAAATGTTTGCCATTTCGATACAACTGAAAGTATCTCCTTTTAGGTGAATCAAAAAACTAATAAACGGATTAACTGATAAAAATAGCTGCAGCAATGGATTCAATGCATTTATGTGATTACAGAGACTTCTGCAGCTTTTTATGACACATATCAGGCCTGATATTTGAAATTTTCTTTCATCTTGTTATATTCAATGCCATAGAAATTAATAACGATTTAGGTATTTTAAGCTTTTATGTTTACCTTTTTCTTTAGCATTGTTTCTTTTTTTAATGATCCTATCCTTATGTTGCAGGCAACGTGAGCCCCTTGGCCATCCGCTCTCTGACGTACTGCGTCCCGTGTGACGGTCAGATGGCGCTGCTCAGCCGGCTGCCAATAGGAGCGCTGGTTACTCCTTTTATCAAGCAAACTGCCTCCGAGGTCGGTTCAAGGTCCCATCAAAAAACAGTGTTACTTACTTTCATTAAAAAGTTGCTTTAAACAAAAAAATTAAACTTGACTTGTATCAAAGAAAACATGTTTAATCAAAGAGCAGCAGTGTTCAAATGGACTTTTTTGAGTTTGTTTTTTTTTCATTGAAATGAAGCTGTTTTAAACTGAAAATATATTTTTTGATTGAAGCAACCTTTTTTTAATAGAATAATAGAAATCTACTAATCTACCTTCATAGTTAATTTAGTTTCTTCATCAGAGGCTGAATAACGGAAAATAAATCTGTTTTTCTGCCTTTATAGTATTTTCAAGTTAAGCAGATAAGTGTTCTATTATAATTTATTTATTGTTTTTACCACCAGAATTCCCTCCCCCTCTGCAGAGAAGCAGATTCTGTTGTGGGTTGTAGTTGCGGAGCCTCCATGTGCCCGGCGATGAGCTGGCAGGACTGTGGACAGAGGTTTTACTGCCCTTTCTGCGAGAAACTCAGTGAGGGTATCATTTAAAAACACTTTGTTCAGTACTTAAAAAAAAAAAGAAAAGTTGCACCATTGAAGTGTCCTTAAATGGATCATTTTTTTTCATTGCTCACATTTTCTCCAGCTGTTTTGTTCCTCTGCTGTTCTGTGTCTCAGTGCCATGGCAGCAGTACCAGCCCACCGAGGGGGTGGAGGGGGTTCGGGTTGACAGAGACAGAAAGCCTGAGCTCAGCCTGGGCTCCTATGAAATACTGAACTCAGAGAAGGTAAACCTCATTCTCAGAAGATTTACTTCGGTTATAATGGATTTGCTGATGTTCCAGATTTTTGTTTGTTGTTACACAAATGGACCTTTGTGAAAAATGTTTTTCTCTCATCCAAGGGAGAACCTGCTGCGCTCCTTCTAGCCATAGATGTTTCTGGGTCTGCGCTGAGAGGAGGACACTTAGAATTTGTTTCACAGCAAATCCAAACTGTGCTCGCCTCATTGAACAGGTAAACACGCCTCTTACTTTAACCAGGCGGCCCTCATAAGTATTTATACCCATCAAGGTTTTCCACACTTTGCCTTGTTGAGACTGAAATCTCTAAAATGTTTTATCAGATTTCTAAGAGAAAAGCAGAAAGTAGTTCTTAGTTGCATTGTTTTCTAAACCTCTACCTCTACAAATCAGAAATTATTGTTCATTTCTTATCCAATCCCCTGGAGTCAGAAATTTTCTCTGGTTGTTTCTCTGCTGGAAGTTTTTTAACTCTGCTCATATTTCTTTTTTTGTTTTGTTTTGAGGTTGTCCAGTTTATAGCTCCATCCATCCTCCCTCCTGGGGATGTTGTTTTCATGCTGATGTTCATTGTTCGCTGTACCTGAGCCTTTTATTATTTTTTTTTATTTTTTTTTTCACAAATCAAAATAGAAGATCAGAATACATCAATAAAATAAGAATTGTAATGGAGTGTGACAGAAACCCCTTAGTGCTTATAACACCCCTAAAACAACACACACAAGCAGCTCACATTATGAACGACATTTCACTCCATACAAAAAAACAGAAAAGTCAGGTACAGTGGAACGTTATTTTTACATATTAGCTTTCAGATTATAGGTAGTCAATATTTTTAAAATCATACATCATTTTGTTTTTTGTACTTTCTACCATTTATCTCTGAAGATTTATCTCTGAAGATTGCAAATTCTTTCCATATTCATATTCATGCGCCACAATGCCAAAAAGAAAATTGCACTTGAGTTTTAGCACTTAATGGTAAATGAAAAAAACAAAGCCTGTCTAGTATTACAAGAATCCATTTGGCAGTTCTTAATGAAATAATTATTGAAACGATCAGCAGGCTGGCCTTGTTTTATCATAAAAAAAAAAGGTACATGTTTGATAAATAAACATTCAACAGCTGTCATTTGGAGAAAAGGAGAGCACTAGCTGCATCAGCTTAGAAAATGTTGCTAAGAGAACAAAAGCTTTTTGTAGAAATAAGTTTTTTTTAAAGATTACTAGGAAATGTAATTGCCCAAACAATTTAACAGTATGACAGATATGGATAGATTAATGAATAATAAAATTCACATCATTTTATTGTGAAGAAATGTTCTAATCCTTCTCAAAACACCAAGAGATTTAGGGACTTTTTTGCAAACTGTACCAAATTGTTTTCTCCAAAGCAGTTTGTAATCAAGTTGAACACAAAAAACAAACAGTGGAAACTTTATCAATTTTGAGTTTTTGAATAAAAATTTCTGCCTTGTCGCAAGAAGGTCGCCTTGGGGTAAACGCAACAGAAGATGGATGGATGGATGGATGGATGGATGGATGGATGGATGGATGGATGGATGGATGGATGGATGGATGGATGGATGGATGGATGGATGGATGGATGGATGGATGGATGGATGATTACAAATTCTTATTTCATCAAATTCATAATTTCTGTGCCCAGCAAAGACCATGAAATTACATTGTTTCACATTTAAAGATAACTTATTGGCTTGGAACCAAGTTGAAAATTGGAGAGATCTCTATTCAGTTTCTCTGTAAGAACCGTCTTCTACACATTTTCAGTGTTTCTATTAGACTTATTCTGCCTTCCTGTCAGCTTTGTCTGTCTTGTGCATTTAATGAAGTTCAAATTGTGGAGTGCACACCTAACAGTTGCCCTATTGATAATTTCCTTCCATCTGAGCTGTGGCTTTGCTGCTTCTCTAAATAATAATCTGTTTAGATGGGCGGCCATGTTTTGGTAGAATCACTCTTTCGGTGTTTCAGTTCTTCCTTGTCCTGTCTGCTGTGTTCTTTGGTCTTCATGGTGTTGTTTAGTCGATTCTTCTCTCTAACAAACCCCTAAAGCAGAGGTCACGGATTAGCGGACCGCAGTCCGGATCCGGACCCACCTAATGACTATTCCGGATCCAACCTGATTTCAGATATTTATAAATTATATTATAAATGTTGTCTGTCGGCAGTGTCTAGTTTCACTTGCACCGATTCTCCTGTTTGTATGGTAAAGGCCTCCGGGACCAGGCTGCATGTGATGCCAATTAGCCAATGAGCTGTGTCGGTCAGGGCTGCTGCTGCTGCTAGCAACTTTGAGAAACAACAGAATAAACCTGTGAAAGAAAAACTGAAAGAAAGTGTGGACTGCTGCAAGAACCACAGTGAACTGAGGAAAGAAAAGTGAAATGGTGTGCTCAAAGATGACCCTGAACATTTAAGAGTATGTTTGGCTCAACCTGCTGCTGTGAAGCAGGATTAGCCACCATGAACACAATCAAAAATAAATGTTGATCCAGGCTCAAAATAAGCACCTAGTTATATTTTTGAGAATGGCTTTGTCTCCATTAAAACCCAAGATTAAACACTTACAGGGCAGCCTAAAGCCCACTCCTCTCATTAAGCTAGAAAAAAGACAGAAATAAAATAATTGGTCAGTTCAGGTGTTTTATAAAATATGTGAATCAGGAAATTGTCTCTATAGCAAATTAAATGATTGTTGTTCTCTATTTAAACACCTCATTTTATATCAGCGTTAAATTATTTTTAAAGTAACAGATTATAATTAAAAATTTCTCCGGACTTTATCTGGTTGTTGACTTTCTTTATTCGGACCCCGTTGATTTTTAATTGGTGACCCCTGCCCTAAAGCCTTCACAGAACAGCTTTTACTGAGCGTAAACTGCCCTCTAGGTAACTGCTGATGGGGAATAGCTTCAATTAGCTTTGTATCCTTTACCTTACACTTTTGTATTTTGTACTATTTTCTGTTGGTAACTTCAAACCCCATTAAAAATGTGTGGCTGTGTTTTTTTTTTGTAGTGAGGGAGGAGATTCCTGGTCAGATCTGCGTGTTGGTTTGATGACGTACGACAGCAGGATCCACCTGTATGACCTCAGCCCCGACCTGACCCGTCCGCACATGCTGGTCATCGCTGACACGGAGGACATGCAGCTCCCTGTGAGGGCGGGGCTTCTGGTGTCCCTTAAACACTGTATTGAAAGTTTAGACAGGTAATGAGAATAACCACCTGCCCTGTCTGCTTCTTTTTTTGTGTGCAATTATTGCTTAGGTAAGAAAATATATTTTGTCCTTAGCTTTGCAAGTTTGGCTGTTATACAAGGATAATTGCTCAATTTGTTGCATTTGATTAAAAATACGGTATGTTTATTCGACCTAGTAGCAGAGTATGCAGTTATTTTGTTGATGCTTTTAAATCATGTTTACGTTTTTTTTAAATAAATACTAAATCACTATGCTGCCTTTTATTGTTGAGGACCAGAAGATTTCTGCTTTGTTTTCTGAATAAAAACAGATTCATTTGATTGAGGTTCCTACTTTATTATTTTGTTGTTTTTAAGTAAAGGTAAGTGAAAAAAAAAGTTTCTTCATTATTTATATATCTTTACTCTATTTCTTGTTTGCAGCGTGTTGCAGCTGATTCCTCAGTTCAGCGCTGATTGCAGTGACTCCACTGGACCCATTGAGCTTCCTGTTAAAGCCGGCCTCGCTGTCCTGCAGGTGCAGCATCAATAAACACACCCTGCTAATGCGTGTTTCTTTCCAAGCGATACCGATTTGCAGCTGACATGAACTGAGATGATTTTCCAAAAACATGTAGGGCTTAAAGTGTCTGGGGAAACTGCTCGTCTTCCACAGCGCTGCTCTGATGGAGACGGGAAACACAACCTCTTCCTCAGGGTTCTTTGGGACCAACAAACCAAAGGTACAACTAAGTCACATAAACTGTGTTACGTTAATTAGAGGTTCTTTTAATTTAAGGTGGTTTCTTTCCTTTTTTTTTTGTGCTCCGTCTTAGTCCATCTTTCAGCCATCAGAAAAAGCCATCTCATTGGCCAAGGAGTGCATCAGCCAGGGATGCGGCGTGCACATGTTTGTTTTGTCACAGCAAGATGTGGGCGGGGCATGGCCAGGCCACATTCCTTATTTAACCGGTGGAGCTTTGCACACCTACGGCTACCTCCAGGTACAGCAGCAGCTCCTCTCACTTTAGAGCTGCAAATTATTTTGGTGATTCATTTGATCCTTAAAGGAATAGTACACCCAAAACATGATTAGCCTTCATTTTCTACTCACTCCCATGCTGAACAACACTCTGGAGTACTTTTTTGATATCTCAAATGCATCTGGAGATCTGGGAGGCTTCTTGCTGTCTGCTGACATTCAAATAATGGAGGTCTATGGTGACCGAGACAGAAAGGTCCATAAAAGTCCACAAAAAACGTGTCAATATTCCTCCATACTGCTCGTCCAATGTATTCCAAGTGTCCTGAGTGGGTAGCATCCAGAATTTACTCGAAAAAAAGTCATTTAGAATGTTTTTAGAGCATAAACAGTAGTGTATAGGATTTCCTGAAAGCGCGCGCCTGCCAGTTCACGACGCTACGGAAGCCGGCAGACCAAACCAGCGCATTCAGCTCGGCAAAGAACTCATGCTCTTCCTCAACACTGAAGTCCTCAGACATTTTTCTTTCGTTGTTTCTTTCTTTGCACAGGTAAACAGCACATTTCTTCTTCTACGCTTGCATTATCGGCAGAGCAGACGCTGAATGCGCACTATCATCTGGTTTGGTCTGCCAAACCAGATGCACTTTCATCTGGTTTGGTATGTCACTTGTATGTGGTCTGCCACATACAAGTGACATACTTTTTACGTATATGACCAACTACCAGTAATTACAAGTACCAAACATGTATTCTGCTGTTTAAACGGATAACAAATGTGCTGTATAAAAATAAAATACAGCACACCAGAAAAAAATAGAAAAGTCAGTCATTCATCAACATTTTCTTCTTCCTGTCCACTAAAACCACCAAAGTCCGCTTCTTCAGTGTCGGAAACAAACAGCTCAGGGTGGCTTCATCGTCCATTCTCCGCTTCTATCGTTCACTGTCGCTTTCAAAACCAGAGAACTCTTCGTTGTCAGTAAGAGTCGAACCCCCTCTGAAGGGCTGTGGCGATATCCTCCTCTCCATCACGCAGCAGTCCAGCCCATCGCAATCATGGTCAGAATCCACTGGCAGACTTGGTCAAAACTTGCTTTTTGTATGAACCGGTTTTAGTGAATTATTTATCGCCGCTTGTCGTCCACGCTTCCCGCTGAATGTGTATTGCTACTTTGAATGCACGATTCACGCTCATGTCGAGTGGCTGCAGTTGCTTCTTTTTGGCATTAAACAGTACGGCCTGGTGGACGGACATATGGCCAACATACCACCCTTTTCTGTGCATACTGTGTCTGATCATATGCCCTTCCGCCAGGCAAAGTAGTTCCGTGCAACAGTGGAAGAAACCAAAATAAATCCTCTTAGGATTCCACAAAAATAATTAAAAAAACCATAGAAAAGACTCATCAGAGGATAAGATGCATGGTTTGAAACTCATGAAAAAAGTAGCGACTTATCGTCAGAAAATTATGGTATTCTGTTCTTTAATTTGGAATTGCTGACGTTCCAGCCAGTGGTAAATCTGTTCTTCCCCGGCCTGTTGTGAAGGTGTTAAAGTAACCATGCAGAGATAAAGCCTCATTTAACTGCTATTTGTAATGTTTCTGTTACAGGGCGAACTGGACAGAGAGAGTTTCAGCACAGACCTGAAGCGGATTGTAGAGGCGGACACAGGCTACCAGGCTGAGCTCAGGATATTCGTCAGCAAAGGTGAAAGATGCTTTTACTGTTCCTGCACTTTCCTTCTTTAAACAGGGGATTAAACCGTCTGTTTCCCCCTACCAGATTTACGCGTATCTGGTTGCTATGGAATGTTCGTCCCCGGTTCGAACCCTGGACACGTCACCATGGCAACGCTTGACAGTAGGACCACTCTAGCCGTGGAGCTCGCACACAGTAAAGCTTTGGATGAGACAAGAGGTGCAGCCTTACAGGTGAGATCAGAGATAAAGGCCGAGATGTCCTCAGAACTGAAGGGCTCCTTTAGCATCAGGCTGCTGCATCTACCACATTGAACCTCATTGTTCCTCCCTGCAGCTGGACATCTACTGTATCACTACCCCCACTGCTTTAAAACTCTACAAATGTTCTTACTTGTTTTCTCATCACACTATGGCAACTTTATTTATATAGCACAATTCAGTACATGGATAATTCACAATGCTTTACATTAATTAAACAGTAAAATAGAAGGAATATAAAAGCAAGTAAAACAAAAATAACAAACATAAAAACATTATAAAAGCAGGTAGTAAAGCAAATAAAACAACTGGACCACAAACTTAAAATAATGATACCTCAGTTAAAAGTTTAACATCATCAGTCAAAGGCAGCTCTGAACAAAATAGTTTTTTTTTACTTTGACTTAACAGAACATAGACTTTCAGCACTTTTACTGTCTTCCATAAGTTTGTTTCAGATTTGGATCATAGGAACTAAACGCTGCTTCTCCATGTTCGGTTCTAGTTCTAGGTGTAAAGAGTAGGCCTGAACTAAAAGACCTGAGCGGTCTGAGAGGTTGATACACTGACAACAAATCTGTTATGCAGTGGGTTGCTGATCCATTCATTCATTTATAGACATACATGAAGATTTTAAAGCATATTCTCTGAGCTACTGGGAGATAGGGTAAGAATTCAGGCTGATGTGCTCTACTTTCGTAGTTCTAGTGAGAACACAGGCAGCAGCGTTTTGGATCAGCTGCAGCTGTCTGATGGACTTTTTAGGCAAACCTATGAAGACACTGTTGCGGTGTTAAATTCCACTAAAGATAAATGCATTAATGAGTTTTTTTTAGATCTCCATTGTTATTATTATTGCTTATTATTTGAGTGTATCTATGTGCTCCCATTTGTTCATGTTACACAGGAATCTCCCATTTTGAATAAATAACAACGGATTATTGTATTCTAAAGCAGTAGTCTCTGTTTTGAATTATGTAGAGCAGCAGTCCCAAACCTTTTTTGCGCCACGGACCGGTTATATGTCAGATAATATTTTCACGGACCGGCCTTTAAAGTGTGGGGGGTAAATACAATCAAATAAAATGATACGACTGGCATAAAATCAAATATAAACAGCATAAAAATAAAACTCACCATTATGTTGAATTAGTGGGAGTCCTGAGCTTGTTTCTCTGAAACAAGCCGGTCCCATCTAGGCATAATCGGAGACAATGACACACAAAGTGTGCTCCTGATGTCTAGTCTGCTCCGTAACTTTGTTTTGGTCGCTGTAACCGCAGAAAATCCCGCTTCACAAACATAGGATGTTATAGATAGGATGCGTCTTGACCTGAATTAACCTGTGTCAAGAGGCACATATGCACTGACTGATGTAATTGGAAGAGAATACCCCAATGTTTGTCAATCAATACATTTTATTATTTTAAATTTTATATATATATATATATATATATATATATATATATATATATATATATATATATATATATATATATATATATATATATATATATATATATATATATTTATTTATTTATTTTTTATTTTTTTCTCTTCTGTGCGGCCCGGTACCAAATGACCGACATACCGGTCCACGGTCCGGTGGTTGGGGACCGCTGATGTAGAGAATGTAAATCTATTTTCTGAGAACTTCCAACATTTTATCAAATTCAGCTTTAAAGAGAAAAACTAATAGTTTAAATTGATAAAACAGATAATTTGCTTTTTAAGAGTTCGTATATCCTGTTCTCTCCCTCTAACTTTATTTTTGAAGACATGAGTATTACTGAAAATAGCTAACTTTGTGTCTTCCTGGATCAGTGAATCCTTTTTCCACTTTATAGAGGGATGTACTTTCAGATAGTTTTTTTATTGGCCTGTTACCCACCACTGATTGATGATTGCCCATTGGTAGTACGGGGCTGAAGTGAAGCCACCGCCCGCCATGTTGGTACTCCCTTGTAAACAATATATGCGCTACAGCATCGAACAACAATGTTTTCGTTTTCACAGGGCCTTTTAAAATGAAGATAAATTCATTGTGTTATGTAATATAACATATTATACAAATCCATCACGTTAAAATGAATGTGTTAATGGAGCATTATAATACAGATGTGCCAGAAGTGCTAAATTGATGATGTACGTGTAATCTACATGAACGTATTATATTGTTATGGTAATAACATCTTACGTGCTACATGCTACACATGTAGGCCTTTTTACTGCGTGTGTCCGTGGGAGTTGGGAGTACCAGCATGGTAGACGGTGGCTTCACTTTTTTTGGACAATCAGCAATCCAGTGAATAAATAGAGATCAGTGTTACCCACTAGTAAATATTTAGCTGAAAGTCAGCTGAATCCAGTCCTCTGGCAGGTTTTTGTTGCGTCGGTAGAAACAGGTTCACTTTTGTTAACATTATATCTTCCAAATCTTTACTGCAAGTGAATTTGAACTCACGAGAAAACATTTCCTAACAGTTTTTACTCCTTTTGCTCGTACTAGGTGGTCCTGTCTTACACATCACAGACGGGGGAGAGAAGAAGGAGAGTTCACACTTTGACACTGCGATGCTCGCGCCACCTGCAGGACACTTTCAGGAACTACCAGGCTGACACGCTTCTTACTTACTACTGCAAGAAGAGTATGAAATATGCAATATATAGTATTATAATTATACCTTGTAAGATTTCTACTATAATATACATACTTCTGTTGTTGATTTATTTTTATTTTTATTTAACACTTTGTGTGTCTAAGTGTACTGTGCAGCCTTAGAGCGCCCTCTGCAGGAGCTGAGAGAGGAACTGCAAACAGATGTAACGGAGGCGCTGGCATCTTACCGTAAACACGGCTGCTCATCTTCAGTGTCTGCTGGGCAGGTGAGCTAACAGTTACACTCTAATAATAATTATAACACAGGACAGAATGTGTTCATTGTGTATATGCGTCAGTAAGAAACAGCCTCCCCTTTGCGTTGCCCCTCCTGCAGCTGGTCCTCCCTCAGTTCCTGCGAGCTCTTCCTGTTTACATCAACAGCCTGAGGAAGAGTGAGGTGCTGCTGCCGGGTCTGAGGAGCTCCGTCCACCAGAGGCTGCAGCAGCGCTGCCAGGTGCTCGGCCTCGACACCTGCAGCACCGTCAGGAACTTCTATCCTCTGCTGCTGCCTCTGGTCAGTGTGAGCGACATGTTGGAAAGATCCACCTATGGCCAAATATTCTCAGCGTTGTCTTAAACATTATATAGTTTTTATTAATTTTAGAATATTCTAAGATTCCTTTTATTTTCTTCAGCTGCCTTTAGACAGCAGCTCCATCCCTCCAAACACAGAGAGGTCGCTGCGCTGCACCGGTTCCAGCCTGGAGTCCAGCGCTCTCTACCTGCTCCATGCACCCTACACTGTGCTGCTCTGGGTGGGAACTCAGGTCCCGACGTGCAAACTTGTTGAGCTCTTCAACGTCAGCTGCTTTGCTTCTCTGCCTTCAGGGGAGGTGGGTTTGCAAACCTCTGATGGGCTCCACATGCAGGGAAACTGATTCCTGCAGATTGAGTTCAACAATAACATGATTTCCAGAGGTCGATATTATGTGTGACTTAAACTCATTAGAACAACTATTAAAAATAAGACAAAAATCAGACAGGATCTAGGTTTAATGTATGTTTCTCATGTTCTTTTTTCAGACCAAGCTGCCAGCTTTGGAAAACCGTCTGTCCATCAGCGTTCGGTCACTCATCAGCTCACTCAACTCAGAGGTTCCTTACGCCCGAAAGGTGGGGCTGCTGTTAAAAATTAAAAAATATATATATTTTTTTTTAAAACAATCCTGTCACAGGGGTGGTTAAAGCTACAGCTTTCTGCTGAGCTGTTGAGGTTTAAATAACGTGGCATCTCTGCGTCATTCTGCGGCGGTTAGGTTACGCTCCAGGCAAATCAAGTCTGTTTCTTAAGTAACACTTGTACTTTTTATAGAGTTTAGCTCAGTTTTGTTTATTCAATTTGATTCAGTTTATTTATATAGTGCCAATTCACAACACAAGTCATCTCAAGGCACTTTACAGTTCAACCAGATCATCCAGTCAAATTGATTAAAAGTTTTCTATCTAAGGAAAACCAGTTGATTGCATCGACTGATTGACTAGAATGCAATCCCTCACACTAAGCATGCTTGTATCAACAGTGGAGAGGAAAAACTCCCTTTTAACAGGAAGAAACCTCCAGCAGAAGCATGTTCAGTGTGAGCGGCCATCTTCTGAGGCCGACTGGGGTTCAAGGAGACAGAAGCAGAGATACAAAAAGCAGCTGTAAAAGGCGGCCCCGTCCAGGAAACACACAGCCAGGCAGACGAGCTCCAAGGCAGCTCCCATGTCAGAGGCTAAAGAAAGCAGTAACGGTCAGAGAAACAGGACTACACTGGAAAACAGGCCGATCTGCAACATCTATAAACAAGGGTGTTGATGGTGACAGCACAGATGATGTTTCTCTTAAGGATGATGTCACAGCCGAACAGTAACAGACCAGATGAAGCTAAATATGAGAAAAAGCAGAGAGAGCAGAAAGTTAGAGATTGAACTAACAGATTCTGCAGAGTGGGAGAATAGAGATCGAATGAAGCAGAATGATGAAATGGGGGTCCCTATGTCCTCCAGAAGTCTAAGCCTATAGCAGCATTACTATAAAGATAGCTCAGGATAACCTGAGCCACTCTAACTATAAACTTTATCAAAAAGGAAAGTTTTAAGCCTAGCCTTAAAATTAGAAACAGTGTCTGTCTTGTAGACTAAAACTGGTAGTTGGTTTCGCAGGAGATGAGCCGGATAACTAAAAGATCTTCCTCCCATTCTATTTTTAGAAATTCTAGGGAGCACTAGTAAACCTGCAGATTGTTATTAACTGTTATTTTCTTTTGAAAATAACATTTAAATAGGTTTGATTCCTTCAATTAAAGCCACATTTTTGGTTTAAAGAAAACTTCCCATATATTTTCATTCCTATATAAGTAGAAAATCATTATATTTACTAGAAATAAAGGTTGTAGTTTATAGATTTTTTTTTGTAATTAGTGTCAAATTTATAACAGAATAAAAAAGGTTTAGTTTTTGGTGTTGCTGCAATTAAACAGCAAATCTTAATCAGATTAAATGATTTCAACTGTATCTTTTAGCCCTTCTTTAAGACTCTTTAAATGTGCTTCAGCTGCTGGTGGTGAAACAAGGCGACACCTGTGAGGAGGCCCTGCAGCGCCACCTGGTGGAAGACAAGAGTCCCAACGGGGGAGCTTCCTACGCAGATTTCCTCTACCATCTCCACATCAACTCTGTCCGCCTGCTGCAGTGACCCACACACACATTTATTGAGACTTTAGGCTGCTTCCACATGTGGGGCATTAAAGGCCTGCAAAATCATGATATTATAATAATAAGCATTAGAAAATATTAAGACTGTTCTCAAAAGTAGGCTGTGCATGGAGATGTGTCCAGATATGATGACCTGTTTGTCTGAAGCGACATAAAATGTGCTGAATGTTTGTTTTTGTTTGTATCTGTTCATTTATTAATGTTTTAATCCATGCTTCGGGTGTGTGTGTGTGTGTGTGTGTGTGTGTGTGTGTGTGTGTGTGTGTGTGTGTGTGTGTGTGTGTGTGTGTGTGTGTGTGTGTGTGTGTGTGTGTGTGTGTGTGTATCTTTGTGGAATAAAAAAATAAACAAATGGAGAATTTAACTTAACTCAGATATTTCCTTTTCTACCTCCCAACACTGATCCAATGAAAAGAGTCGGTGACCTTTCATCAGACATCAGCAGCTGACGATGTGAAGCTGAAAGAGCATCTGTCTAATCAGTCATAAGTGCCTAATAACACTAATTAACTGTAATTATGTCACTGCACAAATGGAAAGCATGGAACTGTGTAGCTGAATGAGCTGTGGCTCCTGGGCATCTGAGTTCAGTCACTCTGCGATGACTTTGGCAGCAGATTTATGAGATGATGCATTCGGTTAAAAAAAAAGTTCAAAGGTTTTTAAACTGAAACTATCTCATGTTAAGCCATACAACCTTTCTTAATGCAGCTATAATATGACTTCCCTCATTTTAACCAAACATCTTTACCCTTAAGTCATCAAATTACAAATTTGCCTGTTTTAAACGGCAGAAAAGCCAGAAGAAAAGCCTTTTTACTCAAAGCTTCCGCTGCTGAAAAAGTCCATTTGGGTATGAAAAGTTAGTTAGAAAAAATTTGCAGTGATAATTGAAAAAATGGGCAATTTAAAGTGTGAATGTTGATGCAGCTTTTCTAAAATCTCTCATCCACTGATTGTTAACCCAGTTTATGATCCGAGTCCCACTGACAGACTGTCCTCAAACTAATAGTTTTATGTAAAAATGTTTGTATTTGCATATCCAATGAATAATGCCTATTCTAAAAATGCTGATGTAAACTTTCTGCATTGGACTATTGATACATAATTTTCATATTCATCGTGCAACGAATGTTAAATAATTTTATGCATAACTTATGTCTGGTCTGAAGCTGTACTTGTATGTATTTTAACAATGACATCCATTAATGTAATGCATGTGTTTTAGTTACTTCATTTATTTATTAACTTAACAATTAAACAATCGTCAATATTTACCAGGAAACGTGTCGGTCGCAAGGCAGCTTTTGAAGCCAAAAACAGTCTCCCTCATATTTGCCCCTATTTGGAAATACGCACCATGGGGAGGGGGAGGAGGGGTGGAGGGTGTTTGGTTACGCTGTGGCACTATGCCCGTTCCCGCTGTGTCCACCAGAGGGCGACATAGAGTCAACGCCGTTACAGTAGCTCTTATGGAAAGCTGCAGCCAAATAAAGCGGACTATGTCAAGTTAGACAAAGTGATGAGCAAGAGGCCGGAAACCCGCCTGACTGACCTTCAAAATTAGATCTGAAGATAAGTTAAATTAGCAGTATCAACGAAAGCTAAACATTGAATATAAAGGTGTATTTTACAAGTGAAATAGACAAGCCAGTGGTAGGGGTGATATGCTGAGGAATCTTTATCATCAATATGAAAGCATAATAAAAGGTGTTCAGACATTTGGATTAGAAACTATTGTGCAATGTTTTATTCTAAGAGCTGTTACACATTTTTATGTTTAACTGTTATGCCTGTAAAGCATAGACAAGCTGTGGATAAACTTAGTATATCTTTACGGTAAAAAACAACTTTTAATTTTAACACCTACAGTTAAATATAACTTTTTCAGATAACATTTGGTTCTACTCCAAATAAGTGTAAAATCTGCTCTATATCTAGTGTCAGATTTTCAGAGTTAATTTTATTCATATTAGTTTCAAAATCAACAAGACTTGTCACCATATGAAAGAAAGTTTACTCTGCATGGCTGTCAAATTTTACACCTATTATTACCTCCAACACAAACAACCCAGCATAGGTGTAAATACTCCATTTAGTGTTAAATATGATAACTCTGATTTTTTTCCTTCTATTTGTGTTTGCTAGTAACATGTTAGATTTCTGCTATTGGGAAATCAAGAAAAATGCCTAATCAATAGTCATTTTCAATACATTAGATCAGGGGCCTTCAAAGTTTTCCAGAGCAAGGACCCCAAAACTGATGGCGAGGTGAGCGGGGACCCCTAATTATATATATTTCATGATATTACATATGGAGTAATGTAACAAAAGTAATTTCTTCCTGGGATTATTAAAGTATTTCTGATTCTGATTCCTGGTTGATGGGACAGGTGTTGTGAATTAATTGGTGCCCAGCTTGAAAGAGCTCCTGTGTGTCTCTGAATGTGTGCATTGATGACTGAAAGACATCTTCTGCCATTTATCTGTTTACTACAGTGTGTTGAAATTATGTTAATGTTGTTTTAAAGACATTTCAATTAGTGGAAAAAATTGCAGAGGGTATTATAAAATAAAAGTTTAACCAACAAAAAAATGCGACCCCCATGCAGTACCTCCGTGGACCCCCTAGGGGTCTCGGACCCCCTGTTGAAGATCTCTGCATTATATGATTCATACATATGATGCTTGTCTGTCAGATTAAAAACACCATTTGAAAATAACCATTCAGTTTTTTTTTAAACATATTTGATTAATATTATAATTGTGGTATTAATTACTTTTATTTGGTCTCATAGTTATTAGGGGGCTGTGTTCTTAGAGTTGACCAAGCGCAGGTGTTGGAAGAAAGGTCTCTTGCCATAGCATGTTACCCTGGTTGTATTTCAATGTCTCACACCCCATGCACAAAGCTTTTTCAGAGCAGAGGACCTTCAACGAAAGACTGTTGCAGGATGAATAAGGGGGATTATTAAGCTTTATAAACATCACTGTTCCAACAGACCCATTAACAGTTTACATCCCTGATGAGCTTTAGTTTTTTCATTGGTTGCAGTCTGTTGTTTCTTTTTGCACAACTAACCACCCATCCATCCATCCATCCATCCATCCATCCATCCATCCATCCATCCATCCATCCATCCATCCATCCATCCATCCATCCATCCATCCATCCATCCGTCCATCAGTGCATCAGTCCATCCATCCATCCATCCATCCATCCATCCATCCATCCATCCATCAGTGCATCCATCCATCCATCCATCAGTGCATCCATCCATCCGTCCATCAGTGCATCAGTCCATCCATCCATCCATCCATCCATCAGTGCATCCATCCATCCATCCATCAGTGCATCCATCCATCCATCCATCAGTGCATCCATCCATCCATCCATCAGTGCATCCATCCATCCGTCCATCAGTGCATCAGTCCATCCATCCATCCATCCATCCATCCATCCATCCATCCATCCATCCATCCATCCATCCATATATATATATATATATATATATATATATATATATATATATATATATATATATATATATTTACAATCAGATTTATGAAATATGATTTTTAATTCCCCATTTAGAAAGAGGATTAGAGAATACATTTTCAAATCACTAGTTATTTAATTTAATAAAGAAGATTCAGAATTCCTCCATTAATAATATTATTTAAAGTGGGAGATCACGAAGCACATTTCAAATTGTATTTCTAATTGCATGGTTAAAGCATTAAATGCTCAGTGATGCAGTGGGTCGCACCGCTGCCTTACACAAAAGAAGGTTACATTTTCGATTCCTGGCCCGGGGTCTTTCTGCATGGAGTTTGCATGTTCTCCCTGTGTATGTGTGGGTTCTCTCCGGGTACTCTGACCGGAGAGACTGTTATCCTTAGGTGTGAATGGCTGTTTGGTTCTGTGTTGCCCTGTGATGGACTGGCATCCTGTCCAGAGTGTACCCTGCCTCTTGCCTGTAGACAGCTTGGAGATAGGGGTGTACCAGCACTCCTCACTTCTGGTGCTTGGGATAAGTATGACGGAATGGATGCATTGAAATGGCTGCTCCATGATCCGTTTTTTTGTTGTTGTTGTTTAAATCAATAAAAGTAACAAATTGAGTTTAGATTCCTTTTAAATCTTAAATAATATTAAAAAAACTAACAAACAAAAAAAATACCTTAAGTCAATAAAGTCATGTTAACTTGAGGCAGTGGCACTGTGTACCTTTTTTTATGTATACAATAAATTGACTAATGCTAAACTGTTTTAGGTTTTATTTTATGGAAGCAAATCGTTACCATATTTAAAATGAAAAAGCATTTTCAGAAATGCTTTTTCATTTTAAGAATATGGCTGCATTGTTTGACTCATAAATGAAATTAGTAATCAATAATCCTGTTTGCATTTTTATTTTCTTCTTCAACACTGCTCATCCTTTTATTTAATTAAAATTAAAAAGAAAAAGACATTTTAGATTTATTTTTCAAAGTGTACCCCAGCAAATACATACCAAAATTCAATTTGAAATGTAAAATTTGAAAACGAAAAAGGCATTTCCAGAGATGCTTTTTCATTTTAAGAATGTTGCTTTATTTGACTCATAAATTAAATTAGTAATCAATCATCCGATTTGCATTTGCATTTTCTTCTTTAAGACTGCACATTTTATACCATAATCAAAGAGAAAACATTGCTTTTTCGTTTTCATGGTCTGCCTGCAAAGTACTGTCCATAACTCAAAAACGAAAAAGCATTCTGAGCGGTGGGTGCAGCAGAGTGACATCAGCAGCCGCTCTTCATAAGGTATTTGCTTACCGGGCTACCCATCTTCTTAATTCGTATTTGCTGGGGTACATTTTGAAAAATATATCTCAAATGTCTTTTTATTTTTTTTATTTTTTTAACTTTAATTAAGTAAAAGGAAGAGCAGTGTTGAAGAAGAAAATGAAAATGCAAATAGGATTATTGATTACTAATTTCATTTATGAGTCAAACAATGCAGCCACATTCATAAAATGAAAAAGCATTTCTGAAAATGCTTTTTCATTTTAAATATGTAAAGATTTCCTTCCATATTATTTCATGGTCGAATTTTAAATATTTGATTGATTTTTAGTTTTTGCTGCGAAATCCTTTCTTTTATTTTGAAATCCCCCGGCGGAAGTAGTAATGGTAGGCTTGTCCAGCTTGCCTAGAAGCTTCCCGGAGCGCGCGCGGTAGCTGTCAGATAGCGGAGCAGCCTGTCAGAGAAACACCCTCACTGCCAGCTTCGCCTTTCTCTATCATACCCCTCCGACTCTCGGCGCCTCTCTAAAGGCTTTCCCACCGCTCCAACGGCCGGCTAGCTGCTGGGCGGAGCCGCGTTGTTATTCTTTCCTTTTTTTTTTTTTTATACACTATTTTTTTTTTTTTTTTTTTTGCCCGAACTAACATTTAATTCTTTCGGAGTTGATTCGGGAGTAAAGAAGCAAGCGAGAGAGAGAGAGGACAGGGGAGAGCCATGGCCACAACAACCTGTACGCGATTCACGGACGAATACCAGCTGTACGAGGAGCTGGGGAAGTGAGTATCCGTGGAGGAGGCTGCAGAGCTGCTCTGCAGAGCAGAGCTGCAGGCCAGCAGCGGCTCTTTATCTATGTGCGCCTTTTTTCACTGTGCCAGCTCTAAAAAACACGCTGCTCCGGCTCACAGAGTGGGATCCTCAATCTGTTACACCAGAAACAAGCACTAAAACCACTGTTGATATTTCTGCTATGGGTTTATTTCACCCTGAAATAACGTTTTGTGGTTAAAGCATTTCCACATTAGATGAGCAGAAACTGTGGTTTGCTGTAAATATTTTTTTTTCCAACGCAGAGCAGATATCTGTATAAATATGCAGAAAGAGATTTGCTACAGTTGCTCTGTCCTCTGTAATTTCTAGGATGCATTTAATGTTTAAACAATAATCAAAATTTGATACATTCTCACACATATTTACATTTGCCTCTTGAATTTTGCAATGCATTTTGGGAGTTTTGTTTCAATGTTTTTGCAAGTTTGCAGCTCTCATTAAGGTCTGCTTAAAAGGATAGATTGTTCAGTCATTGTATTTTTAAATTTTTGCTGAATTTTATTAAGAGTTAAGCAAGAAAGCATGCATGTGGACAACTTGCACATCAAAACAGAATATTCAACAAAAAAACACTTGAGATACTGAAACTTAGATGTATTGCAAATGTTTCCCCCCTAAAACTAAATTACTTGATGTTCTCTGTATGGAATCTGAATTAATAATTTATTTTTTTTTTTATCTTGACCAATGCTGTTGTTTTGGCTATGTATGTAAAGTTATATTTTTATTGTTTTCTTTTTAATCATGAGCAATTATCTCCTCAAACCGTATTCTGATAAAAGCTTTTAAACGTCACTTTGACTCTCCAGACATTCCTCTGCTTTGTATCAGTCCGTCTTCATATGGTTGTGTCTGTCAGAGGACCTGTTTCACTTTTTGCATCTAGTTTAAAGACGTAGCAGTTTAAGAAACAGTCGGTGGTTTCCAGGGAAAAAAATATCAAGTTTTCTCCCAGAAAGTAGAGGAATAGTCAATATTACGCAGCTTGCTCTCAGTTTTTCTAGTGGTCCCTTTGCATTAGTATTGAGATTCCTTACATGAAAAAACTCCTCTGAATTAGAAATGTTATTTTCAGATACTAAGTTGTAGAACAGCTGAACTGTCGCGGTTGCATCTTTTATTTCTTTAGGCAGGTCAGCGAAATTCTCTGTAAAATACAGGAACGACAGAAGATTAAAGCCCCATCAGAAAACAAATTTATTTCTTTATATCCAGGCATGAAGGTTTAACGACACCTCTAATTCTACGTTTACTGATTGATTTCCATCAGGCTGTTCTTTCATTGAGGGACTCTGCAATGATCGACTTTCTTTGTGTTTTTTTTTTTTTGTCTCCATCATCTTCATCACTTCATTCAGATCCACAGAGGGTCCTGGTGTTTTAAAGTTTCTTACATTCCCAAATAATGGAGGTCACAGTGGGATGTTTTAGGATGTTAAAGGCTACTGACTTCTTTTTTCTTTTTTCCCCAGATCCTTTGCTTTGATATCTTCCTATTATTGGCTCTTTTGAGTAGATTTTTAAAGCAAACCAAACCTTTAATGAAATGGGTCAGAGAGCAGGTAAAAATTATGGAAGATGTAAAGTAGTGTGAACACCAGCACTGCAAACCTCTAATGTTTAAGAAATTCTGAGTTCTTATTCTGGAATTTTCCGTAAATTAAACAATGGGTTTTGCAATTTAAACTTGAATTTGCCACTAAAATGTAAGACAGTCCCAGGGAGAGCGTAACTTTGGGCTTTCTTTGGATTTTAGTGTTTTTCTGCAGGTTTGTGTTGTATTTGCTTCACAGGTTAAACGCTTGTATTAATTATCTGTAATATTTCAAGTTGTTAAGTTGTTGGTTTAAGACATGAAAAACCTTTTAAAGGCAAAGGATAACTTGCCTCATCTTAAAGTGTTTGCTCAGAGCGTTTATCCAGCTTCTGTGGAGTGGCGTCATGACGTCGACTCTAAATGTACATGAGCATAGCGCTTTCGCGTGTCAGGCCCCTGAGGAGGTTCTTAAAATAAAGGGAACTAAACAGGAGAAAAAGGATGTTTAGCATTTTTTCCTGACGGGGCAGCTGCCTGCATTAAATAATTACATCCATGATCTCCATTTGGATGCTCAAGATGTTCAGGGTGATTAACATGCGACTGCTTATGGAAAAGCAGGTTTGTTGATATTGAAAGATTTGTAGGTAATTAAAGGTTAATAGATTAGAGAAAAGTGTTAGACTTTAAGAATCAGTATAATAAAAAAGGAAACAGGTCTGATGACGGTCACTGAATTAGTTTTAGTTGCATGTCAGATTGAAAGGTCTTTAGTTTGCATTTAGATATTTCAACATTGTTCTTAAAATCAGGGGTGCAGCCCGATATGAAGATAGCATAATGTGGGTAAAAGTTGCGGTATCGCTCTGACTAAGCAGTTTTATGTCTTATTACTTTGGATTCAATGCAACAGTAGATAGAAAACATGGTAAGTTGATTCCTTGTAAAACATTGACTCCCACCCTGCAGGATTGAACAAATCTAAGTTTTATAGACTTTGAAATGGAGTCGATCTGTTTGTTCAAGTTGCCAAAAGCATTAGAATAGACTTTTAGACCAACTTGAAGGATTTATTGAGATATTTGTTCATATAGATAAAAATATGGCAAGGTAACCTCATGTTCCATTCAGATCAATTAAATATGATAAAAAACTTTGAAAAAAATCTAGAATTGTTAATCTAGAAAAGCATTAATTTACCATTGATTTAACCATCAAACACTTATTAAGAATAAAAATCCCATCTGGAGTAGAGTCCTGCCCAAGAAAGCAGCATACAGTAACTGTTCTAGACACAATGCTGAACATTAAACATCTAAAACAGGATTTATGTATCAGGTCCATTAAATTATAAAGAAATAATAAGTGTGCAGAGAAACAAGCTCTCGGAGAATCGACATTTTGCAACTCATCCCTGGCAGATGGAGCAGATTATTGTCGATCATTCCCCTGTTCAGCTCAGAACATCCGCACAGTAAGAAGGGAGATTCAGCATTTAAAAAATAACATCTTTTAAAACAAATAAGCAACTTAATATACTTACATTGAATATCATTATTAAAACAAAGGAATTCAAGCTTAAAACATTTACAAAATTGCACATCTGCATTTTAAAAAAGGTTTATGAATAGGTTTGTAATAATGACTCAGTTAATGCTGTGGGCAAGCTTATAAATGTTGGGTTAAACTTTTTTAATAGAAGTTCAGAAATAATTAGTTTTTTATAGCATACATACTTAAAATGCTTTATGCTTTTAGTTCCTGTTTCAGCTCTTCTACTTTTTGCAGGCTTCAAGAGGTTGAGATTTATTTACTATAAAGCGAATTTTAGAAACAGATGACAAACACTAAAATACTAATATAATTCAAAGGTGAAACACAATAAGAATCTAAGTAACACATAAAATGATGAGGATAAAATATTCTGACATTGTCTCAAATGAGCTTTATAAACAGCAGTGCTTCAGTAACTGGTTTTCATAGTGTAGGTGCTACAGGTGCAGACCTCACAGTAGTCTGTACAAGCCCAGGCTCTGGGACTAGTAAAAGCCAGTAATTATGAGAAATCAGTGGGACACATAAAGTCAGAGGGGAACAGCAGCTGGTCCGTGGAGTGTTTCATAAGTCAATAGTGAAATCTGAAATTCAATCCTAAATTGAATAGGGAGCCAGCAAGAGGTGGGCTGCTGCATTCTGGACAAACTACAGCTTTAAAAGCCAATGTCACGGTGGGGTGGAGGTTTGAAAGGATCCAAATGCAGACACTGAAGCTGAAGTGGCTTCATGAAGACTAAATAACAAAAAAAGGTAACGGAAATAAAAAGCCAAAAACATAAAAAAAAAAATACACAAAAACTGAGAACCAGGATTAGGGTTGTCACTATACTAAACTTTTCAACTCGATACCGATACTAAGGAAAATATTCAATACTCGATACCATTTTCGATACCAGGATAAAAAAAAAAGACTCCAAAATTCTACAGAAATATTTTCATTAATAAATAAAATACAATAAATAAATAAAATAAACAATAAGAACAATATTTTGAGGTTGTATGCTGTGCACAACATTAAGCAAGCTTCATAAAAAACTTATAAAATTAAAATTAAGTGTTCCTTCCTTGGCTATGCTTTGCACACATAACAATGACACTAGCCAAACCAGTTAAGAAACAAAAATAATTCTCAGCAGAAAAAAAAGTCTGAAACTGAAAAGTGCACAGAATTATTCAATCACACAGTGTTCAGAAAGTGCATTTTCCTCTATTCTGCACTTTAGATGAATGACTGCTTAGGTCAGTACTTTTAAAAACGAGTATTGTATCCGGATACAACGTTTCAGTATCTATACTTTTTTGAGTATCGATACTTTTGACAACCCTAACCAGGATTACTCACAACAAGGGGCAAAGAAATGACGACAAACCAGCAACATTGACTGAGCAGGAGGTGCACTTGGTACATAACCAAGTGGGTCTCTCAGGTCTTTAGTGCATCTAGAAGAGTCTTACCCAGAAGTATTCTACAATGAGCACTGTGATAATAAAACTTTTGCTCAGGCGTTGCTAGATTCCTGTATTGTCTGTATGAGGGAGGAGAAATTTCCTGAAATGCATTCCTTTGGGGATCATGTAAGTAGAAAATAAAATGGACCAAGAGCAGAACCTTGGGGAACTCCACAATAGATTGGCCGATGGAGCAACGGCATCACTAGTAGTCACATAACCTCCTGTCAGAAGGATAATCCTCAAACCACACCAGTTTTTCCTGTATTGCCTGTATACTTTAAATGAGAGGTAGGGATAGCAGGGTCAGCTGTAATAAAAGGAATTTAACTCTAAAAGAAAAAGAGTGTCTCCTGCATCAGATGCTAATAAAATACCTTTTACATTGAGTAACCCAATTATATCTACAGATATTCCTAGGACCCAACACAAAAAAGGTCCTTCTGGATGAACTGTGTGTTAACGATAAAGTAAATATGATGTTTTCAATCAGCTTGAACATCTAACTTAGATGAAAAGTGAATTAGATTGTAATGGCTGTAGATTAACTTTGTATTTGTTGGCATTTTGTAAGAATCCAAGTTGGTCTTCGCTGCTTCCACCCAGCAAAAATCCAAACTAACGAAGCTTCAAAGCTTAGATCAGGTAGCTGTGTCCCAGATAGTTGGTATGTCACTTTTTTTTTGTTGCTGGATAAGTTTCAGTAACCTGTTGTCTTCCAGGATCAAGGCACACACAACAGCCGGGGAAAAGACTAACATGGCCTCCCCGCAGAGCTGGTTCCTGTCCCAGCAGTAATTACTCTGGTTGTTGGGAATGTCTTGGCTGCCTAACTCTTGTCTGTTTAAGCTCTGGTTCATATTTCTAAGTTTCGGCTCTTAAATAGAAAGGAAAAGGAGAACATTTCCAGTGATTTATGACCTATTAGTCGGACTTTGATCTTGTGCAAGTGACACGAATCCTACCCTGCAAGGCGTCTTTTATAGCTGATTAGAATAAATCATCCAGTCGTATTCCTTCCAGAAGAAGGAGTTCAGGTGTAAGCTGCTTTGACTGCAGATGATAATGCTATATGCGCCTCTGTGTACCTGATAATGAGCGTCAGAGGAGGTATGATTATGGCGCTCTCACTTTTGGCTGCTGACTCTTTGTGGGACTTTTGGCATTTAAGCATCGTGACTTTGCTTGTCGTTTCAGCTTATCTGTTACGATATTATCATCCTTTCCTGACTACAAGCAGCTCGTCTTTTACACCAATTGGTACAAACAGCCTTCCCTGACAGTTAGAAAAGCATTCTCTTTGATCTTTTTTACGCGTTGGTGCTGCACTTTTTAACTTAAATCTCATTGTCATTAACAACAGTAGCAGGTTAGCTTTTAAAAGGGACAGCAACTGTTATTGTGTAATATCTCTGCTCTGCTAAGCTGATGGTTTTTTTTGATAAAAAGCGGATTGTTATCTTAGGCATTTGAAGCTTTGGTGTGCAGATTTACATGCTCTGCACCTTGTAATTAGAGATGCTCTGATATGGACTATTGCATCCTAATCACACAAAAAAAATGTGCAGCAGATTCTGTGGTTGTGGATGTTGTTTTATATTTCAAGAATATCTGTCTGTTTGCTTGATTTCTAGTTTTCCCGTTTGTAATAAATTATTTTGTACTTTTATTGTCTTTGAATGCGCCATCTAAATAAAATTCAAATTGATAAGACATATATCCAAGCATTACATAATACAAAAAGTAAGAAGACTAAAAATGTTGGCATTTCCTGCTTTGATGCATTTATAGAGGGAGATTGTTATTCAGAAATGATCCTTTGGATCATAGATTGTAGCTAATTTAGGGGAAAGTTTCCATCTTATTCGGTCTTTCTTATGAAATTGGTCCGTCACTTTGTGTGATTCATCGCCACTTGGATTGTTTGGGACTGTAGGTAGACACCACTCACCTTAGAGTATGTTTTTGTTATTTTAAATACAAGTTTGGGTTCTTGGAGTTGGAAAAAATATCTTGTCATGAGCTTGTTTAATAGCATATTTACAGCAGATATAAAGCTGCTTTATCACGACAGGGAACCGACACTATCATTATATAGAAATTAATGTAATTAAAAATATAATTTTTCATGTTTCTAATGATTTCTGGTCAAATATTTATTTATTTTAATGAAAATTTCATTTGTTATTTTTGTTGTTGGGCTTTGTTTTTTTGTTGTTGGTTTCTCTGCAATGGTTGGGACATAGGGATCTGTGTTAGAAACTGACTGAATGCAGTTGTTGTGTGCTGCCTTGGAGTGCACTTGCTGTAATTATGGTAGTTCAGTAGTAGCTAATTTAATATAACTAGTATGTTTGCTTTTATTAGAGCAGTATTTGTGTTTGAGTAGCTCTGGCTGTAAGAGCAACAGACGTAATGGCTGCAGAATGGGATGAAACGTTACGTTTAATTGTCTTATATTTCTTTATTCAACAATCATTTCTGTTCTTTGTATTATTGGTTTACTCATCCTTTTTTTTACTGCACTTGTAGAAAAAAAATACTTTTATTCAAAGTTTTTTGTTAAATAAAAATATATAAATATTTAAAAATATATATGCTGTTTCATTCACTCACCTTTTTGTTTCAGTCAGTGGATCCCATCTGTCGACTTTCCCTTTAATTGTTTAGGTTTTGTTTTACCAATCGGGGTTTCATGAGCAGCTGAGATTAGACTATATATTTTTAAGAGCTTTGCAAACTACAGTATGCAGGTGCTTTTGCCTTAGTTTTAGATTCTATAAAACACAAATAGTTAAAATTAGGTTTTAACAAACAGATATGCAGTCATTTTTTTTATTTTTGCTTTATCATATCAGCAAAGCTCCGTGGTACGTTTTCATATAATGCTTTTTCTGGTGTTTACATTTTATTTCATTGCAGCACATTTAGGGTCAATCTTTCCCTAAGTCCAGTCCTTCCAAGCATCTCCTGGTTGTTTTTATTGCGAGCTCAAAGAATCAACAAACACCTCTTGACCTCTGTTTGGTTTTTTTTTAACATCAAAAACAGACTTAGTCCTCTAAGTTTCCACCATCTGGTTTTACAGCTTTCACCTTTTGACCTTGTTGGTCTGGAAGCAAAACCCAGTGTCATAGTTCAACTTGTCACTGTCAACACCCGCTGGAAGTCAGACTGGACAGATTGGTCTAGGCCGACTGAGGCTGAGAAGTTATCTATGGACTGGAGGGTGTTTGTTGTTCACTTTCCTTCTCAGGCTCTAAATCGGCACTGCTCAGGTTAAGAACTTTAAAATCATATCCTATATGAGTAAATACATGATAAAATACTGTTATACTATTCAGTAGTGAAGCATGAGCTCCTCCATTTGTAGTCAGCAAAAATCTGCTCTTTGAACACCCCCCACCATCAAAAAAATTAGATTTCATGGTTTTAGCGTCACTTCTTTGTCTTCTCATGCAGTTCCAGCGTATAAGTGAATTCCTTTGATGCTGAAACAGTGTTTAAGAGCTTTATTGGTTTTCTTAGCTGCACATCTCCCCATCCACATGCGAGCACATTATTTAGAACATGCTGACTGGCTCTGAGGTTCCTCATGGGACCTTATTAAGAAGATAACTCTGGACTGCTTGGTCTTTCAATGCAGCTTTCCACTGTTACATTTGAGGAGTTTTAAGCCAGATTTTCACTGAAATTAATCATCAGCTCTGACATGAGTCAGACTTGGACTCATTCAGTCAATTAAGGCTCTGAAGAAGTTGCTTGTTTATATCATTTTGATTCACAGAAGAAAAGTCATGATGAGCACAAATATTATATGAGCTAATCTTCTAAATAGTTAATATGAATTCAATAACCATCCACCTTATAGAAATAAATCTGTTTTTGTTTTTTTTATCTCCAGGGGTGCATTTTCAGTGGTGCGCAGATGTGTCAAGCTGTCAACAGGGCAGGAGTATGCTGCCAAAATAATCAATACCAAAAAGTTATCTGCAAGAGGTAAGAATTTCTTTCAGTGTTTATTTCAACATGTCGCCTGTGGATGTCCTCATATGGTCAGAGAACACGAGGGATTCTTGAAATAAGGCTTGTGTGCAACATGCTTCATGTGCACTAAAAATACACAACAGAACGTAGCCAATTCAATGGCCAATATCCCTTTATTGTAAGGATTTTTCAGATTTTTTAAATCTCATTGTCAAGATTTTTTCATAAACATACTCCTTTAATTGATGCATCATTCCATCATTGTTGTTCTAAATCTTATTTTTTAATTTATCAGCTTTTAGCTGTAACCCCAGTACCATGCAAGTATACAATAATAATGAAGGTCCCCTTTGCATTTCTGCCTACGCCCTCATATGACTATGCCCCGTCAGTAAGTTTGGGATTAAAAATAGTTGAGAAAGTCCAAATGATAAGATGGTCTGCAAAATAAAAAATAAAAAAAATCACCAAAAGCTTATGTGGAATCATAGCAAGTGGCTGATGCCTCAGATTTTATTTTTCTCTAGCTTGTTTCTATTGTGTTTTTTTAAGGTTGGTTACAGTTTAGCCATTGTGCCCCTCCAACTCCAAATTACCACTAAACCCATATATCTACAGCAAGTGAGCATCTATTTAATGCTGAATTCTTTCTGTGTGACTGCTGGCATAAGGGCTCCTCTACTGTTGTCTAAATAAGCAGTAGTTTCTTAAGGCTGGAATCAATTTTCAATTCGATTATGTTTAGTTATATAGCACCAATTCACAACACATGTCATCTCAAGGCCATTTACAGAGAATTCAAGTAGATCATACAGTCAGATTGGTTCAAAGTTGTCTGTCTAAGGGAAACCTGCTGATTTCTTCTACTCATTGACTTGAGATCAGTCCCTCAGCCAAAGTGTACTTGTAGTGACAGTGGAGAGGAAAACTCCGTTTTAACAGGAAGGAACCTCCAGCAGAAAAAGGCTCAGTGTGAGCGGCCCTCTGCCGAGACCGACTGGGATTCAAGAAGATAGAAGCAGACGCATAGAAAGAAGCAGAGATACAAAAGGCAATTGTCAATCAGCTCCACAGGCGGCTCAGTCCAGGAAACAAACAGCTTCCATGTCAGAGGATAAAAGAGAGCACATCCAGTTGGTCATAGTCAGAGAAACAGGACAACACTGAAAAACATGCCAAGCTCCAGCATCTATAAACAAAGGTGTTGATAGCAGCATAGCTGATATTCCTCTCCATGATGGTGTCACAGCCAAACAGGAACACACTCCATGAAGCTGCTATGGTGAGAAAAAGCAGAGAGAGCATAAAGTTAGAGATTGAATTAACGAATACTGCAGAATGGGGAAATAGAGATGAAATGATGAAAAAATGTCCTCTAGCAGTCTTAGCCTATAGCAGCACAAATACAGAAAAATAGCTCAGGATAACCTAAGTATTATGGATGAGGTAGAAGAAAGGTAGAGCCACAGTGTGGTCAAATTAGAGGCAAAGATGATTTTACTTTAAGAGGCTTGTTACAAAAATGGGCCCAAATGCAACCCAACACACTGCTCATACTTTTGCACTATTTTTTTTTTATGAGCCGGTAACATATTATAAGAGATCAAACTATTATGCACCAAAAGATTTTATCATTGCCATTTACGAAACCTAATTAATAAAATCATAAAATGTTTTACCATATATTAGAAGGATGGTGTTCACAATACTAGTTGTAAGGTACACTCCTAAAGGCCACCCTGCTCCGGCAGTAAAGTCCGAATTAGGCAGCACTATGATGAAGGCCAGTCCAGCTCTGCAATGGTCGCCGTGGTTCCTCACACCAACACTCGCTCGGTGTAAATCTCCTGCTGCCTCTACAGCTCGCAACCGGAGACCCAGAGCCGTGGCTGCGCCAGGTGGCAACCCACTGACACTACTTTGCTCTACACACACTCTGGGCTTGTGTGTGTGAAAATGTAGAGTGTGGTGGAAGAGGCATTTTAACAGGCATAGAATGTCTTCTCATATCTGCTTGTGTCTGTCAGTTAACCTTTTACTGTGGGTATTAATTTCCTTTGGAAACAATTGCTCAGCTGACATTAATCCATGCAGACAGATTTATGAAAGTACACACTGATAGCAATGATGATACACAGGAAGAGAGGTAAGGTTGTCAGGAATAACTGTTAAAATTCTAGAGACTCAAATACTCCATAATATAATTATAATCACCATAATGTGTGTGCGAACACTTGGAAAGATTGTAATGTTAATGAATAAGAGGGAGAAGCTATAATGTAGTTTCTGAGGCACTGTTGAGTGTTTAAAGCAACAGAACACAGTAAAAGCAAAGAGCTGATGCTTTTCAAGAAGATAATTTATCAAATGATAAATTATTACTTTTTTTAAAGTTCTTAAGAGGTTGCCGAAAAAAGAATGAGTCTTAAAAGGTTCTACTTTCTATTCATCTCCTAATGGCTTTAACAGTATTATGGAGTTATGGTAGAAAAAGGATGAACGCTGTAGAAAAAAAACAACAAAAAAACAAATGCTAAGATCTATGAGTCATTTGAAAATTTTCTTTTATTGTCATCTGGTATCCTTATTATTAATGGCTTCAGTTTTCACAGCAGTGAACATTTTATGAGAGTTGGGTCTTTGATCGGCCTATTTCTGTGAGCTGGCACCTAACTGTTAAATGCAGAGATTATTTCCGTATGGTTAAAAACTAAAAAATGTGACCTTTTTCTAGTCGGTAAACTTGTCATAAATAACTGCAACCATCTTATGCTAATGACAGTACTGTCTGTCGAAAATGCTTCTTAGAGAAAAAGACTTGTTTCAGGTATTTAGGGTATTTAAAGACCGGATTCTTAAAGAGCAACAGGAGCTTTTCTCTGCTCACATCTGATTTTTGAAAAATACGCCTCACAGTGGCGGTTTCAAGCAGACCAGGAAACGGGTTTGGGGCTAAGGGCTAGGTGTGGTCTTATATTGTAGATAAATGCTTCAACAACTAACAGAATGCCAAGCTAGTGATTTGATATCATGAAAATTGATAGAAAGAACCCAAAGCTCACTATTCCAACCCTCACTCACTACAGAGAGCTGCACCAATCGCTTGAGCCACAGATCTACTAACGCCAGTTTTCTTGACATTGCAATATCCTTGGATCCAGTGCTGTCTTTTTCAAAGTTTTCAAATTTCATACTCTTAGACACAAAAGGAGGACTGTAACAGAATGTCAATATAATGCCCTGACCTTGTCTAATTTTCCAGAAAAACAGCAAAAATACTTCAAATTGACGTTACACACATACATTGTGGAGATTATTTTAGTCCAGAGATCTGAATGGGTGGGTGAATGGACGGCAATGGCAATCAGCAAAAATCAGCTCTCTCTTTCGGGATAAAATTCCTTTCCGATCGGACCGAATGGTATTTGAATCTTCAGTCTGTCATGATCACATGAAGCGTTTTTGATCTGATCATGCATCCAATCTTATTATTGGTCTCCATGTAGACATAGCTACTGTGTGCAGTTTATAACATAGATGCACCATAGGTGTTTTTGGTCATGAGATAGCGATGCAGTAAAGGATTGTGGGTGTTTATCTGAAGCAGGGAAGGAATGTCAGCACTCTAGTAGGTTTTTCATGATGTTAAAAGGGTAGGGATGTGAAAAGTACGTAATATTGTTAAATATCAGTTATTGCTCATAACAGAAAGATTATTGGATACTGACAATGAATTTTCACATTCCTAATTTATTACCCGATATAAATTTCTGCTGTCCTCTTGGAAATCTCCCTTCTATAATCCTTTGGGCAGTTGATGCAGTATTTGGGGTAAACCTTAAAAGATGCATTACAGTGTTTTCTAATGATACTGCCACCTGTGGCCAAAGTGCAGAACTGCAGCAATCCTATGCTTGTTTTCGTAGCTTTCACTTGAACTTAACAATGCCTTTGTTTTTTTATTTTATTTTTTCACTTTACCTAGGGTTGCCATTGGTGTCTGAGTTGAGTTAGATGCCAGTCACTTCTGAGTAAACACAAAATCCATCTTTAATATGACGTTTATTTGTTTGCCAGGTTAGAGCTATTTAACATGGATGTGCTTGACGTCACATCGCCAAAGTACATTCAGGAAAACAGGCTACAGGCTTATAGATGCATCAGTGCTGAACTGCTCAGATGCCAGTCTGCTCATCAAACAATGTTTTAGTTGTAAAAGGTCAAATAAAAGCTATTGTAAAGATATTTACAGTAAAAACTTAGATAATGTCTCTTTTCAAATAATGATCACAACACATGAACTGTAGGCTATAACTCTGGTCACAGTCAAAGCAAAGTGTTTTAAAAAAGTACTTTATAGAAAGTTTACTTCTATAAAAACTAAACATTTCTCAAACTGTTGTCGTCTTAAACATTTTTTCTCAGTTTTAAAATGTTAGTAAAACTCTGTTTAACTCTTCCATACACAGAGTGAGCCGTCTCCCCAGCTCTGGTGCTTCGTATTTAAGGTTCACTCACATAATTGTATATTCAAAGCTTTAAAAGTCACAGAAATCTAAAATCGTCCGTAAATGTCTGATTAGTGGTTTTCTTCTAACACAATGTGACATGGAAGGCTGGAACCAAAAATTCAGTGTGCTGTTAATTATAGTTTTTAGAGGAATCAGAACTGGCCGGTCAAACCTTCACAAAAAATAAAAATAAAACCAGAAATTTGAAACAGACCATAAATCTTTGATTTGTGCATCTCCACTAACTGGGAGTATGCATCTCTCCTTAGCTGCTTGATGAAAGGCTGCAGCTGCTTGCAGATTTCTGAGGTGCGGCATAATCTCCCTCCTTTAAGATTTGATGATCCAAGTCGACCGAGTAGTGTCCGCGGCTCGCGCTGCGCTCCTTACTAATGGATGAGCCATGTTCTCTGAAACAGCAGAGCAATGTCTGAGCCGACAGAGCTGCTGCATACTACTTCTACTCCGGCTCCAATTATAGCTCCATGACCTATCTGACATGGGCCGCCGCAGCCAGCTTTTATGGCAATCATGATGACTTACTGCTCTGCTTTAGAAGTGGGATTTGGTTGGGGTTGTTTTGCTCCTGATATATCGCTCAGAAAGCAGGTAAGGTCAGATGGTTTAAAGCCACTGCCGAGGATCCTGAGAGGAGCGTTTGTTTGGGACGGGCAGATGGAAATGGTAGCTGCGGGGAGGGCTGGGGGGGGGTCATGACAGAGAAGGCACCCCAGGCACTTGGCAGCTGAGGGCCATGCGCCTGTACGCCTACATGCCTTTAGCACGGGACTCTCATCTGACTCTGCCTCTCTTTTACTCTGGCACACACATTTGTGGTCATCCTATCACTAAACTCTGTTTATTTACTGCAGTCACCATGATTCCCCCTCTCAAAAGTCCAGATATTGGGTATCTGGGAGGGGATGACTAAATGTATTTGCACATTCCCTCAAAACGTCAGGCAAACGGTTAATGTCAGTCCAGCTCATGTCAATGGGAAATATAGGGCAGGTCTGCTGGGCAAGGCTTCCAGCCAATCATAGCACTTGTTTATTGGCAGTGATCTCTGGGTGAGGGATGCCAGAGGTTCCTGTATGGCCTTGTAACATATCGTGCTAGGGTGCATGCGCTTGTGTCTGCATGTGTGTATGTATTCAAATTAAATATATATGTGCACATGTGTGGTGTTTTCTATTTGCCTGAGATTTACCTGCAGTGCAGCAGCAGAGAGCTGACCTGATTTCAGTCCCTGTGCTTTTGTGTCAATGTCAGACAAGTCGTGCGGAGGTATTTAAGTGAAGGCCTAATACGTATAAGCCTATTATGAAGTCAAATCACTTTAGAAGTAATTACAAATGTCAGTAAAGACTGATTTATTCATAATTTAGCTACAAGTTCAGGATTTCTAACTGAAATGGTCATGAACGTGATGGTTTTCCTCATACGTCCAGGTTTTGGAGTTCTAACTTAACTTTATTTGTTCTCATGCTTTTTTTTTTTGCTATTTGAATATTTAATTACCAGATGAAATATGCAGTGATTTACAAAAGTATTGATATAGCTTATGGGTCACACCTATGTTTACATTACATCCATAAACAACTGTGTTTTTTTCAGACCAACACAAATTTGTTCCAAGATTTTGTGGATTAAATTTTTTTTACAAAAACCAATAAACTTTAAATGTTTCCTGGCAAACTTAGCAGAATGATATTTTCCACCATTCCATTGTATCTTCAGCGGCATATTCAGAGTCATCGTCCTGGTTAAGGTGAAACGTTGCCCTCTTCTCAGGTCTTTCTGTGTCTACAACTAGTTATCTTCCACAGCTGCGTTAAACTCTTTAGGCTTTCCTATCCAGTCTAAACAGCTTTTCTGTACTGCTGAGGAAAAACCTGCCCTTAGCATGATGCCCCCTGCACCATGTTTCATTATTGGGATGCTATATTTAAGTTTTCTGCCCCACATAGCATTTTGTGTTTTGGCCAGAACTTTTCAATTTTGCTCTTATCCTGGAGCACTAAACCTGTACTCACTTTGTGCCTTATTTTAATAAAATCTGGCCTTGGTGAATGTGTTTCAGTTAAACATGAACAAAGTTTGTGCTTGGGAGTGCTTGTTATTATTTCTTAAAGTATTTCCCATGAGAGTTGTGCATCTTTGCAACTCCTCCAGAGTTATCCCTCACTGACTCATGCTCTCTACTAGTTTAGGAGGACGACCATGCCATGGTTGGTTTGCATTTGTATCCTACCCTACATGTTCATGTAATGGGTTTAATGTCAGGAGATCTTTAAACCATAAGAGATGCTGTTTCTTTAAACTTCTCTACAGCTTTATCCCTGATCTGCCTAATCTGTCCCTTGATCTTCATGAAGCTGTGCACTACAGTAGCAAACCCAAGGAGGCCTGTAGAGGATAGCTGTTTTCATGTTGAGATTAAATTGTGCAGCACTTGTTCCCACTGACTTTTATATCCTAGTTTAACAGTATATATATATATCCATCCCCAAACTTATTTATATATATTTTTATCGGTATCGGTCCAGATATAAGGAAAAAAACTAGATCGGTATCAGTTACAATTGACTCGATATAGGGGCCGCTCTATTCATTCTAAATCTATGCTATGCTCTGTCGTCATGCGGCAACGCAACAATACAACACGGCCATATTGTTTATGATGGAGCGGGCAAAATAATCTACGGTGTGGAGGTTTTTCACGCTCTCTCAGCCTATTAGCCCAGTGGCTACGTGCAATATTTGTGGGAGAAATGTTCCGAGGGGCGGTGTTAAATCTTTAAACTATACCCCCACAACTTATTGAAACACCTCCAGTTTCAGTTTCATAACAAGGAACATGCTGAGATTATCGGACTCGGCAAACAAAAAGGAAGCAGCGGGAAGCAGCTAAAGCAAAGGAAAGAAGTGAAATTTTCCCATGTAACAGTATAGAGGCCACAAAAAATCACAGAGATGATACTTGATAATGACACTTTTTTTACATGTTGACCAAGTCAGAGAACTTTTGGTTTAAGATTTTGTGCACAGTTGTTAAATAAATGAGTCATAACATTTATATTTGGGTTGTTTCCTATTTTTTTTTTAAGAAAAGGGAAGTCAAATTATATGCACGTAAAAATAATCCCGTTTTTTTTTTTTCACACAATAAAACCTTTTTTTAAGGTAATAATTGAGTGCTATTTTTGGCATCTGTATCGGATCGGTATCGGCCGACATTAAACTTCAAATATTGGTATCGTATCGGAGGTGAAAAATGTGGATCTGTGCATCCCTAATATATATGTATATGTATATATGTGTGTGTCAATGATTTTTACTTCCCTGTCCTGCAATAGTTTTTTTTTGTGTATTATCCTTAGTTTGTTTCTGTGTTGTGACAAAAACATGAAAGAGTTTAAGGGTTTAATGTCTGCAGCCAAATAACACTTCTTGCTCCTCCATCGGTTTGCGGTTTTTGCTATTTCTCCAGCTGGAGTGAGCCATGCTGATGTTGTAATTCTAATCTTCTTGAACAGTGGTTATATCTGGCTCTCTTTGTGAATGTCTCCTCCTCTCCTGAGACTCCAGCCCTCACTGGTGATGATTAACCCAAATATATTCTACTTTTCACCGCTTGCTCCCTCCTTCTCCATCACAAAGACTCCTGATGATTTCGCTGCATGGTATCCTTGGGTTATCTCTCTCACAGTTCTTGTTCCTGTTTGCCACATATCTCCTTTAGCTTGCTCTCTTTTTCTCCACTTCCTCTTCCCTTCAGGACTGGTCCTCGGTTATCTCTCGCCTCATTTCTTATTTACCCCACTGCTTTAAAAGAACCACTGGTGTCTGCATGACTGACAGTTTTAAAGAGTGGTTAAATTAATATTTGAAGCACAATGTTCTGCCTCGTCTTCTCTTTTTTACCGTCCTTGTTGATCCTGGACTCCTTGCAGGCAGAACAACTGATTTTCATGTAACCTATTTATACAGGGATCTATAAATAGAAGTTTTGTTTAATTACTTATATTGCACATTACATGTGCACTAGAAACGTTCAAATATGTTTAATTTTATATAACACAATATACTGTAGATGGCAGTACTTAAATTCCTTACTTGCTACTAAGTATTTTTAATTGATAAAGCTTCAGTTAAACATTTTATTTATGTTGTGGTAGTTTGCATAATACTGTGAGATTTCTAAAGAGAAACAGAGTTAATTTAGTTTCTGCATAATTTCAGTCTGGCCAAATTAATTTGATTCAATAACAGCAACATTCAGGATGCAGTTGGATTCAATCAAATTGTAATAAAGTCAAACGGTCAAATTAATTTGATCATAAAATCTCAGTTTGTAAAAAGCTGCACCCCTAAGAAAACCTACCGGTTGCATCTATTCTTAATGGCCAGCCCTTCTGCAGGTATCAAAGTGTGCTAAGTTTGATACATAATGAAGGCACTTTCGCGACCCTTTCAAATGTTCAGTGTACTATACCCACTGGTCACAGCTTTAATAAGACTGGAGAGAAGAGCTGGAATCAATATTCTTTTATCCACCTGGTATTGAGTATTGCTTGTTGGCTTGTTGAGGAAAAAAGTTCTGCTTTTCCTTTGTCTACGAGAAGAACACCTTCAGCTGTTTCAAAATATTTCTAGCTATGAAATATGTAATTCCTTTTCACTTAAGCTAACACGGTTTTAAAACCTCAAAAGCTATAAGAAGGTTGTCTGTTAAGCAGCCGAAGGCTCAACTAATTACCGTAGTAAGATTAGGTAATTTCCTCTTTTTAGTCTCTCTAGAGCAGAAAGGATAAAACTAATTTCTGCACGATTAGTGGTGAAAACTTCCACTAAAATAAAGAAAGCATGGCTAGTAATATTTCTTTACCCTCGTTATGAGCAAAACTATGGCAAGAGTCGAATAAAAAAGCTTTTAACTGGAAGAAACATCCAGAGGAACCCAGCCAACTGTGCCAGAGTGGCTGGGAATTAAAAACTGGATAAAAGATGCCCAGTACATTTTAACAGCATGAGCTGATTGGACCTATTCTCCCTCCTGCAGTTAAACCAACGAGCGTGTCTTCCTACCTCCCATCTACTGCTTATCTTCCAACTTTTCAAGTCTACTGACAAAACCACAAAGATACAAATTTTTTTGTTGTTGTTGTGATTGTGATTATTATGGAAATTGAAAGATATAGAATTTATACTTGTGTCTGGTTCTGAATGACACACAGATTGGGCTTCAGCCAGGGTAGGTAGGGACCTCTGTTTTAACCTTTACAACTGAAAGTCCATTGCAGCATAAAATCCTTTAAAAAACAGCTACTAAACTAAATAAAAAAAAAGATTTGCTGCTTGATAAACATTTATAAATAAAATCCTACCATATAAAGCCAAAACTAATAAGACTTTTGTCAACTACACTAGTTTCAGACCTCTGCCCTTTCGCCAAACATAATTTGCAATCTTATTGTAGTTTAGGGAAGACATGTTGGACAGTTAGGGGGACGATCTATAACAAAACTCTCAAATCTGGGGCTAAAAGGTCATCAGTCATTCATGAATAACCTGAATCTAAAGTAATCCTAATCCCAAATGAGTTTATTTACAGGTTCAATAGCTGTGTTTTGTGAAGACTTTTTTCCATTTATTTTAAAATAATGCAAAAGTATTAATAGAACTAATTCCAAGGTTCACTTAGGAAGTGTGACAGTTAATATTTTAGTTAATGAAAGCAGTGTCAGCTTGTAAATTATATTCATCAGGCTAATTTCCACTCCAGTGTTTAGTCATGCCATTCTATTATAGTATAGATAACAAAAGCACAGCCATGTCGACTGAAGCACTAAACCATGATGAATGGAGGCCTTCACTCTGGGCCATTTCTGTACTTGTATTATCAGCAGATGCCACTGACAGAATGGAACCTGATCCTGTCACTTATGACATGTTTTCCACCATTTGGCATGGCGGCAGCATATCAGCAAAGACAGACATGGGTTTTTAAAAGGCCTGACATGATTTAGGTTCGGACAAAGCAAAGAACCAATGCAAGACTAACCTCACCTGAAGCTTTGAACAAACTGTTTGTATTTTGGAGACGGATGAGTAGAAAATTATACTTATTCTTCAAAGGTTTCTCAAATGAGGCAAGCAAGAGAAAGAAAGCATGCAGAGATTAGCATTGTTTTAATCTTTCAATGAAAAGATGGCACCCAGGCTTACAGTAATTGTTTGTGCATATTTTCTCCTCCTCCCACCTCCTCTGTCCCTCTTCAACACTCCCCCACTCCTTTCTGCAACTCGCTCAGCTCGTCTTCTAAGACTGTAATCACTGGGCTCACACGTCACTGTCACTCTTCTGTACCCATGGAAATGTGTATGCCTGTGTTTTTTCCAAGCTATTTCTGTCCCAGAATGTACTATACTGTTTCCAGCAACGCTGTGTTTATTTTCATCAATTGTTTGAGTGTTGGCGTTTTACGTTGATCCACTTCTTTATGCGTTTTTCTGCCTGTGGGCATATTTGATATACGGGTCTGTCTGCGTCAATCTTTGTCCAGTCTCGACAAGAAACTTAAAGGATTTCATCTCTGAACCAAGAAATGCTTCAAGTTGAGACAAGCCGTAATCTGTGAACGCCATCTGATTTCATCACAAAAACAGCAAAAAGTATGACAGGTGCCCCACGCTCACAGAGATCATACAATGTGTGCATTAGATCTCTTTTTCGAGTAACAAAATTAAGCCCAATCTAAGTTGAAAGCAGTGTTGTATTGATTTGATATTCACTCTGAGTGTTTGAAAATGTAAAATAAGCACAGCTGCTAATTCCAGCCTTACTTTTACAACCGCTGGGTCCGTTCACCTCTTAGCCACTAAGGACTGCAGTCTGAGCCAAGCCTTTTCGCAGTTTGTTTCATTAAAAGTATAATGGAGGATGCTGTTTTTCAGGGCGGATCATCTAAATGAGTGGTCCTCCTTATTGTCAATCATTCTGGTAATATGTTTACATAAGGCCGTCCTATGTGCTTGTCCCCATTTTCACTTACTGGTGGTGAGTCTGACATAGTGGAAAAAATGCCAAATCATTTTTTAAAAGTAAGCTTGTATAAGCGATGCAGACAGCAACTTTTAAACAGAGTGTGCACGAGGAGAATTGGGCTTGTGCACGCTCTCACAATCGCTTGATAGGCGTTCCCTCTAGGGAAAGGTTAGAGGGTTGTGCATGTGCATTTTTTTTTTTTTTTTTGTGGAGAGCGCAGGGCTTTTCAAAAATGTGCAAAAAAATCCATAACTATACCATTAAGGAAGGTCAAACCCAAGCTAATGTTTCACTGTGATCAAATATTTATTCATGAGTTAGTAACCCTCATTTTGTTGGTGGAAACAAAACAAAAGATTTAAGATGTTTTTAAGGAATTTAGACTGTAATTAACATCTGCCGGTTAAGGTCTAAAATTCAGCACCATTCTACATGGGGTAATTATATGAAGAACTAGGGCTGCAACAAAGGATTTTTTTGCAAATTGATTAATCTGTGGATAATCTTTTCGATTAACTGATTAATAATCAGATAGCAAAAGGTTCCTGAAGAAAACTTTTTGTCAAATTAAACCAGGTGAACCTGAAAGTTTTCCACTTGATGAGTTCTGGATAGAGGAGATTGACAGATGATATTTCCTTTTTATCTTAAAGATATAAGGAATGATATTTTATTTCCTGGTGGATCATCTAAATAAGTGGTCCTCCTAATTGTCAATCATTCTGGTGATGTGTTTACGTAAGGCCGTCCTACGTGCTCGTCCATTTAGCTTTCTTTTTCTGCCCATGCGTACTTACAGGTGTATATCTGTGGTGAGCTACGGTTTCAGACAGTCATTGAAGCTCACCTTTCTCACCGCGGTTCTTTGAAAATGATCGAGGGTCATAAGAGGAAAAGCGTCTACTTTACATTAATTTATGCCATTTGCTGTCACAGCAGTCACAAAGATGGTGCAGGGCCCACGCAGTGAAGTAGGAATTATGTGACCAACGGAGCACAAAGCAGTGATCATCTGTCAGAACAGTCAGTTAACCGAGATTGCTATAAAGTCCTCTATATAGTCCCCGCTCTATTTAGTGATTTAGGGGTTAGGGCGGACGTTCGGACACAATTGTCGTATGAGCTATGAGAACAGCAACTTTTAAACGGAGCGTGCACAAGGAGAAATAGGCTTGTGCACGCTCTTGCACATTTTTAAAATGGAGAGGGTGTTTTTTTATCTTGAAAATCCTCCACAGTATCTTTAAATGCAAAATTTTTATATATATTTTTTTTTTTTACAATCCTGGTATAATTACTGCTCTAAGTGGGTTGCTCTATCAGCTAAATTCATGTTTGACAGTCTCCATACTACAGTTAGCGATAAATCATTTACTAAATTAGTTGATGTTAATATAGATAATCGATTAATCATAATCTGATTAACGTTTCAGCCTTCTAAAGAACAGAGTTATTACAGCATAGTTGGAAATCTAGATCTGATTTGTAAAAACATAAAATAGAAGGGTTCATATCTTCTTTTTGCTTTAGAGACACTTTTTAGTGGTATCTTGGTTTAGTGATTTGATTTTAATTTGCCGGAGGGTGTTACTCCACTTTTAGACTTTACAGTAGCAACACGTTGAGAGAAATTTCAGCATACAAACTAAATATGCAGTCCTTTTCCCTCTCATGCATCACATATTATTTCAGTATTTATTTCTACAGTAAATACTATAGATTTTGTTGTTATAGTGTGAGGTTCTGCTCATGGTGACAGCAGTCAGATTAAGAACGAAGCCGTTTCTGGTTTTTTATCTGGTTTCATTTGTTTCTTTGCAGATCACCAGAAGCTGGAGCGAGAGGCTCGGATCTGTCGCCTTCTGAAACATCCCAACATCGGTGAGGAATTCTCTCCGTTCCCTCTAATCACCAACACAGCCAAATATGCAATAATCTAGAACCACTGCTAAGTGGACCTTTTTTGTTGCCTTGGTTTTACACTACCTGCTTCCTTTTTTTAAATAATATCTCATTGATGCAGAGGATGTATTCATGTGATTAACTCCACTAACAGCCATATTTATGTTAAATTGTATGCATTTTGAGGAAATCTAATACCATAACACATCCCGCTGTTGCTTAAAGGTAGATTCAGTTGCAGAACCTCCTACTATATGGTTAGTATTTGATGTTAGACTCTATTATTATGACTCCCTGTGGTTTCGTTCCCTCACACACACTCCCTGCTGTTTTTTTACTCTCCTTTAATCTCTCACTTGAAATGCTGCACTGATACTTTGTTATTCAAAGGTAGTTTGTTAAACACTGAATCATCTTTATGTGGAATTTATCGCACGGCATATACAATTAAAATGACTCCACTAAACGTTTATCTCTCAATCTATTCCTCTTTCTCTTCCAGTTCGTCTTCATGACAGTATATCAGAGGAGGGCTTCCACTACCTCCTTTTTGACTTGTAAGTCCTCCTTTCTCTTTCCTCCTTTTTTCCACACACACTCATCTGCCTCTTCCTCCTCTTCCTCGGTCCCTGCACCCTCTGTGCATATACCATTGCATAACCCTCTCCTATATTTACCCCATCTCTGTCTCCGCTGCCACCCACACCCTCCGCATCCATCTCAACAATTCCCTCTAGTTTCCATAGCAACAGTGTGGGAGGGGGGGTAGCGGCAGGGAGTTTTAGGGGGAAAGAGGGTGAGCAAAGAGGAAACAAAAATTGGTGATGAAATCCTTGTTTTAGATTTCTTCATTGTTCTTTCTTTTTGCAGGGAAATGATAAGAAAATCGTTGAATAAATGAACGTGTTTGTATTCTTATAGGGTGACCGGAGGTGAACTGTTTGAGGACATTGTTGCCAGAGAGTATTACAGCGAGGCAGACGCCAGGTAGGAGCGCTGCCTTTGAACGTCTCTGTGTGAGACGGGGTCTCTCCTCGTCAGCAAAATGTCTTGTCACTTTTGTTGTGGTCTCTTGTCTGTCGTTTTTTACACACCTGTTTATACCTTTATCTTCTTTTCCTCAACTTTCTACTCTGTTGTCTCTTCTCTCCTGGTTTTTAGCTTCATAAATCATTTCTGTGCGTTACTATCTGCTTATTATTCAATTTTTTTAAAGCCAGCTCTTCTCAGTTTCTTTCTTCTATTATGTTTTTCTTTTTTCAATTTTATATCCAGTTTCTTTAATATCAAACTTTTCTCCCCACAAAAGTATTTGTTCTCCCTGACCAGTGCATCACATTTTGTCACATCGCAAAAACTCAAACACAAAAAACTAGAGTGTATTTAATTGTGGATTTATGTGATAGGCCAACACAAAGTAGTGCCTAATATTAAGTGTAAGACAATAAATACTTGTTTGTTGTTGTTTTACAGATAAAAACAGTGTATTTGCATTCAGCTCCCTGAGTTTATCCTTGTAGAACATAAATTTGCTGCAATTACAGCTGAAAGTCCTTTAACCATTTATCTCTACCAGCTTTTTAACTTAGAAATAGATATTTTTTCTTGTTTTTTAAGGAAAAGTCGTATTAATAGAAAGGTTAACATGTATCCAGTCCCTCTAATAGATTCTTCTATGACCTCTCTGTTAAAGAGAATCATCCCATTAGCAGGACTCTGCCATAACCATGTTTCAATATGGTACTGGTGTTTGGAAAAGGTTAAGCTGAGGCACCTTTTCTGAGATCATTCAGTTATTTTCGTTTCCAACAAACATTTTCTTCTTACTATTCTTTCAAAAAAAAAAGGTGGACAGATGGTCCTGATAATGGTGATAAAGTTTAATATTAATAATCTCCTACAGACTTCTGATGCCTTTACATAATGCCATGCAGACAAATCCTTTTTACAAATAATATAAAGGTAATTGGTTGCACTGGAATTTATTTAGAGGCATCCAAGTAAAGGAGGCTGACAACTATTTTGAAAACCATGTCTTAATTCTTCTGTTTTTTAGTCATGCACTATGTTATGTTGGTCCCATAAAATCCATTTAAGTTTGTTGCATTAACACAGCAAATTAAAAAAAAAATGAGACAAAAGATTATTTGTTGCCAGCTAGCCTTTCTGTTTTCTTTTTTTGTGCCACTATTCTTTCCCTTTCCCTTTCTCTCTCTATTGCATAATTTATCCTCCTCCATCACTCTGACACAGCCATCATCTTTAAGACCAGTCTGAGGTTTGACCATTTCAAAATCACACCAGCTCTTCTTTTTTTTTTCTTAAACTATTAAAATTTCCACCCGTAGTTTACTGATGGATTTTGGATTTCCCTATAAAAGTAGTTCGTTTCCACTAATCAACACCAGGGCTTTATTTATATATTGGCTAAAAATAAATAAAACCACTGCATATTTGTCCAATTTTTATTTTGATGATTTTGAATCTATATTAAACCAGATTCTTCATCCTCTATTAAGTCTTTCTTTTAAAAACTTGAAGGTTCAGTTTGCTCAGCTAAAGCCTTCACATCCTCCTCCATCATTCTTCTCCTTCTCTTCACACAGTGGAAAATATGAAAACAATGTCAGTGAATATGAAGTGTGAACTTTGGTGACAGTTTGGCTTTCTCTCTTTCTCTTTTCATTTGGTTTTGTTCTTTTTTTTCACCCTTTTACCACCGACTGAGCAGTTTTATATCTAACGCCCACCGCCCCCTGCTGACTCACCACCACACACGGTTCACTTGAACCATCGGCGGAAGAGGAAACAGAGTAGCGCAGTGGTGGGGGTGGTGGACAGACAAGAGGCTGAGAGAAGAATGAGAGAGATACTTGAAACTGACAGTTGTGAGTGTGGGTGTCAGTCCATTCAGCAACAAAGTCAAACGGAGTTGCCTGTGTTTTTATCGTTAAAATCACTCCAGTATGTGGCCATAAATGGTCCTTTTTTTTTCTTCAACTCCAGTCTCCACTTTAAACCTAAAACATAAATTTCTGATTCTGTTCGACTTTGACTCGGCATAAAAATGTTTTGTTTTAATTGCTAAGGCATCTAAATTACTGGCACTCTTTAAAAAACAGTGTTATTTGAAGTCTTGCAGGTCTCGGTTGCACAAATAGACTAATTCACACAAATCTGGCCAAACTAACACATAGCATCAACGTCTAATGCAGGCGTGCTCAAACTTTTTTAAACCAAGATCTACTTTTGAAGTTGATGGCAATGCCGAGATCTACCAAGCCAAACACAAGGGATGGGCAATGTTTGTTTTTTTATTCGCACAGGTGGAGAATAAACAGTAAGTCCAACAAACGAGGAAATGATCATTTGTGTCAAAAAATAGGTTGCAAAAACAGAACTTAACAATCTCATAAGAACACTCACTCATCAGACTCACCAAAACTACAGAAAAGAGCAGTCAAGATCTCCAGACAAAGGCTGTGCAGTCAAAAAATCTAAATAAACCAATTGATACACACCCACAGTAGAGATGAAAGGAAAAAAATAAATAAAATTTTGCTGTTCCCAACAAACTTTTTTTTTGTTTTCCACTTGTGTAAACAAAATGACAAAATCTGTCTAAGATCACTTCAAAGCAGGAAGAAGGAGAAGGGAAGTCCCCTATTTCAGAATGATAAACATCACTGGGCATTGGCATTGGCAGAGAAACTGGATGAGGGATTAAAATTCAACAGGAAAACGGATAAAAATAGGAAAATACTAAGTACAAACTATGTGGATGTGAAGATGTAACATACAGCAGAATCGGTTGTTGACTGTTTCAGAAACTCTTTAATTTCTGGCAAAAGCTCCAAAAATCTTTCTAAGATTTGCCATGGCTCAGCCACCTGACGTCAGTGTGCAGCAGCAGATCAGTGTGGTCTGCACCTGCCTCCTCGAGCAGTGCGCCCAACCATAGATGGAGCCCCATCAGTTGTGATAGATGTCATTATCTCATCATCTCTTCAGATTCCTCTTCGCGCTTTAGAGTCCCTGGTAACAACCTAGCAACCGTGGCAAACCATGCCCAGCAATCAGCATGCATAAAAAAAGGTTCCCTGCATACTTTTTATTTTCCATTTTATAATAATGAAAATACACATTTGCCTCTTGTGATGAATGATTTCATTAGTGTTTTTTAAGACTTTTTTTTGTCATAGCCATAAATAAGTCTACATTGTAAAACTTTTCGCGATCAACTGAAACTCAGCCCACGATCGACTGAAACTCCGCCCACGATCGAATGGTAGACAGCGATCGACTGGTTGGGCACCCCTGGTCTAATACTTTTCATATACTAGAAAGATTAACATGCTAAAAAAAGATTGATTGGGGGAAGATTTGAGAAAATTTTCTATTACTTTTTAATTCACATCAATCCGTAACAAGAAATAAAACAAAATACCTAATTTTCCCTTCTTCATTTTAACCCCTTAAGCTCAGACTACAGCTTTATGTTTTATGTGGGGTGGGGTCTCCATCATTGGTCTTTAATGCTTTCAGAAAAATCACTGTAATACTCAGTTCTTTAATAGGTTTAAAAAAGTAAGTTGTAATGTTCAGCTTGGTGACTTCTAAACATTTTAATGGTTTAATAAGATTTTTTCTACTGCATTTTAACCATTTTATATGCAAAGTTTAATCCAAGCTACTGCTATAACGTACTAAGACGAGAGAGGAAAGTTAATCGCTTCTTTTATCTGTTAGCCACCAAAAAGCATTAACAATTTAATCAGGGCAGATGCGACCTGCTTTGTTTCCAGACTGGGAACCTGATTAGCGCCTAGGATCGATTTAATGTAATTTCTGTAGCTTCAAGAGTAAAGAATAGTTTTATTATTCAGCAGTTTAGGATAGTTTTATTGGGTGAGCTGCTGGTGTGTTTCCAGCAGCACCAACAGATGCCTGAGAAGCTCATAAATCACCCACAGCCAAAAGGTCATGTTCAACAGTGTTCAGTAATTTGTTACCTTTATTGAAAACAAACCCATTTTATACTGGAGAAAATAATACAACACTATTGGGCCTAAAAGGTTAAATGTCAGGATTCATTTTTCTAAAGACCGTGGATAAGGGGTTGCCATTTCAAACACTTAATCTGATGTGCCTTCTGCTGTTGACTTAACATGGAAGATTTCATTTTTCAAAAACCTGTCTAGACTCATATGTGGGTTTTATAAATAGCTTAGGATTTACATACCACGTCACCACTTCGTTGTAGTGATGCCCACAGAATTTGCAACAGGGATGAACTGATAGGATTAATGATGCACCCCAAAACAAACAAAAACCTGTAACAACGCTTCTCCCGGTTGCTGCAGATGTTGTGTTGCTTGTGTTGCTTGACCCTTGTGAAGCCCATATGGACTTTTTTTTTATTTTTTATAACATATATATATATAAAAAAATTGTTTCACTAAACAAATGCTGGAGGCATTGTATACCAGTGTTAGTTGTTTTAGACCTTATTTATGTTGTTTATGATGCAAACAGAAACTGAAATCTTTTTTTTTTTTACCACAAACTTAGCCAATAAACTCACCCCTGTATGCCTTTTTCAGTCACTGAAGATACAGTAACAGGGGAGTGTTGGCCTAGTGGTTAGAGCAGTGCTCTGGTGCTCAGAGAAGGTTGCAATATCCGGTTCAATCCCCACAGCCTGCTCTCTGGGTCCCTGCGTGTAACCCTTAACCCCACACTGCTTCCCAAGGGGATGGGTTAAATGCAGAGAGTTAATTTCTCCAGTGTCAGATCAATAAAGTTAAAATTATAGAAATAATTATTATTATCAATTAAAACTATTAATAATACTGCATTTAACCACACTACTCCACTTGAACCTTCTGCACCATTTGCTGTTAGTACAGGCCGGGCTGTGCGCGGGCCTTTGCGCCCTGTTTGACACTGCAAATATAAATCAAGCTTTAGCTCCTTCAACGTTTGGA